TTCTCCTTCTCACTAACTAAACTAACTAACCCCCAACGAACCACCCTAACTGCCCTATCGACTCCCCAAACCCCCTTTTTCCCAGCGACTCTCATGTCCATCTCTACTCCAGCAGCCCAACCAGCATCCTTTTTTCTGCCGGTGGATATTGGTCTTCCCTCTTTTTTTTTTTCTCTTTCTTTCTTTCTTGCTTTCTTTCTTTTTCTTACCTCCTGGCTGGTCATCATTTTTCAACTAATTAATATTATTTTTTGCAATCGGTTTGTTGCTCAATCTCCTCCACAGCCTCAGTTATGCAGTACTGTATCTCCAGTTAAAAAGGCCGATAGGCGTTCCCTCTTGTGCTCCGCCGAATTCAGCTTACTTCGAAATACCGGGCGCCTGTCTCACGGGAACATCTAGAGAACTAAGCACTACCAGCAGACTACAACACACACGTATATAAGACCTCGAGTCGCGGAAACTGCGGAAAGACGTGTGAAAGAAAAGAAAGAAAAAGAGAAAATAAAATAAAAATCAGGTTCATCCGTCTGCCCGCTCTGTAACTAGCCTTAGCTAAACAGCTGCACGGTATGATTGATTGTTCTGCTCTATCCATGCACACCCATCTATACCTGGCGTATATGCCATTCCGGACCAGTGCTGGTTTATTTGGCTATCCTTCCATCCGTACCTTGATAGTTAACTAAGCAAGCAGCTGCTTGATTTTTGTGCTCTTGTTGGCCGAGGACGCCTCACTCTCCTGTTAGCTGCTGCTTGTTCCATTACACTACGACCAACTATGTATCTCGACTCGCTAAGCCCCTTTACTATCCAGCGTTGCTAACCAGCTAGTTAACGAGTGCATGTATGCAGCATCCAGCAAAATGGGCCATGGGGATTTTTATTTTCTCCTTTTATCCTTCGTATATGTCTTACCAGCTACATGTCAAACTTTGCGGCCCTCCTTCTTCCACCTTACACCGATCCGGGAAATGGTACAGCCATGGCCCTTTCACGCTCCCCGTGGACGTCGACGGAGAAGAGGAAAAAGGACGTCGGGATTCAAGGCAGGACACGAGAAGCCATCTCACCAGCCAGCTAACTCGCTCAAAAACAGGGAATCGAAACGAGGAGGAAAAGAAAAAAAAGGCCCGCACCAATGTTTAAAGTGTCTTCTAGGCGAATTTCTAGAAGAACTTTCTTCCGGGTCTTTTATTTGCGTTTCTCGTTGCTTTTTCTCTTCCTCTTGTTTCTTCTGCTGGGCTGGCTGGCTGCTGGCTGCTTTTGCTGCTTGCTGTCTAATTGCTGGTGGTGCTGAATTTTTCATTTCCCAGTTCAAGGCCAGGGACGGACCGAGCACCAGCGCCAGCGTGAGCACGAGTGAGCATCTGTCCACCAAGGGAGGGGGGGGGAATTCGGGGATGGCCCCATCTCTGGATTCTGGGTCGGAGTTTTGGCGACCCAGTTCGTGATCAGGATTCGGAATTCTTTCATTTATGCAGCGGCCTTGAATAGGAAACGAACAGGGATGGTGTGAGGAGATTTTTTGCTTCTTTATAGATCATTAATGATATAAAGTGATTGTCGGCAGATATGGTTCGATCCCGGCCGACGAAAATAAAGGGGAGAGGGGAGTGAGTTGGTAGGAGTTTCTTTTTTTTTTTTTTTTTATCTCTCCTCCTCTCCCTCTCTCCCTCCCTCTCTCTCTCTCTCTCACCCCGTGTTGTTATGCTTATTGTGACTACCAAGGAAGAGAAGGTTCGGTGCGTGCAGCATCAAGGAACAAACGTATCAGAGATGTTGGTTTCTGGCTTGCGCTGACTTTCTTCCCGTGTCTGTTCGCTGAAGAAGTCCGAAGAGTGATCTGATCTGCCAGGCCAAAGCAAAGCAAGATAGCAAACCAGCATCTGGTATGGGCATCAGCGCATTAAGGTTGAACCGCATAAGATAGTTATTTTAAAAATGGGTCCCATCATCTGGTCTCATGCTTGTTCAGGTCGCAGATTGGCTGTGCTGTTAGATTAAGATGACCGACCAAGAGTTGGTGGTGCTTTGTCTCCATCCAATATAATGGCTGGGACGTGGGATGTCACTCTCGAATATAATGCCTTTCTCCGAACCACTCTGTCTACAGCAGTCAGTTTGATACCTACCTATAACAACGGCGGTTATAGGGGCGACAAAGAAGGGGGTGATGGCTGGCCCGATCGGGAAGGTATACACTGTACACCGTAAGACACACACTCCCCCCTCTCCCCCCCTTTTTTTTCCTGTCCCAAGGCGCACACGTCGGAGTGTCCCGTATATGTACGGATTGCTGCGTATGATATAATGCTGGACTCGATAATGAGGTGCAGACGGGGGGAGGAAACTGATCGTGCAACAGGCAGAGCGAAAAATAGGAGTGGGTCGTTCCCACCATCCCGCTCTGCCCTGAACTGCAAGTAAATGTTATTATTATTATTATTTAGTGTAGTGGTAATATTAATAGTCGTAGGGTGCTCCGGATGGAAAATATCAGTCCCCAAACTAACTTACTACTAGTTAGTTGGCATTAAATTCTCACTCCAGCCAGCCAACAGTCCGCTTCACCAGACTCTGCTTGCGTTTCATGGACGCAAAAGCAAAGAAAAAGGGGACGCTCAAAATGTGAGCAATCAGGCGGCTCTCGACTTTATTTATTTTTATTTTATGATGCTGCTGGGGTATCAAGGCAGAAAAATGTGATCGTGAATCTGGGAGTTGAATCCCCCTGATCTCAGGGGGCCAGAAAGAGAAATAAGCACGCAGTCTTTCTCAAACCGCCTCGATGGAGACGAGACGGCCATCGAGTCGATCGAGGTCTTCTCCGTAGTCTCCGTACAGTAAACTAGTAAACTAGTTAGTGCGATGTCCGCAGACGTGCCTGAGGCTGCTTGTTTGTCTAGTTACCGAGGGCCATCCAATAGCATCCCGCATGCTTGAATCATCGCGTGCGCCCATCAAGTCTTACGATGAAGGATCTGTTCCTTTCGGGTATGGCCTCCGATCGATCGCTCGATCTCCTTGGAGATTGGCCATTGGACCTCCCCCCCCCCAGCCATGCAGCGAGTGATGCAGTTGGGTGTCATTTGTCAGAGGGTAGTCTGCAGCCAAACAGCCCTGGCCCCCGTTCTCGAGTCATATGGGATCTCTTGATACCTGACCCTACTTAACTGCCTAACTAACCGCCAGACGAGAACGGATGAATCTGGAAGCTGCAGGCGCTTCCCGCAGCAAATACGAAGGATTTCACCGTCTCTGCAAATACGGTCTGGTCTGAATGGCGACATCGGGCCTGGGAGAAACAGCCGACGTCAATATTTAGTCCCAACGATCATGGACAACTCAAATCCGTCCTGGTCTGGCCTGGCGATGGGATAGTTAACAAGTTAGTTAACAAGGATGGTCCGCTATGACCGGCCGGCGTGTTTGTTTGGTTTGGGTGTTTTGGCGCGGGATGAAGATAAGCAGACATAACTAGTTAACTATCCCATCCTGCAAAACCGATGGATGCGTGTCTATGCTTGTTCACCGATATTCCTTCCCGGCAAAAAAATAAAATAAAAATTGGGCGTTGCATCCATGTCGAATCGCTCTTCGTGTATGTATCCCATCTCAGATTCGATATGAGCGAAGTGTATACGAAGTATAGACCATAGACGATACAGGAGCGTGTTCACCGCTCCCGTAAGCGTTGCTGATATGACGTCGTAAAAAGCGCATCTTATGACATGCCCTGCATAAAGCCCAGCATCTCCTGACGTGCAAACTCGCGATATACAACCATGCTTGATTTGCGGTGATATCTCGGGCCCGAAAACAAGCTTCATCCTAGCATTCATGGGTATTTCGTGGTATGGATGGATGGTAGGATGCTGGCAGTCGTTTTCATCCATCCATCCATGAATTCGGTGTATGTGATATTCTGCATATATGTGTCAGTTATGTCTGTCGATCGACGCATACGGCATGCATATCAGATACATACTTACAAGCAGGGGGGGGGTGAAGGGTGTAAAGAGTGTGGAGTGTGGACTTGATATTCAGTGCGTTAGAATTATGCATTTTGACACGTCGTTTCAACGCTCGAGCCGATCGATCCTACGGCGAACGTCAGGCATAACAAAATGTACGTGCAAATAAAACCAAATCCCGATGGTGCAAAGGTGCAAATCAGGGGTATGTAAGGGTCGTACTTGTTGTGGGGTTGGAGTTGATCATCTGGTGATATCAATTGAGGCATTTGCTGATGGTGGGATATGGATATCAAATTGTCAAAGCCTAAGTTTATAACATGCTATTATTGAGAAGTAGTAGAGTATTGAAACCGAAACCAATATTCATTCATTCACTTTTATTCCTACAGAGAGATAGATAATCCATATTGAGCCACCAACGGCTCAAAAAACCAATCAATTCAATTCAATTCAAAACATGCAAAAGGGCACCCGAAACGCAGCAGGCAACCAAGAAAGAGCAAGAACCAAACATATAAATAGGCAGAATAGATACGACTAGTACCTCCAATTCACACATATTAGCTGTATAGATAGATGATAGATAGATGGTAGACGGGATCCGGTCCGTCGGGTTCAGTATCAATTTTGTATGTTTTTTTGTTTGTTAGTTAGTGAGTCCCGTCCCATCCCATGCCAGTGGGAAAGGGGGGAAACCCAAGAAGAGAAAAGCAAGAGCAAAGAAAAGGAAACGCAAAGGAAGGACTTGATGTATGTGATGCAATATGCGCGGGAAGTAAAATATATTAAGGAGCGGAATCGCGGAAACCAGCTGAAAAAACGCATCAAGCGGGAAAAGGTAAATAAAATAGATAGAAGCCGAAATGGAGTAACCAAGAAACGTAGATAGAGATGAATAGAACGGGGATAGATATCGACCCGAATATAGTGAGAATGAAAATGTGCTTTGCACTGGTATATAGAAAAAGAAGACGAAAAAAAAAAAAAAAAAAAAGGGAGAATGCTGAAAAAGGAGGCCGTTCAACTTGATACACGCAGGCGGAATAAACCGGACCACAAGGATGTCAGACGAGGCTTCTTGGACCGATCTGCTGCCTGTCCCTGAGCCGTGGCAGGAGACGGAATGTGCACTGACATTGCGCGTGGTAGAGGGGGAGGGGAGGATGCCCCTGAGGTAGGCAGGCGGGGGGTACCGACCAGGGACATGGAGCGGGAGGTCTGCGCAACACGGGAATTTGGTCGTGGTTTGGGAGCAGACGGATTTCGCTTGATGAGTTTGCGAGCTTGGGGCTGTTGGAAGTCAGCTGGTGCTGTCACTGTTCGAGACATGGATGGTGGTTTTGCTGGTGGTTTAGAAGTAGGAGCTGGAGGTGCCTCGGGGGTAGGAGCAGAAGCTGAACCAGATGCCTTGACTTGGGATTGGGCTTCGGCAGGAGTTGGCGTTGTAGTGCCACTTGCCTCCTCGAGAGGAAACGATTTGGTCTTGCGGTACTGCGACTTGTAGTCCTCTCCGCTGGTCTTGGGGGTAGAGAGCGTGGTGGAGGAAGCAGACGCGAGGTTCGAGGTAGGCACAAGCGAAGGACAAGACATCGAGGCCCGACTCTCAACAACAACGGCATCAGTTTGAGGGTGTGCCTCGTCTTTATCAGTGATATCCGTCATGGAACTTCCGGTGAACAAGCGAGAGGATGCTCTGGGCCATTGGGAGCGCCTGCTGGAGCGCGGCCGAGGCTGAGGGCCGTAGACAGATCGCTGGCGTATGGCAGTAGTTTCTTCCTCGACGGTAGCAATCTGGACTGTGTCTGGCACAACCATGGAGGCACGCAAGAGAGCGTAGAACCGGGGCTGTTTAGATGCCTGTTCTGCAGACGATGGTGACGCTGTGGAAGCGGGAGCCGGAGCCGCCTGCATCTGCTGCAGGGGTATCAGGGGCGGGTTTGGCTGCGGGTTCTTGTTCCTGGTGAGATCGGAATCGAAGACCATGGTGTTTCGACGGGCCATGTCTGAGGCTGCTGGGGTGCCGCCTGGGGTGTTGTAGGATTGCGACCTGACTGCTACTGCTGACGCTGGCCGGGGCATTGCGGCTGCGTTGGAGGTAGCTCGTCTGGCTACGGCTGCAGAACCAGAAGTAGTGGGACGGGGCCTAGCAGCAGCAACTGAGGCGGATCTGTGGGCGGTGGATTGATGAACCTGGCGGTCGAGACTGGAGGTACTTGATGAAGCCATTGGGTTTGTAGCAACGCCGGCGGCAGCAGGAGGAGTAGCGGGAGAGCCAGTGCCGTAGTAAGAGTGACTTCTGACAGCCGAGGGAAGAGTTCTGCGAGTAGATGCTGCGGAATCAGCTCGAGGGAGACTGGAGGTACTGGCCGAGGCAGACGGGTTGGCCGAGTAAGCATGATATGTCTTAGGGCCACCGGGAGCAGCAGACATGGGCCTTGCAACAGTAGAAGAAGTAGAAGATGTAGTAGAAGTAGACGAAGTAGTCTGCTGGCCCTGTTTGTCCAAGCTGGACGAACTATTTGATGCGACGAGACTGGAGCCAGAGTATGCATGGTACGAGGGACTCTGTGTTGACGCCGGCGGCTGGACAGGGACAGGGGGAGGCCTCCTGGTTGGCTGTGGAATCTGATGGACGGACGTCAGACTGGACGAGCTTGAAGACGACCCAGAGGCCGACGTAGCCGTCGAAGCAGCCGTAGCATTCGCAGAAGTCGTAGTACTAGCATTCACAGAAGTGATAGGAGAAGTCGTAGCAGGAGTAGTAGTAACAGGGCCAGCGGTAGGGTATGCTGCATGGTAGGACTCCTTTCTGAGCAGCGATCCAGGAGAGCGCCTGACGGCGGAGACAGCCTGGTAGGCCTGTCTCTCGATGGAGGCCGCGTCCGAGGAGGAGGCCGCCGAAGCCGAAGCCGCCGCCAACGGCACCGAGGAGGCCGAGTATGCATGGCGGTAGGGCTCGTTCCTGGCGGCCGCGGTGGACATGGGCCTTGCAGCGGTGGACCGGGGAGCCGGAGCATAGGAGGCGGCGGACTGGGACTGGGACTGGGGCTGGGGCTGCTGGGGGTGTCCGCCTACCGCGACGGAAAAGGGTCTATCAACGGGATTCAGGTGTCGGGTGCGAGAGGCAAGCGGCCGGCCGTTTGGAAAGGAGAAGCTCTCGGCCCAGGGGTTTGTCGATGTTGATGTTGATGATGTTGGCGATGCAGTTGTAGTGGTGGTGGTATCGAACTGCGGGAGGTTGTTGACCAGCGAGTGCAGCGACTGGAAGTTGCCGATGGAGGGCAAGTAGACGGGCTCCTCGTCCTCGGGCACGTCTGGAGACGCAGATGCAGGGCCCGGATAGGCCTGGTACTGCTGCTGCTGCTGCTGCGGACTGTAGTATCTCTTGCTATCCTGTTGTTGTTGTTGTTGGTGTTGGGTATGCAAGGGCGGGAGTTGCTGGAGCTGCTGCTGGCGGTCTCTGGGGCGAGTGCCGCGGATATACTGGCTGCCTCTCGACGCCGAACGGGGCTGCATCATGGCTCTTGGTTTCTCTCTCTTCACTTCGTTGCTACTGCTGACTGACTATCGTTACTTTACCTGAAAGACGGAAGAAAGAGAGAGCCTTATAAAGTCTGGTCTGCTCAGCGACGGACAGGGAATTAGATTAAAAGAGACGAAAAAAAGGCGAGCCACCCGGCACTCCACCAGGTGCGCAAAAGGCGAGGTTGAAACGGCTCCTGAAACAGCGTGAAACGAGCGTGGACGAGAAGAGCGAGGGACTCAATCAAACGAGGGACATCACCGGTGATGGACGAAGGAAGTATATGAAAAGAGGTCAAGAAAAAGAAGAGGCAGGGAGAAGAGAAGTGCAGAAGGGAAAAAGAGAGGAAAGTTGCAGGTTGAGTGTGGATGCTGCGTTACACCGTGGCCGTGGATGGAGGGATGACCAGCCAGTCGAGCGGAAAAAGCAATTCACTTAATCTCAGGTAAGCGAGAGAGAGATAGAGAGAGGTCGATGAAGCGAAGGTGAAGCTGAAGATGAAGTTGAAGAAGTATTCATTGGCAATGCCAGCAGTCATGAGTATGATATGATACAGACTCCATTAAGAACAGAACAGAACAGAAAAAGCAGAACCCCTTAACCGATGAACCCCGAAGAAAGAAACCCAGTCGTAAAAGCGTCTAACCACCGAAACCATAAAGGGTGCCTAGAGGGTGTTATTAGTATAAGAAAATAAGAACGGTAATAAGGGAAACGTACGGCCCTGGCGCTTGAGAGCGTAGACGACATCGAGAGAGGTGACTGTCTTGCGCTTGGCGTGCTCGGTGTAGGTGACGGCGTCGCGGATGACGCCCTCGAGGAAGGACTTGAGCACGTTGCGGGTCTCGCCGTAGATCATGGCGGAGATACGCTTGACACCACCACGGCGGGCGAGACGGCGGATGGCAGGCTTGGTGATGCCGTGGATGTTGTCGCGGAGGATCTTGCGATGGCGTTTGGCACCGCCCTTGCCGAGTCCCTTTCCTCCCTTGCCTCCTACAGGTCGTTAGCCTGGCTCACTCACTCACTTCAAGCAGAGTAGAGACACTTACGTCCAGTCATGATGAATAGAGTAGATGTAGAAGTGGAAGTTTAGAGTAGAGACTTGACTTGACTTGACTCTTGACTGAGAGTAGATGTAGATGTAGTAGATGTAGTAGTTGTAGTGTAGTTGTTGTTATGAAGTTGAAGTTGAAGAAGCGAAGAAGTCGAGAGCTTTTCTACTTTCGGCGCGTCGGGCGTGATCTGGGGATCAGCCAATCAGCGTCGAGGATCAGGATCACTAAGCAGATCAACCAGCAGAGCGCGAGTTCTGATCTAGACAGCCCAGCGAAGGGCCGCCAGGACGCTGATGCGAGGGGAGCCAGCAGCTGAAAAGTGGCAGATCAAGGGCCAAGTGAGTGATCCTGCCCTGGCTTCACTGCCCTGCGCCTTTCGCTGCTGGATCACCGCTGGATCACGCGCAATCTCCGTCTTCTGGCTGCCGCTGGCCTCTCCAGATCAACTTCTCGCTCGCCAGATCAACCCTGCTTAGCTAAGCACGCCTGCCAAGCCGCCGCCCCTACAAATATCTTCGCCTTTTCCGCCTTTCGCTTCTTCCCCTCAACTTCTTCTCTTCACCAGCAAGACATCAAGAAGCATCTTCATCACGAAGCATCTCTCTTCATCAACAAGCAGCTTCATCTTCATCTTCTCATCAAACAACTCTTCTCAAGACTCTCAGTCAGCTCTCTCGATCTATCAAAATGGCCAGAACCAAGCAGACTGCCCGTACGTCATCCTCACTCCTCACCTCTCCCTCTCGCTCTGTCGCGTTTCTGACTGTGTCCAGGTAAATCCACCGGTGGCAAGGTCCCCCGTAAGCACATCGCTTCCAAGGCCGCCCGCAAGGCCGCCCCAACCACCGGCGGTGTCAAGAAGTCCCGTCGCTACAAGCCAGGTAGATGCCATCACTCGTCAATCTTTAACCTCGAGCTGTCTTTTCTAACACAATAAAATAGGAACCGTCGCTCTGCGTGAAATCCGTCGCTACCAAAAGTCCACCGAGCTGCTCATCCGCAAGCTCCCCTTCCAGCGTCTCGTCCGTGAAATCTCCCAGGACTTCAAGACCGACCTGCGCTTCCAGTCCTCTGCCATCGGCGCCCTCCAGGAGTCCGTCGAGGCCTACCTCGTCTCCCTCTTCGAAGACACCAACCTCTGCGCCATCCACGCCCGCCGTGTCACCATCCAGCAGAAGGACATCCACCTCGCCCGCCGTCTGCGTGGTGAGCGTTCTTAGAGCACTCGCGCCATCCTTCTTTTTTTAACGACACACGGTCTGGGGGTTCATGTTTTTCTTCTCTCTTGCTCTCTTGCTCTTTTTTAACCACTATCGAGGCTCGGACATGGGTTTGGTCAGAGGCGTTTTCATCATGTTATTTTCTCTTTAAAACTACCTTATGTGTATAATATCCAGCTGCAAGGCTGAGGACGTAGCTTGATCTTAATCGACTCACTTTACGTCTACCTTTTTTTGCTATTTTTCTCTTGTTATTCTTCGCGTCGTGGTCGTGTCAGTCGGTCGGTCGGTCAGTCATGGGGCGATGCGGCTGACTCGGCTCGTTTCGGTAGATTTTTCACCAGTCATCAGCATCACCACGATAACCACAGTATAACCACCAGACAATATAGACAACACTAGACAACAGTGTATAGAGATAGCGACAATGATACTGATTCTGATGCTGCAGTGCCCTTGAGATGCTGCGTCCTCGTCTCCTGGCGCTCCGTCACTCGCGCGCCTTCACCTCCTCCTCCTCCCTCGCAAAGCCCAAGCCATCCACTCTCCCTACCACTACTACCACTATCACTCCGACTTCAACTTCGACTTCGACTTCATCTACGGTATTGTCAACCGCCTTCTCACGCATCCAGGCTTCCTCCCTCGGCCGCGCCCTGCTCTGGTACGGCGACAAGCAGAAGAAAAGACCCTACTGGACGCAGTTCTTCAGCACCGTCGTCATCTTCCTTCTCTCCGACTTTAGCGCCCAGCTGCTCGTCCCCTGGATCACCAACGACACCACTCACGATGACCAGCAAAAGACACAATCAGGAGATAACGCAGAGGCAGCGAAGGGGATTCTAGAAAAGTACGATCCCGTGCGCACTCTGCGGCATGTCAGCATTGGCGGGTTCGTGGCTATTCCCAGCTACACATGGTGAGCCTACTATCTCCAACATCATCCAACATCATCTATACAGCACCGCTCTATCCTACATACTACTGAGATCTGAACATTATCCTACGAGAATATCCTATGAGAAGATCATCCGTTGACAGTAGTGACAGGTTCATGTTCGTCCACAACAACTTCAACTACGCCTCCAAGTTCCTCTCGATAGCAACCAAAGTCGTCCTCTCGCAGGTCATCTACGCGCCCCTCTTCAACGTCTACTTCTTCTCCGCCCAGTCGCTGCTGTCCGGCGCCAGCTGGGCGGAAACCCTCCAGCGTCTGCAAGTAACCCTGCCCGTCAGCATCGTCAACAGCGCGAAGATCTGGCCGGCCGTGTCGGCGTTTATGTTTCTGTACATCGATCCGGCGTTCAGGGCCATATTCGCGGGCACTATCGCACTGGGGTGGCAGACCTATCTCTCCTGGCTGAACCAGCTTGCTGCAAAGGAAGTTAGGGAGAGAGAACTCGTCCGTGGGAAAGTCACTGTCTAGACATTCTTTTAGATCTCTTTTCGTATATATTTTTTTTGGCTGTATATAGATTGGTATATAGATGGGTATATAGATGGTTGCATAGAGTTGGTAGCTCGGCAGGCAGCAACATCTCCTTCTCTCGTTCATCAACTCAACTCTGCTATCTATGTCGTCCTCCTCCTTCGACTTCCTCGAGGGCTGGACAAGCGATGACAGCCACAGTCTCTCCGCCAGCGAGTCGGAGCTCGACATCTCGCCCGACGAGGCTCTCCTGCTCGCCGACCTTATCGCCTCCGTCGCCGATAAGCCGGCATCCTCTGCTACAGCCTCGAGCCAGCATCATCACCAGGCCGCCCCAGACATAGAAGACCATGAATACCTGCGTCTGGCGCTGGAGGAGACCTTTCTCCCGGACGACGATAGCATCCCGGACCAGGAACATCAGCATCAGACTAGTAAGGCGATTTCTCTATCTTCTCTAACTCTTTACTGACTTGGCCTGGCTAAACTAACAGCGCTCTGCAGCAGCCCGCAACCCCATACAACTAGACCAACCCAAAGACGCAGATAAAGACAATGCAGATGGGAACAATGGAGATAGAGACAGAGACAGTGATGTCTGTGAAGAGAAAGACTCTCGCACACCCCTCGAACGCTTCAGACGACCCCCCATGAAAGGCCTGTCAGTCTCCGACCTCGTCTCCCCGGCCTGGTGCGAGCTGCAGTACACATATACCCTCCTCCACGGGCCCAAGCAGACCACGCCCGCCATGAAGCGCGGCACAGTCGTCCACCAGAAGCTCGAGAACGAAGTACACACCTCCGTGCCCGTGACCGTGCTCAGCAAGGAAGACGCCTGGGCCCTGCGCATCTGGAACGTGATATACGCCCTTCGCACGCTGCGAGATACCGGTATCACACGCGAAATGGAGGTCTGGGGGATGCTAGACGGGGAGATCGTGACGGGCGTGATCGATTGTCTCTCTCGCGACCGCCCTACTACACATGCTGATCTGCATCCCTTGCCCGCGCCGTACTCTGGGGTCCGCTCGACTAAACGACTGCATAACACGCGCGCTGGATGGGCGTTCGAGCACATCGGGCAGAATATTATACCACTGTGCGAGGAAGGGGGTATATATATTACTGAAGTCAAGACGAGAGATGCGGCGAGGACCGGTACGAGGCTACCTGCGCTTGACTCGCCTTCTTTCAGGCCTGCGCGCATCCAGTTACAGCTTTATTACCATTTCTTGACCCGCATGGTGGAATCAGAGGATGTCAGCGTGTTTGATATTGCGGAGAGGTATGGGCTGAAGCCTCATGCCCCGCTGTCGGACGCCTTTCTGGCGCAGGTCGGCAGCATCAACGACGATTACTTTGAGAACGAGGCTTGTTCGTGGAGTCAATCGAGGCCCGACGAAGGAGGGGATGGAGATGCTAGTTCCATCGGTGATAGACTGGATTCGCTGACGGTGCTACTGAATCATAACTCGCTGTCGAATCTGTGGGATCTGCTCAAGGAGAATCTCAGACTGACCTTTTTACGGCCATCTACGTCTGCTTCTACCTCTACGTCTACTTCTACTGCTGCAGGGGATAACCAGGTGACGCTGCTATCGCCTATACTAACAGTGTCATACATGGCTCAGGACAGACCAACCGCAGACACGGAAAGGGAGCCAGAAAATACAGAATCAAAAGAAGAGGTACCAACTGATGCAGAATCAGGATCAAACACGCCCACCCCGTCAGAAACCCACAGCCACAACTACACACAACTAGGCACACGCTCGTTCATCTTCGACCCGGACTCGCTCTACCCCTATCTGATCGAGGGCTTGGCCTGGTGGCACGGCCGACGGCCTGCTCACGCCATCCCCGACTCGCAGGCTTGGAAGTGTCAGTCCTGTGACTTCAGGGGGACCTGCAGCTGGCGCCGGCAGCGGTTCGAGATGCACATGCAGAAGATCCGGGAGAGGGGCAACAGCAACAGGTAGCTTGCGATCTGTTTGATGATCTATTGATCAGCTGGGTCATATAGGCAATAATATAGTATATAGCTAGAAGGGTACCCCCCCCTAATTGAACTGATTTGATATCCCACTTCTCCATACATGAGTCAGTCTCGAAGGGTCCAAATTAGACTGCCGACGTGACACGCTTGATGTAATAGCCGTCCCATCAGACTGGAGCTGGGCCGTGGCAACGTCCCGGCGAGCAAAGTCAAGCAATAGCCTATCTGCTGGCCTCCATGAACGCGTCAGGCACAGCGTGGAGAAGTGTTTAAATTGGCATTGGCATCTAATAGGGGCGGAAGTTCTTCGGCAACACATGTCGTTGACAGCTATTGCCTTATCACCGTTATTACTGCTGGAATATATCAGACGTCCATATATCTGTCGGCGTGGGTATTGTAGACTCCGATGAAACTCCGTGGTCTGTTGATGTAGCATGATATACCACGGTTGATCAATATGTAGCTACGGTGCCGCAGCAGCAAACACCCACCACGGCGAACTCTCCAGTACCTTGGGTGATTTACATCCTAGAATAAATCAGATATACTCTATAGACATGGTATATATGCAATTACTCCGTGTCACGCTGTAGTGGTGGAGGGTCGGACGAAATTGCTGATATCAAAATATATTTTTGCATTTTTTATCAAATTTAATTATTTCCACCAAAACTACCAAATAATCAAAACAACATTGATAGACCACCCACCAGCCACCCAAAAAACGGCCGACTGACGGATGGAAAGCCCGGAAACTAGTACTCTGTAGATAGATAGATGGGTTAATAGCCGATATGGAGCAACCGCCTGGTGTGTTGCTGGCCGTCTTGCCCTCCTCATGCCCGCTCTCTCTCAAGGTGTCTGTTTATCTGGCAGCGAAAGACCGCCAGCTTGCCAGCTACCTACAGGGATACCAGCTACTACCAAGAGATCACGCTTATAGGCGTCCGTCAGCTCATCCTGGGATCATACGAGGCCAGCCAGGCGTCTCTTTACCCTCTCTCTCTACACAAACACACACACTCTCTATAATTGTCTGTTGTTGTTGTTTGCATGGTATGAATGGTATCGCGATTACAAGATAGATTACAGGATGGTATCTGTGACAGCCCCTGGTAGCTTCAAGTATCCTCGCACGCATCCGCAGCACCGAAGATACCTAATGCTACCCCAGCTGGGCCTGCAGGCGTTTGTTACGCATCATATTTAACCAGCCCAGCATGCCGCAGCCATTGGGCGCAGGGCGCTGGAGCCGGCCTGCAGCGTCCTGAGTGTTTACTTTCAATACCAGGCAGCGTCACGGCCGATACGGGGATGCGGCGTCACGTCTTGTCACGGCGCCCGACCTGGCCTGCTTCTTCGCCTTCGATCGCGCTGCTTTTCGTCTTTTTCCTCTCTCTCTCTCCTTTCGCCTGACCTGAACTCGCCTCCTGCTCTGCGTCCTGCGCCTCCGACACGCTGATACACGGGTACGTTGACGTGGGCTTGCTCGTCCAGTTGGTGATACTTAGATCTGGCTGAGCTGACAGGCGATAGCTGTAGATAAACCACCTCACCACTTACTCGCTTGATCGCATCCCTCAATTGACGACGGCGACGACCCACAATGACCACGCGCAAGAGACGACAGGAAGCCGGCGAGGAAGAGGAGCTCCAGGCTCTTCCTAGCGACCAGAGTGACGAGGAGGAGGAGGAAGAGTAAGTCGCGTCTTAGCTGTTTTTGCGAGATGGTTGTTGATGGCGAGGCTGATGCTGACGTTGGTGCTAGGTTCGACGATGAGTCTGACTTTGAAGGCGAAGAGGAGTCGGAGGAGAACGAAGACGAGGAGCCTGCTGAGGAACCAGAGCGTGAGTTTGACTTTCTTACCTTGTACAGGATGGCTGCTCCTCGGGACGTGATGGGATGCTAACGCGGTGCAGCATCGGCTAAACGACGCAAGACTGGTCGAGCAGCAGCTGCTAAGAAGGCTCCTGTTGACGACGAAGAAGAGGATGAGGAGGAAATAGAGGAGGAAGAGGAGCAGGAGCAAGGAGAAGAAGAGAAGGACGAGGAGGAAGAGGCTGAAGGCGACGACGAGGAGAAGGACGGCGATGCTGAAGACGACGATGAAGTCGCTGAGAAGCCTGCCTCGGACAAGAAAGCTGCTGCTGCCGGAGAAGAGGAAGAGGAAGAGGAAGAAGAAGAAGCCAACGAGTGAGAACGAACTCGCTGGCATGTACGAGAATGTGATCGGGAAAACTGAACCTGAAGCTGATTTATGAAATGTATTTGATAGAGGAGGACAATAGGAGTGTTTGTTTGTGTTTATCTGGGGGGTATCATCGTATATTCTGTAGGGCTGAGACTCGGGAGCCATGTAGATGGGCTATCCGTCTACATACTTCGTCAAGAGCCCCTATTCACGGCATCGCCAAAGTCGATAAAAAACTACGGGACGGATGTAAAGAAATGAATTTTTTATATTTATATCGCCCCACTCCCCTGCCGTTCGATATGCGTACACTATTAGCCCGTAAGTACCTGGGATACGGTCACTATTCGTTCGTTCTGGCGCCCTGAGGCTGCACGGCCAATGAGAGTGAACATCATGGCATTTAATGCTATGTATAGAGCAAGTAACTCATGCATGCAGATAGACAGACACGTAGATACAATCCATATAAGTTTAAGGAAAGAGACGAGTTTATAAGCAAGCAGTCTAGCCGTCGCTTCCGCTGCTTCGGAACGTCGCGCAGAGCTGGCAGTATTGGTGCGTGAGATCGAGGATGGGTTGAGGCAGGTTGGTCGCCTGCACGATGCTGCGGACTTTGACCGCGCCCTCTTCCTCGATCAGCTTGCGGATGATGTACAGCAGGTCCGGGGAGAACTGCTCGACGTTAGCATCACCAATCAATACAAGACAGCCTAGAATAGCAGGAGACTGGGGGGTGACATACCTCAGAGTACCAGCGGTACTGCCAGGCTATCAACCTGATCAAGGCGTTGAGCATGCCTCGCGTATCGTTCTGGCGCTCGTACATCTTCAAGATACCCCGTAAGGCCTTGGGCGAGAACCGCACAGACAGACAGTACTTGTACGCCTCGATGGCCTCGGGCAGGTGGTGCAGTCGCTCGGCCAGCTCGCCGAGGATCTCCCACTCGGTAGGCGATTTCTTGTAGTCAAGGGACTGTTGCCGGGACTGCGCCATTTCAGACCGCCAGATGGTGTACACCCGTAGATCTTCGTACAGCACCATGAACAGGTTGTCCAGCCAGCGCTCGCACAGACGTTTGTTGTGGAACTGGGACGTGGAATTGGTGTTTTCCTGCTGCATTTGGTTCTAGTTAGCATCGCGTTTCACCTTCATCTTTGTCAATATAAGTCAAGGAAAAAAAAAGAGTAAAACGTACATCGTCGTTGCCGGACTTGACTACCTCTGAGGCAACTGTCTGGTTGGGTTTCTCGATCCCATGGTGCTCAGAAGACTGCTTGGGTTCGCCGCCTTCACCTCCATTTTGCTCCGAGGCTCCCTGCTCATTCTCAGACTTGTCACCATCATCATCGTCGTCGTCGTCGCCGTCGCCGTCGCCGTCTTCCTGGGTTGTCCTGGTAGCCTGACTTGCGCCGTCATGTAGGGCTACTGTGCTGGCATTGTGAGTGGTGCTTCCTGGTCGGGTTGCCGTCTGTCGTTCCACCCTGTACTCTTCCTCCATGACAAACACCTCGCTTCGGATCTTTAGGAGCTGATCCCATCCAATGCTTGCGGCAATCTTGGTCAACAGGTTGTACGCCTTCAAAAACGTTCCCTGATAGTTGCCTGCATGCAATTTTCGTAGAGTTGGATGCACCATGTCATGCGGAGTGCCTTCTTTGGGTTGGCCCTCATCAATCTCGTCCAGCAGGCTTTCGGGAAGCACAGGAAGGATGACGCGGGTTGGCTGAGGCATCCGCGGTGAGTCTCGGTCCTGGTAGTTGAACATCGGACAAGAGTTCAGGGTCAACAGTGCCAGATTCCACTTTTCAAGGCTCACATATACCTCCGCCAGCCGGATCCAGGAGCTAAACTCGCTCGGTGCCGCCGTCACGCTGCGTTTGGCGCACTCAAGCGCCATTTCATGCTCACCTTTGCTTTGACAGAACGCAGCCTGGCAGTCCAGCAGAGCATAGTCCATGGGTATATCCTTGAGAGCATCGTGCATCAATCGAACAGCCTGCACCTCTTCATCGGCTGATATCAGAACCCGTGCAAGAAGAGATGATACCTCTACTTCTCGTGCTCGGAGCTTCTCGAACAGGTTAATGCCAGACACATATCGTCCCGTTGTATTGATGTATTTTAAAAGGCCGGAGGTAAGATGGTTGGTGACTGTGTTGGGGACTTGGGTTTCAGGGTCGGAACTAAGTTGTCGGCCTAGAAAAAATAGGGGGAGGTCCGCCGTTAGCCAATTGTACACTATTCATGACATATTTGAAGGATAACGAACCGTTGAAGAAGAGCCTTTCTGCCGCATCGAGGAATTTGTGTTCCATCTCCGTGTTGGTGATCGGGTTGAACCGTCTCACGCCCACGATCTTCTTGATGGCATCCCCGCTTCCGTCGTCCGCATAGGAGTAGGACCTTAGCACGCCGCACACGAATGTCTCCAGCCATAACGCTTCAGTTGCAACACGCTTGTCCCCTCGCTCGTCGATGCAATAGCTCTCCAGACTTCCGGGGATCTTCACCTCAACCCTCATATCTACATGAGAGAACGCATTGTAGCAGCTATCCCGTACGTTAGCGGCTTGTATCGACACCGGAGGGACCATAACTGATGGATATATAGTATATACCAGTATATTCCCGCAACCACTTTATGTTGCTTGTCAATCGGCGAGTAGGTAAGAGTGTTCACGTAGGCCGCTAAGCTGGCTGATGAAGACGCATCTATTCCCGTTACATGGTGATATACTCCGGTCTAGGCCACCAATCGCTCAGTTAGCCCAAAAAAGAATAGTCGCTTGAAGGATAGCTGCCACGAGCTAGGAACGGCGCATCTAACCTGGGTGTTCGCAGCAGATTTGGACTGCTTCACTAGGTGAACGAGATCTGGGGGTCCGAGTTCTCTCAGGTTCTGTAGGGATTCCGTGCGGGCATCTATGGACGAGTAGAGCGCATCGTCTTCCTCGATAAGCCTGTCTCATGCAATTCCCGTTAGCATACAGTCAACAAAACCCATCTGTAGCAGCCCCAATCATGGCATTATCACGAGTGATAGCTCAACGCATGCCGGCTGGCCAACACTTACTCTGGAACAGCTGGCGAAACCATAGTCACTAGTCGCCCACCCCTAAAAGAGCAGCTCTAGGTGTAGGCAAAAGAAAGACAGGAGAAGCGCTTGAATAGCAGAATTGGATGCCTCTTCTCTTCGAGCAGTGACTTAATCAAACGGCATAGTGAAGCCGGCCGGGCAGGATGGCGCTGTTGGGAGGTCGTTGTTGGTTGTTGTCCGCTGGCCAGTTAGTTCATATTTACTTCCCTGCAGGCGAGCGAAGAGGCGGTGCTTTTTTTCCTTTACTTACGTTAACTTACGCATCCACGCATCTCGCGCCATGCCCGATCGGGAAGTTCGCGACCTCCCAGCTTCATCTTCGCCCGTCGCAGGCCTGCGCTTCTACAAGCCAACAACCGCCGCCAACAGCTTCGAACGAGGGCGATTTCCAGTGGTAGGAGAGTAGAAGACGGCCTGATTGTCTCTGGCCAGCTTCTTCATCGGCGTTTGGCTCGTATTTGCTCCTATTTTATACCCTTGGAGGCCCCGGGCTGGACCCTATTATATATCAGTGGACTCTCACAGGGCAAAACCGACCATGTCTACCTTTGCAGCCCTGAACATAGAGGCCGATGACTCTCCGGAGGAAGAGATCGATGACACTCGCGAGATCCAGATAGAAGAGGCCCTCAAGCTATACCAGACTGCCCTCAAACTCCACTCGCTGGGGCCAAAGCACTACAAGGAAGCCGCAGAAGCTTATGACGCGCTCTTCAAGTCAGAGATATTCAAGCTCCCGCAATACACAGATCTCGGAGCAGACGTATCAGACGATGGTTTCATAGAAGAAGTTGACGAGCCGTCGGCCGTCTCGGTTGCTGCCGTGGATGAGACCGAGACCGCTGCCAGTGCGCTGCCGCAAACTCTTTACCTGTCATACAAGAATTACGGCCAATTCTTGCTGGACACTGTTCGACATGCATGGGAGCAAGGCGGAGACATAGCTGATACCACTCCTTCCACTGAATCAGCCATCAGACACTTTGCGGACGCCCTGGAGCGCGATGATACTGATCTTGAGCTGTGGCGCAAGTGTGGTAGGGTTGGGGATGCCCTCAGAAGTCACCGCATCTCGAGATTCTGCCTGGAGAGCGTTTTTGAAGGGAACGGGGATGGTATCGACGATGGATTTGAACAGCTAGGCATTGAGCAAGCCGGTGCTGTGGGCGATCTACGGAAGTTTTTCACTGCTCTACACGACCCCTTATCACTCGCACAGCTGCCGCAGAAACAACCAAGGAAAGCTCTGCTTAATTTTTTGCAGCGGCAGATAGATCCATTTCCGTACCTCCCTTCCGCCTTGAAGCAGCTGAACGGGGGTTCTATATCCTGTGCACTCGCTCTTCCTAAAATTAAACGCCTTACTGTCACCCCTTCCGCCAACTCCTGGGCTGCTCTAGGTGAAAAGCTCCTTGAGCTTCTAAGCAAGGATGACTCTGATCAGGGCACAGCCGAAGTACAGGGGAACCTGCAAATTTGTCTAGCAGACTCGGATGTCACGATGGCATCTCCTGCGGCCACTCTCCCAATCATCCAGGGCCGAAGACCATCCAAGCACAAAAGCTCTACTTCCACCGATATGGGCGAAGCAGAATCAAAACCTAAAGCGAGCACTGAAGAAGCTACTGCTAAAGATACTGAAATGAAGGACTCCGCCCAAGCCGATGAAAAACCAGAACCCAAGGGTAATGGTGAAGTGAATGGAAATACTGGCGAAGATGCTCAAGATGATACAGCCAAAGAAAATGAAGATGAAAATACCGTTGACAAAGACAAAGAGGAAGGTGAAAAATCGAATGAGCCCACGGATGATATAGAACCAAGGCCTGGTCCCCAGACAAGAAAGCGCTCTTCAGCCTCAATAGTCAATGAAGAACCAACAGACGGAGTAAGGACAAAGAGCAAGCGTATCAGGGCGCGAGAGTCGATTGCCGACACACAGGCACAGCCAGAGGAAGTGATTTTTGACCAGACAAGGTACTTCGAAGATAGGCTCGAGATCTATACCCACGCCGATGAGTGGATGTTTAGCACCGCCAACGATCTTCTGTCAAAGTTCGGCGTTGAGGAGCTTGGAAGTATCGATCAAATAAAGCAGATGCTCGCTTCTACTGAATCTGATCAAGACACCACGGAGATCACTCCTGAAACCTTGGCCGTACGTGACTTGAGGTACATAGTTGAGAACTGGAGTGATGCCTTTGGAAAAATAGCATTGCACAGTGATATATTTGCAGATACCCAGGATGGCTTAAAGGGCGTGAGGAAATCCGGTCTCAGTGTTTTCCTTGAACACTCCAAACAAGTTGGCGCAAAGGCAGAACAAGAGGTAGATTTGGTTGACAATGAAAGTTTGGAGCAGTTTGCAGAAAGCGTCAATAGCAGCAATCTAACTATACAGGAGGTTGCTTTCAAGTGGCTTGAGAAGTATCTCAAACCCGACCTACAATCTCTCGGACACGACATATCCACTGTCACGGACTCTAGCTATGCAACGCAACGGATGCCGCAAAACACTCGGGACACCCTTACCCAGATATTGGTACGACTAGATGGATTTGTCTATGCCAGGATGAGAGAATTCGCCTTGAGCCTGGAGAAACGGATCCTTTCGCATGCGCACGAAACACCATACTCCTTCACGCCGGATGACCTTACCGCCGTGGAAATGTCACAAAGCATTTACGAGCTGCATCTGGATATATATGATTCGATTATCTGCCAGAAGGAAAAGGATCAGGAAGCGGCCGTTCTACAGCAGGATAGGCTTAACCGATGGAGGGCCCTTACGCGCGGTTACATCAGCTACTACCTCGACCTATGTGCCGTGGATAATCGACAGACTGCCATTGTTCTAAGACATCTATGGGCCACAACTTTCCACGAAAATATGCTAGATGACCAGGATAGGGAGTATGTTTTGGCATGCCTCGGTGATATTCGACGCGCTCTAGTATCGTTGGGGGACCCGGTTATCACACTGGCAAATAATACCACCATGCCAGAGATATCTACAACTGCAATTGACCAAGAGGTTTCTCGCCTTAAGGCTATGAGCTTCTTCACGGACATATTTGGCTCCGGAAAAGATGATCCTGTGCATCTAATTGAAACTATAGAGCCGGTCCTGGACCCGTCTGCAGTTCGGTATACCGACGAAAATGGCAACGTATCTGAAAATATCGAGCCTTCAACAACCGTGCAGAATTTGATAGAGTTCCTTAACCAAGGTGATGCGACTCTCAAGCTGTTTCTCTGGCGCCGTCTTCGCGAGGCATATGATTCCATCGATTATCCAACGAAAGTCGTCTCTTGCCACTTCCGGGCCCTGGAGACTGTTGTCCAGGAGCTGGGTCGCCCAGCTCGCATGGATTTTCCTGTATATGAGAGGCGATCTAGCCTGCTGAAGTGGCTAAAACTAGCGGATGATATACTTACCAGTGTCATGAGGAGGGTAGTTAACAACTCCGAGGTTTCTTTCGAGTGTTTCGACTGGGCCCACCTGCAAATGTCCATGTCTTCCCTTGCTCGTCTTTCGAGGATCCTTCAATCTTTCGCCTTTTACGAGGATGGGGTTCGTGTTGGCCAAATAACGCCGGCTGACGTTCGCCCTGCTTCAACTGCAAAGTCCCTGGAACAGTTCAAAGAAAAGTTACGCGGCTTATTTGTGAAGATATGGATGGTGCAGTATGCACTTTTAAGAGAAGGTATTGGTCAGAACAAAGACTTGTTTGATACCCCCTTGGATGACCGCATACACTTCTTACGGTCTGTTCACAACGCGCTCGGGCTTCGGTCATATTGCAAATACCCGAAGAATCTATTCGTTAAACTTATGAGGGATGAACTCTTGACATTAGAAACTGATGACGTCTACGAAGATGACCTTGCGCAAGTGCTGTACGACTTATACAAGTTCAAATTCTCACCTCACCTGGACGTTTCGTTTGAACATGGCTGTCCATATGAGCCTCTCGATCAAGAAATAGCTCTGAAGTTAGTTGACTTTACTATTTCTCAGACGAAGCGGATGGATATCAAAGATTATTTGAAATCGGATCTAAAAACGACTGTCGACGCGCTACAAAGGCAAATAGGACTGATGGGCAAGTCAGAGGTATCCACTCCTCTCAACAAGAGAATCCTGTCTAGATTTTTGAAAACCCCAATAAACCCCCTGGATCTTTTCCGTTGTGTACAAGGTATCACTGGACTGTCTATGATCCCCGTATATTCCAGGAGTGCCGAACTTGCTGATAAAGGCTGGTTCACCTTCCTGGGTTCCGCGGCGCTCGCCAAGTTCCGGTCTTTGAAGAAAATAGGTCCCACTCCAACAGATGACCTAGATCTCGCTGCTACTCTATTCCGCCATGATCTGGAACATGGAAAGGATCGGTGGGAAACATGGTATCAACTTGCTCAAGTATATGATCTACGACTTGAAGAAGACGTCGCTTGGTCTGCAGAAAAGCTCAACAACGACAGAGAGGATCTTGCAACTATAGAGCGCAGAGCTATTCACGCGTATTCTATGGCTGTTGCAACTGCTGTCCAAACAGGTGATTTGAAGCCCAGCGAAAAGAAGCAAGTTTCCGATTTATATGCGGAATTTGGCCTTCGAATCTATGCATCTACAAGAGAGCCGTTATCAATGGGTGCATTTGATGTGTCTCCATTCATGAGACACTTCAGCAGTGATGCAGATCAGAGGATGTACGAGGGAAAGCCGTTCAGTGCTATGAAACCGTTTTCTGCATGGTACTTTGCGAGCTTTCTCTTCCACAAAGCAACTAAGGAAAATCCGATGAACTGGAGGTAAGTCTTGGTTCCATGTATCCCTTGGATGGTGCTGTGCTGATGATTTGCCCTAGAAACCACTTTATGTTCAGCAAGTGTCTGTGGAAAATGTATTGCAGTAATGACCCGCTCAAGGAACGATACAAAACCATCGAACCGTCGGATATCCTGGACTCTTTGACAGACGCCATTGATGCTCTCCCGAAAAAGAAAGATGGCCGAGCGTCAGAGCCGATTCTGGAACCCCATTTCAAACTTGTTTCAATCACACATAAACTTGTGCGACGAGGTGATCTCAATGTAAGTGGGACATAATTCCAGGTACTAAATAATTACATGGACTAATAATGCAACAGCCGAAGGAAGCTAGCGAAAAACTACTTGCTACCCCGTGGGCTAAAGGGTTATCACCAGCTACAGACTTGGAATCCTGGAAACCATTCATCCTGGGGGTTCTTAAACAGCTTCAAAATGCTGATAAGTCCAATTGGCATCATCGTATTGTTTTAAGGGTTTGTATTCATATCCGGTTTGGTCATATTAGGTCACGCTGCTAATCTTGCTATATAGGCTGCCCATATAATATACGATGACTCGAAAGACAAGGAGGCCGCAATTGCGGCAAAAAACGACCTTACCCAGCATATCTTCACGAAGACTATGACCGTACAAGTCTGGCGGCCAGAAAACGAGAGAGCCGGAAGACATTTCGTCTATACTACCCGATATGTTTACTTTTTCGTTCAGCTTCTGGATCAGCTTGATGATCGTGCAAACCTGGATATGTTAGTCCGTCGCGTGAGACGAAAAGTCAATGATTATTTGAACTTTCCCAAGCTTTGGGAGGATACGTGCATTACGTATATAAAGGTAAACATATAAGCCCAGCGTATTTGTGATCAGGCTGGCTAATGAGTATGCAGTTGCTTCGACGTATAGGTAACATACCAGAGGGAAAGGAAGACGCCGTCTTCAAGGGTGTTAGCCTCGATGACTTTACTCTCTACTCTGGCCGTTTGGATGCCTGGTGTCAAAATCCAGCTAAGGAGGAGATACCGACAATAGAACTGTTGCGAGATGCCGTGGAGCTGAAAAAGTTGAACGGAACCGTTATCAAGTCAGGAATGTTTGACGATCTCGTTGCTGATATATATGCCCAGCTATATGAGAAAACGCTGCCACAGTTTGTCGAGCAAGTTGCTGGAGAGGAAAATCGGGAGCGAATGAAGGTAGACCACTTGCTTATGGCGGGTGATTCTGGTGATGGGGCGGAAACACCTCCAGCGACAACTTCTGCGCAAGCACCAGCGCCTAGACCTCGGGCAAAGGGGGTGACTAGAAAAGAAGTGCAGAAAAAGGCTGATGCTATTGCTGCCAAAGCCCCACGCCCTGCACCTAAACCTGCAAAGGCTGTTGAGGACGAGGCCAAGCAAACCCAGGCAGAGCGTCAGACGGCGGAGGAGCAAACCGACAACGGTCCTGCTACCGAAGCTGCTCTTGATGAAAACAAGGAGGAGAAAGGTAAAGAAGATGCCAACGCAGATGATAAGGATGAGAACGACGGAGTAGAAAAAGAGGATGAAAATAATGAGGAAGAAAAGGAGGAAGAAAATAACGAAGAAGAGGAGAGGGAAGGGGAAGAGAATGAAGAAGAAGACGAAAAAGAAGGTGAAGATAACGAGGAGGAGAAGGAAGACAACCCTGAGGAAGAGGATAAAGAGGGAGAAAATATTGAGGATAAGGACGCGTCTGGTCCTGATCCCAGTATACATGATACCACGGAAGAAGAGAGTGGGCTCAGTGAACTTGAGACTGAAGCAGGTTCAGGGGACACTTTGAAGCCGTCTAGTCCTATATTCCAGCACCTCCTCAGGGCCCGCATGCTCTCCCCAAAAGCAGGGTCGGAGTTATCAACTGTCACCAGCGGTGAAGGCGGGGATAATGATTCGATCCCCGCTCCATCTATACAGGATACCAAGATGGAGATAGACGGGGAGGCTGAGGCTGGAGATGATGGATCTGACACAGAGGAGTTACCAGAAGATTGACGGTAGCCCGTTTTCACAAACTGTATTATATACTTCCTGATGACTTTCTGCTTTTTTGTCACTCGGATCAACAAGGCGTTCTTCATATATACGATCATTCATATACTGAGCTCCTTTGTAGCATATATTTTATAGCATTACCATTGTTAAATAAATATCAGTATATTTGATATCAATTATTAGAGGTTCTGCAGTTAATATTATCCACAGAAGCCCGATACAACCGCATAGAAGTGCCCCCGCATTTATCGATATTTCCAAGAACCCATATTAAAATCTGGTACAGCTGTTAAGGGAATATACATGAAACAAACAGGGAATCGTAAATCGTAAAGTGTCCACCCAAGGAAACCCTAGGTTCAATCATATGCGCCTTCGGGAGCTAGATCCCACTGTCTGGTAGTTAACTTTTTCGGTTTTCCAGACTGTGCAAGTGGGCTGGACTTGATATTGAACTTCTTCATGTCGAGCTGGGTATTCTCAGTGTCACTTTCATTAGCGGGTATGAAGCTGTAATCTGTGGAATCAAATCGACCGGGTATAGTGTTTTTCTTGGATCTAGTTTTTTTTGTTGGAGATCTAGAATGGAGTTCTCTTTCCAGTTGCTCTATTTTGCGTCGTAATGCATCATTTTCAGATTCTAAGTCGTTTATTCTTTCGGCTGAATCGGGAGCAGGATCTTCGTGTACTTGGGGGTGTCAGCTCTGGTTCCGGTGCTGATATAACTGAGCTTGATATGCACTTACTCTTAATACCTCGGGAAAGGATGTCGATCTTCATATCTAGGTGGTTCTCATTTCGAGAAGTCTAGAGCGAACATTAGTATGGGTTGGTACAAGCAGGAAACTGGATAATTACCTCTTCATCCAAGGCAGCTTGCCACCGTCGTTTCTCTTCGTCCATACGTTCTTCCATCTCGGCCCAACATTCTTCTCGAATATCTTGTTCGATGACTAGACATCGCTCTTCAGCAGCTTTGAGCTTGAACTCTGCTTCAATCCTCAGGGCTTGTTCCTCAGAGAATCTGACAGCAAGTGCTTCATATTCATCACTTATCTGCGCAATTTCCAAGGCCGCGAGTTCTAGCTGGTCTGCATAAGCGGCTTGAGCCTTACTTGAGGCACCAGGGCCGGGCTTTGGTGTAGCTGAGCTAGGGGGAGCAGATAGTATCGTGCTGGTTATAGATGGAATTCTTGGAACAGTAACCTCTCTAGCGAGAGCGGAGTATCGTAACATCTGAGAGGTTGCGTTGAAATCACCTAGGGGGTCGGCCATTACCAGCATGACGGCCCTTTGGGAATTCCTTGGATGTGAATTTGACGATGCATTGTTTGGTGACGGGAAGGAATTTGAAAACAGGAGCTCTGTGAGTTTACACTGCCTGAATGGTACGAGGGCCTATTAATTCCAAAATTAGATGAACTCCATGCAAGTATATAGAATCGAAACGCACCTTATTACCATCCTGGAGATCTGACTGCATCTGTAGACATTGCCCAAGATACATCAGACTCTCGTTAATTTTACCAGCTTCCGCAAGCGTGGCTCCGGCAGTTTTTGCGTTTCTTGCTCGCTCAGAACCTTATATCGGCTGTTAGTATATCTGTATCCTCGTCCGTAAAAGGTAGTAACTTACCCGCAAGATCAACAATGGTAAATGTATGTCCGGCCCATGATTCGTAACCATATCTCCTATCCACGACCTTCTTTTTGACTTCAACGCAGAAGAACCCGTGGCTTCTAGAGCTGACGCTGTTGCTTCCCGTGCCTGTAACTCTTCGCTCAGTCAATCCGGTCTCAAGGACCATCAGGGCTTCCTCATATGTTGAGCAAACAACTTTCCGTAACCCGGCAACGACTTTACGATCTGTTGAGCCTTCGGTTGATTTGAAAAGCAATGGTCGTCGACGGTCTTTCTGGTTATTTGCAGCTCGCGTTCCGTTAACTTGGCTGGCTGGAGAGAGGAGGTCGAAGATTCGGTCGTTATACACTTCGTACATCGACACAAGGACAACATGCTCATCGGTTTCAGGGACGGAGATTTCAATGCCACTTGTATCAGGGTCTTGGGGTAAGATGCTAACTCGAGGGAGGTGGGGGCGACGCGAGCTTGTTCCTATGAATGAATCCTTGAGATGCCGTTTAGTAACATTCTTTGATGTGTTGCTGTGATTTCTGTTCCAAAAGGGCAATTGAGAGGGAAGCTTTGGTGATGTGCATGGGCTCCAAGTTGTGTTTTGATTATTATCGGACTTATAGGTTGGAAGCTGAGGGATAAAGGGGTATATATGTGCTTTTTGGTGTATTTGTTCAAGTGCTGAATGAGATAAAGCCGATGTATGTACATTCTTCCCCAATAATGCTGAGATGCCGAGTTGGGATGAATGGCCTACCATGGGCGTCTGAGACCTGGACATTGGTGTCTGCGCTCTTGAGATCCGTCCTCGATCTCCGTCACCATAGATCATCTCAAGAAAGTGGTCTGCAGCGTAAATCTGGGCTTCTGACGGATCTGATGCTGCAACGGAATCGAGGAGAGGATTCTCTGCTTCATCGTCCGGAACTTGTATGGTTTTTTCGAGAGACCTAAAGATGATATCAAGAGACATCTGTGTTATACCTCTCTGCGTCTTGGATCCTAGGATCGTGTGGCTCTATATAGACATGCCATCAATATCAAAATCGCTAGTTCAGGAACCTGTTGCAGCCTACCTTCCCACTTCCTGTGACTCCCAGCGTCGCCACCAGGCTATCCCTGTTTTCCAAAAGCACGGCATTAATCAATGATGGCATGCCAGACTCCTGAAAGACGTCGAGCTGTGTAGCTTCTTCCTCGAACACTTTGGTGAATGCGAATTTCTCGACGGCCCGTTTTCTCGCATCATTCGGCGGCTGGACTGTGATGTGAGTTGGGAACGGCTCATCGCCCTCGGGAGGCTCAATGGACAAAAAGGGCTCTTGTTTTGCATCATGTTTGTTCTGGATCGGCGGGCGTAGTCGCAGATAGACCTGGAACAGCGACGTTTGTCCGCTCGAAGACTTCGGCCGCTCCATCGCTGTATATATGTAATTTCCAGTCGACCTAGGTGTCTGCTGTCCGTTTCTTTTTCCCCTTCCTTTTGCTTTTCTGAGGCGACTCGATCTCGACCGTTAAAAGTTGCTTTGGTAGTTGTGAGTTATCAAAAAGTTGGCGCTGGCAGAGCGACTTTTGAGCCGCCTCAAAAACACTAGCGGTTGCCGGGGCAACGCGAGAGCGATAAGCGCGGGAATAGCCGCGGTGGTGTATAAAAATTAGGATTTATACCAGCTAGAACATACATAGTTGATTAAACTAATATAACACTTACAACACGGCAGACGTGGAAATAAGAGGAGGGGGAGCCTGCTGCGGGGCTTCTTAGGTAGCAGCAGCTTTTGTGCGTGACACTCTTCCGCTCGTTCGACGGGATGCTGCATCCTTGTCAGCCGCCTTTTTCGGTGCCTTTGCAGCTGGCTTCTTCTCTTTCTTCTCTTTCGCTTCTTCTTTTTTGGTATCTTTCTTCTTCTCGGTCTCTTTCTTCTCCTTCTCCTTGGTATCCTTCTTCGCCGTCTTTTTCTCTTTGGCGTCTTTGGTATCGTCTTTCCTCGCCTTCGCCTTCGTCTCCTTCGCCTCTTCCTTCTTCGCTTTTCCCTTAGCCTTCTCCTTGGGCTTCTTTTCCTCCTTTTCTTTCTTCTCTTTGGCAGTAGTCGCCTTCTTCTCCTTCTCCTCCTTGGCCTTGGACTTTTTAGGCTTCTTTTCCTCAACTTCCTCGTCTTTGGCTTCTTCCTCTACCTCGGGCTCTTTGCTGTCCTCTGATTTAGTCTTATTTGCCTTGGTCTTCTTTGCACCAGCTTTGGCACTCGTTTTGGCCTTTTTAGTGGCTGGCTCCTCGGCCTCGTCAGCTTCATCAGTCTTCCTCTTGCCTTTTTGTTGCTTGGGTGCCTTTTTGGTCTTGCCACTCTTCTTTTTATCATCCTCGTCCTCGTCGTCGTCTTCATCCTTCTGATTCTACTCCAGAGTAAGTATATGTATATATCTAGATAAGTGTAGGATATAATGATGCCTACCTTCTTCTTGGACGCTCTCACTCGAAACCCGACCTTTCCAGGGCGGTTCATCTCCACATCCTATAATAACACGTCATTAAAGAAAACTTATACGGCGAATGACGAACATACACCCTTCCAGTCCTCATCATCGACATGGCCTTGTTCGACGGCATCGGCGATTTTCTTCTGGCTGTCGGCTGGGATCTCATCGTAGCCATCCAGAAGCGTCATGTCACGGTCTCCATTCTCATCAACAATCTCCTGGATACTCGCAATTTGCCTTGGAGTCACACACCCCCTAGTATCACGAATCAGTATTCGCGCGATGACCAAACACGACAGTAGATAGCACAACTTACCAGTGCTTCCACGCCCAGCTTTGGAACTGCTCGGTGTCAACGAATGTGCCTAGTCTAAGCTCTCCCTTAAGGATCTTCTCCTTTTTCTCCTGACACTCTTTATTCTTGCAGCCAGCCCTGCCAGTACTGGCCAGCTCTAGTCGTGCTTCGATGTTAGTATAGCTCTTGCGGGTCGCGTCACGGCGCGTCGTATACAACTCGAGAACAAGCAGCTCAAGCATCCAGAAAGTAACGGTATAAATCTACTCACCAATACGATAGGTTGGCATACTGATCTACCAGTCCGAAGGCACAATACGATTGCAGGCCGTGATGATGTCAAGCGTGAGAAGTTGAAAGACTGCGACGTTGCTTTCTTTCGTGGTCTGCGACCAACATTTAGGGCTCGACGGATGTATAGCAGCAACCCTTGCGATTATTACGCACGCTCGCCTATTCAATGTCGGGTATTTGGACGCATGAACAGGGCTTTATTTAGAATATTTGACACTTGGAATTGTTCAGTAAAGCATCAGTGGCTTGTAGGAATACGCCTGTGATGGTTGCTCTGCAGTAGAAGGTTAATACACCATAACTACGCATCTCTCTTGCTCCCGAGGAAGACTGCAAATAATTTCACGGCATCTAGTCCGAATTTTACGTGATTTCACTATCAAACTTATCGTAATCTGATTCACTTCATGTTTAATCAAAATATTCAATTTACAAACTGCGTACTGATATTTTGTTAAAATATATCACGTGACCTGCGATTTTGGCCTTTGAAGACGTTGAAAAGAAGAAGAAAAAGATTCAACTTCAACTTTGACGAGCTTCAGCTTTCTTCTTCAACGCAGGATGCGGCAGGCAGTTTACACGGACGGTTCCGAGCTATTTCACGTATCCATTTGTTAAGGCGAATATAAGATACACTTGGGCATATACACATACTAGGAGATACCAAACCCATAGCCTGTCAAACGACCACTATTGGGCATCACCACGATGTCAGAGCCGATCCCAGAATCCATTCCCACAAGTCAAGATCCCCGAAGCAAACGCCCCACGAAACGGCGGGCCCTTACCCCCCTCTCTGAGCAAGCACAGGAGATAAAAACGCTGTTTAAAGACCCCTCAAAAGAAATCAGGTTACCGGAACCATCGAAACCAAAGACCCTTGCTCCGCCGCCGGAAATAATAGCGAATGTCCAGGGATCCTCCGCGGGAGCTGGATCAGGAGAGTTCCATGTCTACAAGGCTAGTAGGAGACGGGAGTATGAACGGATAAAGCTTATGGAGGAGGAGCTGAAAAAGGAGAAGGACGATATCGAATTCAATAAAGCGAGGGAAGAAGCTAAGCGGAAGGATGAAGAGAAGACAGAGAAGAATAGGAGGAAAAGAGAGAAGAGAAAGAAAGGCAAGGGGAAGAAGGGAAAGAGTGGTGGTGATGATGATGGTGGAGGAAACGATGCTACTGATGCGGCTGTCAAGGGACGTGCTACGAATGGGGATGCTACTGTGTCGGGGACCAAGGAAGACGGACATGACAACGGCGAGGTTCCCGGCGTTATTATCCATGATGAGGATTGATACGCGGGTCTAGACGGGTGATGCTGTACTATAAAGAGATGATATGATACCCAGGCGAATTTTAGTTTTTGATATGACACGGCCATGCACACATGCATGCGGCCAATTGATTTCTCTATTCCGTTTAATTTTTTTTCCCTTGCATTATGTATTGACGGCGATTTTATGTGCCAGATCGACATATCCCAATCATGAAAATACTCCAGACCGTTTATTCTTCACCGCCTCCCATGTTGGCAGCTTGGTTTAGGGATTTAGCGCTGCAGATATCATCAACACGCAGTAGCAGGCATGCAGACTAACAGAAAAGAAATGTACGTTAGCAACCTATGTAAAAACTAGGGGAAATGGTAAGAAAGGTAAAAAAATACCTCAATAGCGGTCTTGACACTCTGCAGTTTGACGGCTTCGGGCTCCCATACGCCATACTCCTTCATGTCAACAAGCTTTCCGGTATCACCGTCGATACCCCAAGTGCTGCGGCCTTCGACATGCTTGGCTCTCAAAGCAGTGAGGACCTGGATTGGGTTGGCACCGGAGTTCTGGACTAGAGTTCGCGGTATGACTTCCATTGCATCGGCGACGGCCTTGTACGGCCATTGCTGGACACCTTCGACCGACTTGGCTAGGTTAGCAAGCTTGACGGAGACGGCCATCTCAGTGGCACCTCCACCAGGGGATAGGCGAGGATGGTAAATAACGTTTCTGGCCACGGACATGGCATCTTGAAGGTTTCGCTCAACCTCGTTAAGGATATCCTTGGATGGACCTCTGAGGATGATGCTGCAGGCTTTCGGGTTCTTGCACTTTCTGAGGAACGAGAAGTATTCATCGCCGATCTTTTCAATTTCGAAGAGACCGCACTGGGTTCCAACATCGGATTCCTGTAGGTCATCCACACGGTTGACGATGGTAGCTCCAGTAGCACGGGCAATTCGATTGTTGTCCATCTTTCGCACACGTCGAAGGGCAGTGATATTCTGCTTAACTAGGAAATGTTGCGCCAGATCTAGGAGAAGTTAGTCACGTCAAAGCCGGGGTCAATCCAATTACAGAGGTAGAATATCATACCGGAGACACCCTTCTCAGTGATGACCAAGTCAGGCTTAAGAGCAATGATGGCATCACACATGCGCTTGACCTGCTCTTCTTCGATCTGTAGAATCTTATTCCAATCGTCCTCTTTGCTGACTTCAATGTTGGTCTGGGATTCTCCCTTCTTATACTCCAAAGGACAGTCAAGAAGGATGATTCTTGGGTTTTCTATCCTTCTTCGCATCTTGGGATGGGTTATATCCTTATTGATAATGACACCATCTATAACCTCACTGTCTTCGATCTGGCCGCCGGGGATTTTCTCGACACGCGCATATCGTTTAATATCAACTTCCTTTCTACCACTGCCGTTATCAAGAGATACGGTTCGCACTGCCTTCAAAGCTAGGCCGCACATGAGTTCTGACCAGCGAGAGACGAATTTGGTTCCGATCGATGACTGTATCAGACTGTACATGGCCTTGTCATCGTCCACTTCGACAGGGAGGGATATTTCCTCGATTATGGCAAGAGCGTCGGAAAGGGCTCGCTTGAAGGCAGAGATTATGAGAACAGGGTGGATGTTGCGTTCGAGCTGGGGAAGCGCATGCGCCAGAATTTCTCCGGCTACAAAGAGTATAGTAGTTAGTACAGTCCCAAAGATCATAACAGATACACTAAAAAAGGACACACCGAGAACAATGACAGTCGTAGTTCCATCGCCAACTTCTTCATCTTGTGTCCGGCTCAGCTCGATCATGCTTTTTGCGGCGGGGTGAGCAACTTCAATCTCTCGAAGGATTGCATGGCCATCATTGGTCAAAACAATTCCGCCCATGGGATCAAGAAGCATCTTAAGCATGGCTTTCGGACCCAGACATGATCGGATAATATCAGCAACGCTACATATCCCCCCTTTCGTTTAGTAACCATATCATCGTAGATAGAGGGGTTCGCGGCAGGCTTCCTCACGTTTTGGCAGCTGCGATATTTGACATCTGTGCCTTTCGGCCAATCTGTCTCCCTTCATTCTGGGTATCTGGAGCCTGATATTAGCAACGGTACGAGAGAAAGTAGGCTGCAGGCAGAAGCCCGGGAGTATTTGGACCTACTCATAACAACCACAGGGGCCTGCATCTTGGGCAACGGCGAGCTCGATTATAAAAGAATAACAGTATAAAGGGAGTCCCAGGCGGAACAAATGAACAAATAAACAGGGCTCGGCCACAAGACACCTCCCACAGCGCAGATATCTAGACGTGCCGGAGCTTTCTTCTTGGTCTTCCTGTTCTTCTTCTCTGATATCAACTTTCGACTTTCGCTTTTTGCATAGAAAAGCTTCATGTGGGAGAGATCCCGCACTAGACCCAAAGAAGACTAGCGCATTTTACTCCAGCTTCGACATCAACAACATTTTGATTCTTTGCTAGATGATGACAGGAATACGTCTTACAACAGGATTTTATATTTATACTTTTACATTATATATAATAAAAGGCCCAATACGTTCATCCTCCTCATGCGCTCGAGTTCGGCCTTAGGTTGAAAAGCGGTTAGAATGACTCTCAGGTTTCGTGGACGTGAGCGGCTAACTTACTGCTGGACCTCTTTTGAGGTCACTATTGACCCCCCTGGAAAGGGGTCAACCTTGGATGAGCTGATACATCCATCTAGGGCCAGTATCATTCTGGCAATGATTTCCTTGACATTATTCCATCGCCGGCTCGTCCTTCAGGTGAGGGACGAAGGACGAGCCGGCACACAATCACCTCCGAGGTTGTCCTCGGAGGGACCTCTTATCCAGGTGGATATATTCCCATAATTCTTTTATTGAACGGTACTTGGTCTTTCTATTATCCTGGCTTGTTAGTTGCGCAGTAATACTAGAGGAAAAACGCGACTATACGTACCTTTTCCCCCATGGTAGGGGGACCCATGCCCTCGGCTGGAAGTGTGTGTTTCCTATTAATTCTTCCGATCTTGTCGGTTTTCTGGAACCTCACGGCTCGGCCGGGGGCGCCGGGGGGGCACACCATTGTCGGTGCCCCCCGGCACCTCTCGTGATACGAGAGGTGATGCCCTTATTTCACCTCCAAAATTGGAGGTGATATCGATTTTTTCGATACCCAAATATAATGGAATCCGGAATATCAAGTTTTCCAACAAACTCTTGACAGAGGAAAACGTAATAAAGGGTGATATCTATCACCACCCTCCCCTTAGCCCGGCTGGTGTTTGGTCCGAGGTAAGGGGGGCCAAGGGGAGGGTAACGTCTGCAAATTGCTCCCCCCAATGGGGAGCGATATGAGGATATATTATCGTCGGTTATATTAATACCGAATACCGATATCGATACCCTTTATTCGCTTGTATGAGGAACAAGCGGGTTAGCAACGTCAACCATGGCTTCGAAGGAGCACGTTTCTTACCTGTCGTGTACATCTTATTGCAGCAATAGCAGATAATAATCCTGATAGGCAGGATATATACATAAGACAGCATATATATGTCTGGTGAAGAGGAGAGTATATGTATAAAAGAGTGTGGTTTCATTTGTGTAAAGAGTTGTTTGTTATGGACAGGAAGAAAAGAGAGAGAGGGAGGAGAAAGAGAAAGAAAAGAAGGACAAGAAGGAGAAGAAGGGGCTTTTATAAGGACATCCCACCTGAGGACGGGCGTCAAAACAAACATGCACACTATTCCAAACAGGGACGCTCGGCGGCGACAACAGGCTGTGAATGCCCAAAGGGGAAGGACACCTCTATATCAGATGGCCATCTCTTACTGTGCACGAGGCCTGTAAGGTACACTTCCACAGCAAGGGTCATAACCCCTTTTTTCGCGCAATTTCATCTTCAGCCACTCGGACCTGTTTTCGCAGAGAGACTGCGGGTCCACCGGTCCGCGAGCAGCGGTTTGAGGGTATCCTATGGTCTGGCCAATTCCAGTGATATTGAACTTGCCGCTTTCACACCCCCGTGCGACGCAAGCACGCTCAAAGTCGTCCTCAATTGCTCTGGACTCTTCGTTCGTGGTCCCCCAGGTGCCATAGCCTATGGCGAGGCCAAACTGGGCCCCCAAGTCCTCGAGCATCATTATCGCATCGGTGGGGTCGCAGTTCCTCCCGCTCCAGAGAGTACGGGGTTTATATCCGCCGATTGGGATGCATGCAAGATCTATACAAGGGCGTATGCTTCCGATGATCTTGCACAACTCCTGGGGACAGCGGTTATTGGTGTACGGACGTTTTGCAACCCTCGTGAAGAGTGGATCCGCGCCGGGCGGGACATCTTCTGGAGTCCGGTATCCAGTTGCCCTGGTTAGTGAAATGTTAGCATGTGTATAGTTACCATTGAGGATACGAGGTGCATACCCGCAGAAATAGACATTGCACATTTCCGACCGTATCAGCCAGGCAGCCCAGAGCCCCTTTGCCCTGCTCCCCGGGCCCATGGGGCTTTCATACTGGCAGGGAAGACACCATATAGTGGCATTCACGTCTTTGCGTTCTTCCCATCCAGCTTCCACAATCTGAGCGGTGTCCGATGCATTGGCGTATGGCAGGGACTGAAAGTCCACCTTCTCATACCAGTCAAGCTCGGTCACTGTATCGATACTATTCTCTCTGAACCAGTCCCCGCATCCTCTCGGGACAATAAACTGACAGAAGGGATGAATCTTATGGATCTTTTTTATCGTGCGATATGAAAAGTGCTGAGGGTGGCTGTTAGAAATCAAGACGATATCGATAAAGGGGATATCCTCGATCTTGCACGGCGGTGGATTGAGGCGGCGTTCCTTCACTCCTCGATACACACACGTATCTTCAAATACAGGGTCACAAAGGACAGTGAGGCCACTCCAATAGAACTCCATGTAAACACTCGAGTGTCCCATCCAGGTTGCGTAGATGTCATTCACTCTCGCGGTCCACCGAAAGTTCGGAAAGGTAACATCCACTGCAGGGATTTGGAACAGGCGCTTGAATCTTTCATGGAGTCTCCTGAACTGAGAGTTAGTTACCCTTTGATGACAAGTGGGATGGTTATGCGTGTCATATTTTTCTTACTGTAAGTGTGCCTCCGTGGTTTTTTTGTCCCTCTCGTCAATCTTTTCCATACGCCTTTGGAAAAGTTCTGAGCCTAGTGGCCTATTCGTTTATTAGCCTGACTAAACCCACAATATACATTTATCCAAAGAGAGAATACATACTCCCAGCTGTTTACGAATGCCTCGGTATCAGTGGTTGCATGAAGCTCATCTGTCTGGGGACAATGGTACTTGACCAGGGTAGCTTTATAGCAGTAGGAGTCGGTCGGTTCCCCTAATTCTGCAAGTTGCATATCGTGTTTCTTCTTAAGGTCCAAGCAGGCTTGGATCTTATCTTTGACCCTCTTGAATATACCCGAGGGCCTAACTTGAAGGTCAGTCTGAGGCGACATCTTTGTCACGCGTATTAATATCAAGCTCTAGTTGGTATCGTTATCCTTCTAGAGCAAGGGGTATCGTCTGATTTACGGCCTAGGATGGTTAAAGATTAGAATCATTTCAGCATTTCGGGGAAAGAACTCCCTTTTATATACTACAGCACTACGGATGTAAGTCGAATTCGTCATATCTAATTCCAATGGCTGTCAACACCGTCATTTCAATGTCGTTGACGATATCGACAAGTCAATGACATCAGTTTAAGTAAACATTCAAGATTACATCATCAACCTTATTTAAGCCGCACGGTGTTATTATTATCCGTAACTCACAAAGTTAAATTACATAAGCAGAGTCAAAGCAGCGACGGATATCAAAAAAAATAAAAAGTTGCGAGCTTCGATTCGGAGTTTGGATAACAAGAAGACGATTTGTCGCGATATGAGATAGGCTAGAGCTGTACGGGTACACATATGTTGGGAAAAGATGCTGCGGCAATTGCCTCCAGGTCAATGGAACCGAATGGGGCGGCTGCTGACCAGGCAAGTTCTGTGGCAGCAGCGAAGCTGAACTTGACAGCAGGAAATGCCATCCAGACGGATAAAGGGTTGTTTGCACAGCTTTCCGATAACCCCTTTTTCACAGCTGTAAGTGGTGTAGAAGTCGAATCTCGGCTAATATATACACTAATACTCATTTTTGCTCAATTGATAGGGATTTGGATTAGCAGGTTTAGGAGCAGGCCTCACACTTGCGCAGCGTGGAATTCGACATGGGGCTATACTTTTACGCAGACGGATGTTGGTTGACGTGGAGATTAGCATAAAGGACGACTCCTACCCGTGGTTTTTAAACTGGATGACGCTCTACCAACGCTCGCAACTTACGAATCAAGCTGCTCGAGGGCAGACGCAGACATCCTTTATGGATTCACTGCTGAACAAGCTCACACCCGGTATGCGTCACCTGTCCATACAAACCGAGAAGATCGAACACGCAAACGGGGCGATGCACACGCACTTCGCCCTCATACCGGGCCCGGGAAAACATATTCTCAGGTACAAGAACGCATTCATCTTTGTGAATCGCGTCCGAGAAGCCAAGTCGCGGGACCTGCAGACTGGGCGTCCATGGGAGACTGTGACCCTTACCACGCTATACTCGCAACGGCATATCTTCGAAGACTTGTTCAAAGAAGCACACGAGTACGCGGTGAAGACGCATGAAGGAAAGACTGTTATCTACAATTCCTGGGGAGCAGAGTGGCGCCAATTTTGTCAGCCTCGGCGCAAGAGACCATTGAGCTCGGTCATCTTGGATGCAGGAGTCAAGGAACGAATTGTGGCCGACGTAAAGGACTTTTTCTCAAGTGGAGCATGGTACCACGATCGTGGTATTCCTTACAGGCGAGGCTACCTGCTCCACGGCCCCCCGGGTACCGGCAAGAGCTCTTTCATCCAAGCGCTGGCTGGAGAACTAGACTACGATATCGCAGTACTCAACCTTAGTGAGAGAGGCCTGACGGACGATCGATTGAATCACCTGCTTACTATCATCCCGGCACGGACCCTGGTCCTACTTGAAGATGTGGATGCGGCCTTTAGCTCACGGCGCGTACAGTCCGACGAAGATGGATACCGGGGTGCGAACGTCACCTTCTCCGGTTTGCTCAATGCGCTCGACGGGGTTGCTAGTGCAGAGGAACGAATTATTTTCCTCACCACTAACCACGTCGATAGGCTGGACGAAGCTCTAGTGCGGCCCGGCCGAGTGGACATGACCGTTCGTCTTGGCGAAGCCACCAGATACCAAGTGTCTCAGCTCTGGGACAGGTTCTACGGCGAGCTCGACGAGTCTAGCGCGTACAAGAAGGAGTTCCTTGACCGGCTCACGGCGCTTGGTATTATTGAGGACGAAGATGGCCAGAAGCGAGACCGGGCTATGGGAACTAGCGCCGCCGCTCTCCAAGGCCTGTTCCTATATAACAAGGGAAACATGGATGGCGCTATCTCGATGATAGAAGGCCTGGTCAACCGTGACGCTGCATAGAAGCTCCCCCCTTCACGTGTACCATACTAGAAACTAGAAATATATATACTCAGTACGACCCCCCGTGCCACACCTCCGCACCGCATGAACAAATCCAGGATCCCATGGCCCTGCGGGCGGTTACGCACCCAGCCTCCCTGCTACCGGCCACACCAACCATGCCCTGAAGAAACGAAATCACACCCCAGCCAGGCGATGATGCTTGTGGTCCTCCTTTGCGGTCCCTGCAACCGCCAGGCCCAGGGGGACCCCTTCTCACGTGATAAGCCTAATTTTGATGCCCGTTTTTAACTAAGTGGGTCTTTCCCTTTTGGCTCATCAAAGCCTCAATATAAAAAAAGCAAAACATCCGACCGCATGTTGCTCTCGACAACGACGACAGGAGGTTCGCCAGGGCGAGATGCTATAATTACGACTCCAATAAGCAGACGTGAAGGGCGCTGTTTGCTTGTTAGAAGGGCTACACTAGTTCTTCTAGTGCCCTCCAAGCACCGCATTGGTCGCGCCGATCCCCTGTCCTCTCCAAGCGCCTGGTTCGTGACGGGGATGCAGGGGGCCCCCGCCAATCGATGGACTGGTCACATCTTCTGCACCACAGCCTGCCAATAAGTACGGCGGCTACCCATCCCGTCTCCGTGCAGAGCGAATCGGAAGATGCCAATCTTGACAACCCAGCACATATCGGGAAAGGTTTCATGCACGGTGATTCAGCCGATCCATCGATTCCTTCCTGAAATGGCCCTCCTCGCTAACACTGGAAGAATGCAACAAGATTCTTCCAGACAGAGACTTTGATGTGTGGCGTGGGGGAACAAAATAAGGGACTGGTGGGAATTTTTCATGGTGTGGTGCTAAAAAGGCCCAGCGGTAAACCGTCGCACCGCCTTCGTTGATCGTTCTGGTTGGCCATATCCCGTCATCCGGGGGTTCATTTTTGTGCCCTGTACGATAGATAATATGTGATCCGCCGTTTTCACAATGCGGGGGCTCACTTTTTTCTTCCTTCTTCTTCTCTTTCATAGCTGAAAGAGAGAGAAACTGCTTTGTTTCTCCCGTCTCTGATTTTCCCTGTTTCTTTTGCTCACCGAAAATCCTGCTGAATGTGCTTCGTGCATCGCATACCCGGCCAGTATTCCTGTTAACTGACGTCCGTTGGCCTGACCGTCTTTTTTTTTTTTTAATTTATTACACATCAGATGCCTGATTCCCCTGAGGGACAATTCCAATTGTCTCCCGCCATGCAGTCCTCGAACAAAACCGGGCAGAGCAGCATCAACAGAAGCAGCAGCAACGGCAACATCAATGCTTCTATGCGTGCACACCGCCCTCGAAGGACAAAATCTCCTCGAATGTCTCCTGTTCTCGAGGATACAAAAGTTGGCGGTCAAACTGAAGCTGTGATTTTGCGGATAATCGAAGACACAAATAGTATTATACCATCTCAACAGGCACGTACGGAGCCAAATTATCCAAATAACACGGCATCCAGAGAAGATAAGATTTTTGTCTTTCCACAGCCTCACAGAAGGGTATCTCCGTCGCCGTCATCCATGTCGAGATCAAGCATGCCAAAGTCGGTAGACAGCCAGTCACCACCACCAGTCCCACGGCTAAATGGGAACTCTCAGCATAAGTTTGCTGTCTTTCCTCCTCCCCGGTCATCTACCCCGAACAGATCCAAGTCGACGACTTCCTCGTCACGTAAAAGGGCGAAGACTGTCAGTTCTACAAACTCCCAGGGCGATTCAACCCCGGGAGGATGGTCATCACCTTCGACTTCGGAGGGCGAACCCCGTGATGTTGGCAATTCGCCAGGACAGGACAATTCATCACCTCTTCCTCCACCTCCACCGCCTCCGATGAGATCTATATTTCCTCGATATGATCCTGACCTGCCTCTGAGTCAACAGAGATATTATCCGAATGCAGGATCACCTAGAAGTAGTTCGGACCAAGCACCGTCGCGAGTAGACTATGGATCTCTTTCACCTCCATCTACTTCTGCATGCCCCAGTTCATTTACATCCATCGATGGGCCCATGATCGCTCCAGTGGAATCCCTTGAAAAGCTATGGAATGCCACGTGTGGTGAAAGCTCTGGATCTGATGCCGGCACTTTTCACCTGAATATCCGAAGGTAGGCCTCGTCTGGTATTTTTCATGGGATATCTAGTCTAAAACTAACAACGACGTAGGATTGATTCGTTCACGTATAATATCGGTGCTGGATCTGTGGCTTTCTACACACTGAAGACTGACACAATCAGTGATTTTGAACTTCACAAGACACACCCAACCAAGCCGAACACCAAATCTCCGGTCGTAACCCTCAATCTTGACGACATCCAAAACCGCAGCAGTACTACCATTCCCATTTTCCCGAAACTGGCAGAGATCCTAGCAAGGGAGCAGTCATTAGAATTGGCAAGACAAAATAAGCTATCCCCTGTACAAGCCATGGAAGCCGAGAGTGCTGCAGTGAGCCAAGTGAAAGCAAAGGAGACTTGCCTCTTTGAGTGGCAGGATGCCCAATCACGCTATAAACTACACTACCAGGCGATGATGAACTCCTCACCAGCTACTCCTGGAAGCCGCCCTCAATCAGCCCGGTCAAGCGTGCCTACATGTCTCCTTAATGCATCAGTATCGAACTCTCTACCTCCATTCGGCGGCCCATCATATGGCCCTACCGTTGTCGTGTCAGCTCCTAACAGCGGGTCGTCCTCGAGGGGGACTGATACACCGTTGGCAGCCGTGGATTTAGAGCACATGACTCTTACTATCTTTTCGACCGATATTCTTTCGGCGGTCCCATCGCTGCACAGCATTGATACCCTGGTCGCAGCCATTCTCACCGTAACCGTCTCCAACGAAACCACCAAGCAGGTTCTTGAAAGCATCGACATCTATGCCCCCAAACCAGAGGAATTCCCTGACCCGTACCGGCCTCCAACACCAAGCCCGGCCTCTGTTCTTGCAAACCATACCCCGACCAACAGCAATGGCAGCGCTAACGAGCATTCCAACCCCATTTCGACATCCACCTCCACTCCCAATAACAAGCCTGCTTGTATTGAGGAAGAACGTCGATACTTTACACCAACCGGCAAACAGATCTTCACGACTCAAGCTGAGCGTGAAGAATACGAACAAGAAGCGGAGTTGATGGCGCAGGTTAGGCGAAAACAAAGGAAACCGAAAAGGAACCAGTCGGTATCATCCTGGAAATGGCCTTGGAAAAGACAGCCTGAAGTCGAGGAGATAGACCTTGAAGCTGGCATTGGCAGATCCTCCAACGCAGTCAAGCAACAGCAGCGGCGGCAGCAGGGAGGTGGTGGACATGGCACCACGACAACAACAAAACAGCAGCAGCAGCAGCAGCAACAGCAGCAGAAAAAGAAAAGGAAGCCCGCTCTGATGGTTGAGGAGATTGACGTTGAGCGGTACGGACGGTATGCGGATGGGACACCGCGTGCAGGGGAGAAGTTACCTGGGCCGACCCGGGCAGCGCTGCGGGCGTTATTCTGGTTCTTCTCACTTATAATGTGGTGTCTTACTGCTTGTGTGAAGGGCGTGGCCTGGACGCTTGTTAGTCTCACGCAGTGTGTAAGTGGTAAGAAGGGTTAGTTGAATGGTTTTAAAAAAGGATGTTTAAGTGAACGGTGTACTGGAGGCAGGGCATGGTTAAAAACGGGGTGTTTTTCGGCAGGTGGTTTTTTAGACTTCTTTTTCAACGAGTGTATTTTGTCTAAATATATAGATTTTTAACGGCTGACGGCTACTTTGAATGAAATGATTTTATCCAACGATTCAATTGATTGCTGGCTTATTTATATAGGAGGTTTGTTATTTTCATCAGATGCTACATACACTCTAGCTCAGTTAGAGTGCTGTAGCCAGTCTGGGGTTTGTTTTGGTGGTTCTATTTACTTGTACCTAGGTAGTCTGGTCTATAGGTGAACAGACATAGGTAGATCTATGGATGCATGCAGTACGTATGTATAAAAAAACAGAGTTTTTTTTCGACAGGCAGACAGGCAAGCAAGCAACGCAGCAGGCTGTTGAACGGACATAAAAGAGATAGCACGGCTAAGGCGAAGACGACAAAGGCTGATGGATGCGGGACAGTAAACGAGAAGAATAACGCCGGTACCATGATGATCATCAATCAAGAGAGGAATATGTATGCATATGCAAGAAGTAAAAAGAGGGTATGTATGTATGTAGGTAGGTATCCAAGCCAATGGAGGGAGGGCTGGAGACAAAGAGGTAGGTAGACAGTAGAAGTGAAGAGGACAAACGGGAAGTAAAGAGATAAAAAAAAAAAAAGAAGAAGAAGAAAAAGAATCGGACAAGAAACGATTGACGCGAACGATGGAATATCGGATTCACTGTTTGAAGCTTTTGAAGCTCCTCCATGCGCTGGGGGAAGAGCTGTTGGCACCCGTACTCGGCCTGCCGCTAGGATCGGTCTTGAACTTCCTTGGTCCAGCCAATTGAGATAGCCGATCCTTGCCCTCTCGGATAGCGGCTCTTCGAGCCTGGCGTAGAGTCTCCACGCGAGCCTGGGACAGTTTGAAGCGGCGAGCGAAACAGTCCATCATGAGCTCGTTGGGGTCGATCATGCGCTTGGGAGCGGTCTGGACGACCTGGAAGATCTCCATGGGATCGCCGAGGGAGACGATTTGTTTCTGGTTCATGCGGAAGATGGAGAGGGCAACGCGGAAGAAAGTACGGGAGCCCTCGTAGAATAACACGTCCCAGACGCGTAGGGTTGTTTCGAAGGGCAGAGTGCTGATGAACATGGACATGAGCCAGTTTGTGAGGCCCAGGGTGATATCCGGCAGCCGGGTGGCGGTACTTAGGTTGGGAGGTTTTGATCTGGAGGTTGTAGGGGCAGTGCTGACGACTTTTGTGTAGACGGATGGGAGGGATTCCTTGAGGGCGACCATGAGGATCCAGAGGTCTGCGTTGGCGCCTTCGAGGCTGATTTCGTGTGTGCCCGGGAAGAAGGAGGAGGTGATGATGTGGAGGAGCCAGAAGGCCTTTTCCTCGGGCAAGAAGAGGATGAGGAATCCGGCGATGAAGTTGAGCGACTGGGTATATCCGATATTAGAATTATGTAGGGAAAATGCATATAGTACACGGCGAAGGGACTGGATGATGGGGGTGTCTGGCGAAGATGAGCTGTGTTTGAGATTGCTGCTGCCGCTGCCGCTGGAGGCGCCGGCGTCCTCGGAGGAATCTGGCTTGTAGTGGACGTTGTCTGGGAACGTTCGATGGAGATCCCGCTCAATGTGTTCCTTGTCGTCGTTCATGGGGCTGCGGAGGGCCGTCTCGACGAGGCGTCTGTACAGGCCCGGGTTGCGCCGTATGTAGTCGTATCCGCCGGCGTACCAGAACCAGGCCGCTCCACGGCACTCTGGCGGGATGCCCTTGCGGATGTACTTTTTCAGCTTTGCAGACCGGATGGGGAACGTCGTGGGCACTGCCTCGTCGATGCCGCTCGCCTTGAGCAGCGCATACCACTTCTCGCTCCGGATCTTCTGGTATTCGGCATAGGATTGATACCAGGAGTCGTACTGCTCGACGGTCACGTGGGTGGTTGCTTTTCGAAAGCCATATTGGTCCCGGGTCTTGGTCGGCTTGAGCAGCGGCGGCGGCTCAGAGCTGATGGACAAGTCGATGAAGGGTGGTTGTAGCTGTTTCTGCGGGGGCTGCATGTCTGTTGAAGTAGTAGTAGTAGCAGCAGCAGCAGTATCGGGAGGAGGAGGAGGAGGAGGAGGAGAGGCAGAGGGCGAAGGGAGAGCTGTCCGGGGCCGCGGTGAAGGGCTTTTATCACCAGCAGGCTGGCTGGGAGCAAAGTCGAAGTTGAAGTCGGCGGAGTTGAAGTTGCCCGGCGTCAGTGACTCTGGTTCGGGGGTGTCTGGGGGCGTGCTGGCGGGTTTAATATTATTATTATTATTGTAGTTATCATCCTCGCCGGCACCAGTGCTGAGCAGGGCCCGGACGAGGGCAGCGGACTTCCGCTTAGCAGGCGAGCCGGGAGACGGGTCGTCTGCGAAGCCGTCCAGGTACATATCTATGGCATCGTCGACACTCATATCGCCATAGCCGAGTGTACCCTGGCCCTCCTCCTGGCTGTTGTGCTGCAACTGGTCCTCCTGGCCGCGGTGGTCTCCCTGTTTCCCCCCCTGGCCCTCCTCCTCTGAGATCTTGGGGGACAGCTCCGTGGTCGAGCTGGTCTTGGTGACGACGCTGCTCCTCTCGGTGCCGCTGGTCTGCTCCACGCTGGAGGCCACGGTCATGGCGGACTGCAGGCTGGTCCGCGAGGGCGGCGGGATATCAAAGTGCAGCTCCGGCGTGTAGTAGCGGTGGTTGTTTGGCCGACTTGGCGAGAGGGCCATGGGAGACGGTCTGGGGGAGGGCTTGTCCGCCTGAAACGGCGAGTAGCTCTTCTGCTGCCGGACATTGGGCATGGATGGAGACGGCTTCAGTCGCGGCTGGGGCGAGTAGGGCCGCTGGTAGAAGCGTTGTTGCTGGTGCTGGTGCTGGTACGGCTGGCCTCCTGACGCCGAACCTGAAGCGGGAGCTGTAGCAGCAGGCGAGCCATGGCCACGACCGGCCCCGTCTGCGGGCTGTATCTGCGTAGGAGACTCCGTGAACGAGGCCGCATAGGAGGCCTTCCGCAGGCCAACCGGCGGGTGTTGGTACTGCTGCTGGTGCTGGTACTGCTGCTGGTGATGCTGGTGCTGTCGAAGGGGTCGAAGGCGGGTGGACGACGCACCCTTCCGCACGGCGGGAGACAGCGACGGCGACGGCGAGGAGGAGACAGAGGAGGCGGACGAAGCTGGAGAAGGAGATGGAGATGGAGATGCCGCCGCCGCCGCCTGGCTAGCCGTGCGGGTGTCTGCAGAGGGCCTCCTGGAGCCACGCTGTGTGATCATGGCCACACCAGAGACAGCGGCGCCGCTGGGACATTGGTTCGTTCTGGCCGCGGAGGGAGGAGAGTCGGTCGGTCGACGACGGTCAGCGGCGTCTGTATCTGAGTCGGAGTCGGAGTCTTGAGTCTGAGTCTGGGGCGAGTGTCGAGGCCGCCGTCCATGGCCGGCTGGAGGGAGAAAGACGCAGCTGGGGCGGTGGTTGTTGTTTTTTTTTTGGCGATGGCGATGGCGATGTCGACGTGACTGACGGTGGAGGCTGCAAGGGAGGCCGCCGGGTGGGAATTTTTTCTGGAGCAAGGAAGGCCGCCCGCAGAAACAGCCCTGGAGCGCGCAGCAAGCTCGAAGACGCAGATTTCAGGCGGGCTCAGGCAGAGACGAGGGCCGGTCTGCTCGAGTGGTGAGCCTTGGTCGAGGCGGCTCAGCGAGAGACCAGAAGCGCCTCGTATCCGACATCTCGAGCACCGGCATCGCGGCTGGCGGACACGAGAGCAGGAGGAAGCTATATATATATATATACGGAGTACATGCAGAGAGAGACAGAGAGAGAGAGAGATGGAGACAGAGATGGAGATGGAGATGGAGGAACAAGGCCGTCTACGGTGTTGCTGCGGCGTCTGGGGGAGTGAGTGGCTGCTGGTTCTTTGATATAAGAGCCAACAGAACATCTCCCCGCGGCATCTCTCCATAAATAGGCATTGATGAGACCCTTGTGATTATGCAGGAGGGCCGTCTTTACGCTGGCTGCCTGTCTTCAGACGAGGGTGCTGGTCGCCAACAGGTAGAGATGTACGGGGGTTGGCATATCACACACACTCGCACAGAGACAGACAGCATGGGATCGTGCATAAAGAAGACGCAGAGGCTACACGGGGATGTTACAGGCGGCCGGCAGGGAGCAAGACAGGCTGGCTACTCAGGTGCTCTACGCCCTGTCGTACACGGCGGTGCTGGCTGCAGCCCCGGGAGGACGAGATGGCTCCCGTTCATTCTCAACCTCCGCCAGGCCAGGAGACATCATAGACATCATAGACAGCATAGACACCACGATGAAGAAGACCACGATAAGACGAGGAGACACGCCATGCTGCGAGTGAGCGGCCGCAGGGTTGCTACTAGCTGTCTTCAGACCATGCAGGCTCGCGTACGGTGCATACGGAGGCCTACCAAATACGGAGCACGGAGTATGCATATAGCAATATTTGGTAGCAGCTCACGACGACGACGGCAGCGTTTGATACAGCTCGAGCAGCAAAGGAAGAGCTTAAATATGTTACAGCCACTGCCACGGCCCTTGAAATCGCCGAACCAGAGACCAGAGAGAGGGAGGTTGGCTGCCTCCAGCAGAGTCGACCCCTGGTTTCAACCCTTGGCCCGCCGGAACCCAATATCAACGCCTGTTCTCTCGCCACGGTCTCCCATCCCAGGCTATATCGTGAGAGTTCGAGATGATGATGATGATGCTCGTCTACAGAGTACATACATCTCTCTCTGTCTCTCGGTATGGACTCGACCTGGGACACATCTCTGACTAAGGACGGCTCGACGGTGATCCAGGAGGCCAGCGAAGGGAAGGATTGGCATCTACCCCAGCTCCCCGACGACGAGGCCTACGTATGCACCCATCGACTGCGCTGTCGCTCGTAATATGATGCCGCGGGAACTGGATGGCCGCTGCAGCGCTGTCTGCTGTCTGCTGGACAAGCGGTTTCACGATTCACGCACCCTCTGCGCCTGTGGAAGGCAAAGCGACTCCCTCCTCGTCTTCCTCCTCTTCTCCTTGGACAATGGCTCCTCGACGGATCCGCTTAGCATGCTCCACCGGCTCAGCACAAGAGGAGGGCTGTTTCACCCGTTGTGCCTGTTGTTGGCCATCATCATCTATGGCTGCCACCGCGATGCATCTTGGTCTGATGTACTCCGTACAGAGTGCCAGAGTGTCTGGTAGCTGGTACGCTGGTACTCCGGGCCCAGGCACATCCACCGGGCTGCCAGCCATGTACCGGTGACCAAGGACTGTTCTTCCAGCAAGCTTCTTCTCTGTCCTACTGGGCTCACATGCGACCCAGCGTCACAGATAGACATTCTCCCTTTCGACTGTTCACTTTATATATATTATTATACTTAGGACGATCGGAATCATCCTCCAGGGACCCGGTTCGCAGACAAGCAGCATCGCCGGCCAGCCTTCTAGGGCTTTTCTTTTCTTTTCCTCCGCCGCCTCTCCCTCTCCTCGCTTGCACGAGGCTTCTTCTTCTTCTTCTTCTTCTTCTCTTTCTCCTTCTTCTCCTTTCCCTTCGCTTTCGGTTTTGCCCCCCTTCTCCTCGGTCGAACTGCAATCATTCATTCTTGCGAGTTCAGCCTCTCGCTTCCCTTTTTTTTTATATGACCCCCTTTTCAACGCCCAGGGGAGAATACCGCTTCTTCCCTCTCTCCACGGCCCTGCTAGACCTGCATTAATATAGACCTTGCTTCTTCTTCTTCTTCTTGGGCCTTTTTTTTTTTTTACCTTTCTTATCTACTTCTCGCAGCGATGGCCTCCAAGGCAGGACCTTTGGCAAAGCCGTTTATCGACACCCGATGGGCTGATGTACGTGCAATATCAACCGCCCTCCCTGCCCCCCAGAGAAAAGTGATCAATATCAGAATCAGATCGGAGATGCGATTATTGATTAACTAGACCTTGCGACTCCACCGGCCACTGAATTTGTGCTGACCCCGTCTCGACAATCGTCAACTTAATAGGGCCTCCGAGGAATCGCTGCTCTCTTCGTCGTTGCCAGCCATGTCACCCTCTGCTTTGCTCGCAGCGTCATGCCGCCCTCCATATCGACCGACGGGCCCCGGAGGCTGTTCCAGAACCCTTACCTGCGCCTCATCGGCCAGGGAAACGCTGCCGTCTCCGTCTTCCTCGTCCTCCTGGGCTTCGTCAACTCCCTCAAGACAATCCAGCTGATCCGCTCCGGCTGCCACCAGGACGCCCTCTCTACTCTCTCGGTTGGCGCATTCAGACGAACGGGCCGGCTCATGCTCCCGGCCACTGCGGCAACGCTGGTCTCCTTCTCTCTGTGCAATCTCGGCCTCTACGGCCTTGCCAGGAGCTCGGATGCCTACTGGACCATGACCACCGCCGCGGCCCCGAGCCCGACCATACTAGACGGCATCAAGAGCGTGGCCTGGGAGATGATTGCTGTCTGGATCGTGGGAGAAAACAGGTACGACCAGCCGCAGTGGGCGCTGGCGCATCTGTTCAAGGGCTCGTTCTTCATCTACATGGTTCTCCTGGCAACCGCCAGTGCCACCCCGGCCTTTAGACTTATCGCTCTCTCCATCCTCTATGCCTGGGGCTGGATTGCCGGCGACAGTACGTTTACCCCCACCCTCTCACAGTACTTTATATACATAATACTAACCGAATGTATAGCCATTGTTCGACCAAATGTATTCGCCGGCATGATCCTCGCTGAACTGACCTACCTCCCGGCACCAAGGAAGTCCAAAGCGACAACTGTCATCCCTTACCTCGTCGTCGCATTGGGCCTCTATCTCTGCTCCTTTCCCGACCGCTTCGCCGACCAGGCCCAATGGTCCCGCCAGCTCGAAGAGCTCGGCCGCATCATCTTCCCCAAAAACGCCGCCATGGGCCGTGCCTGGCCCAACATCGGCGCACAGCTCCTCTGCTTCGCCGTCATGTACTCGCCTCAAATGCGCCACTTCCTCTCACACAAATGGCTGCACTGGATCGGAAGCCTCAGTTTCGCCCTCTACCTCCTCCACGGCATGCTCATGCGTACCGTCCTCGTATGGCTTGTCTTTGGACCCAACTACCTCCTCGGCATCACCAAGCCAGGCAAACTCGCAGATGGGACCGACGGCCAAGTCGTGCCCCAGCCAGGCGACCTGATCATCGTATGCTTGCTGCCCGTCTTCTTCGCCATCCTGCTCCTCGTATGCTCTCTCTGGAATCGCTTCGTCGAGCCATACTTTGGCTACGCGACCGCCGGTCTCGAGTCATTCGCCAAATCGCTCTGTCGGAACCAGTGGCCCTTTAACTCGCTGAATTCAACGCCGAATGGCGAGAAATCCATCCTGCCCACTACTCGCAGGGATTGAGATGTCGTCACTTTTGCTACGGACTTCTGCTGCTGTCTCATGTTACATCCCCTTTGGTGTGACACAGAGGCACAGCAGATTACTTCCTTTTTTTTCTATTTTCCTTTTTTTTCGTGTATATTTGTACCATGTTCCATCGAAGTCGGGGTTCCATCAGCTGCCCTTCTACCACCTTGCTGGTTTTTCTCCTTTTTTTTTCCTTTTTTTTATCCCGACGGTTCATTGATCGGAGTTGATGCTGATTTGTCCATTTTGGCCTGATACTAACCATGTAGCGTTTTCCTTCTGGTTTTGTGTTATTTACAAGACGCATTTATTTCCCAACCTCCTCATTCGCCATTTTGCATGAAAGATAGAAGATCATATCCGACTGAGATGGCATTCTTGAGATACCTTGTTATGTCCGGCATATACTTCTTGTATACCACGCATATTTCAAAGACTAGACGAAGCGGTTTTTTACCCATCAATACAAAAATAGTAATGCATTTTATCTGCATCCATACATACACGCATCCAAGGAACTGTAGAAGTCGAAACAATGCCAATCAATCGCCCAGGATTAAAAGAAAAGAAAAGAAAAACATGCGTCATGATAGTCATGTTCTAAAACACCGTCTCTTCGTCTATACATCCACCCCGGCCCTCTCCCTGTTGCCCTCACGCACATCTATTTCCCTTCCCCTCCATTCCCCGAAGCATACTTCCTCGTCCAATCCCTCGCGATCTTCTCGTACTGTTTCCGATCGTTACTGTATTGCTCTGCGATCCTCCCTTCCACCGCATCATCCGGCATCGGCTCCACAAGAAGCTGTCTCGCAAACTCCAGCACGGCATATAACTTCGACGACGGCTTCCATTCATCTGACTTGAGCATACCCAGACACATCGTTCCCTTGTCGTCGTTGGAGACGTTGGGATGGTATATTTTCGTAGCGAAGGAGACGGTCGGCGGCTTAAAGGGATAGTCTGTTGGTAGAGTGAGTCTGATCTCGAATATTCCGCCCTGCAGTTGTAGATAATATCATTAGCAGTGTGGCTGGACCCGAGAAGGTAACGGTGACGCACTTGGTACGGTGAGCCCTCGGGGCCTTTCATCTCGACGCTCCATTTGTATAAGTCCGAGTCATCTGCCAGAGCGACCGTGACGCCGTCTGGAGGCGAGCTTAGAAGCTCGTTGAGTTCCTATTACACCCCCCATGGTCATCGGTTAGCCCATGGCTACTAGATAGATGCACTATACAATATGGGCCATAAGGTACCTTTGAAATGCGCTTCTGACTCGCCATGACGCCGTCTCCGAGTATCGAGTAGCCGAACGCACGACTTCCAAAATTTCGCCTGGATGTGTATCGAACAGGCCAGACAAACGACTCGGCGAGGAATCACTGCCCTTTTATATGCCGGCGCTTGATGTTGGATGCTAGGCAGCAGCAGGCAAGGGCTCGCGGGGTAGTCAGCTAAAACTGTTGGATAACCAACTAGTTAACTAGCGGGCGAGACAAGGATATTTATTTCAGCCAGTGGGAAGGGCTGCCAGGCTCCAGGCTGCTGTACTGCTGGCTGGACTAGCGTATGCGACGGCAAAGGCGCTGGAGATTCGACTCGCGGGTCGCTTGGTGTGTTGAGCTTTTGAGGCGAAAGTTGACTTTGGCTTCCGCGAAAAGTCGGGTGAGGCTGATCTGCCCCTTTTAGTCATTTAGTCATCCTGGAGAATAGCCGATTGACCAGACTGGCCGGAGCTATTTTTCTTTGATGACCTACGAAAGAGATCCGGGCTCTTCATTGGAGGCTTCGAGGAGCGATATTGGATACTGCTCATTGTATCCGTGAAGCCCGACCCCATAGTAACTAGTGAGCTACCATATTGAATGCGTTTCTCTACGAAGTACAGACACCTCTAGTTGGAGAAGCCTCTAGAGATATAGGACATTTATCGCGAACATAAAGGTCCCGGGGCTTGTCCGCAGGGTCCCTTGGTGTTAGTTGGTCCAGCCTCAGATGGCTGGCATAATCCGCGTGCTTCCATAGCTGGACGTATTACACGAACTTGTTTGCATCGCAAGAAACTCGTTGTGTTACGGTACTCTGTTTGATATCACAGTGGGCATGGTAGAGTATGTTTTGTAGCTCCTACAAGCAACGTCGTAATACCTCTGCCCTTAAATGTAATACGATGGCGTGACTCACCAACGACTGGCCATTTGAGCGCTTTCAAACCCAGCCGGGTTGGATCGGTCAAGGCGTCCCGTCTTGACGTCATGCTATTGCTTGATCCTTGTTAGTTCTTGTCGGAGCCTGCCGAGAAATTCCTGCAGAAATTTAGATGCGCAAACGAATGGAGGCTCCCAGCACCAGCAACGAAACAACTCTACAGCGGTTGTCTTATTTATCAGCCCATACCCACTTGATAATCAGGTGCTACCCGGTGGCCCGAGGAGAAGAAATACCAAGTTAAAGGGCATTCAAGGATGTAGTGGCCTGTCTGAACATGTAGAACGCATATGGAGTCGCAAAAGAGTGGGTGAAATCCAGTTGTCAAAATATGGATTTCGTCAAGTGCAAAGACTGAGGAAATTGGCTATCTCCTGACCCTCCTAGCCGCCAACATCACTTCCGATCCACCCATTTTGTTCCTCTACCCTGATCCTCCACTGGACTTGATATGACGATAAATGTACTCCCCGCTGAAGCCTTTTTCTCCGACTTGTAGATGTGAATCGAAACCACTGGCATGAACGCCAAGCAATGGCTATGACGCCATTTAAGTTCAAAGCGGGCCGGGCCGCTGATGCTTATTATAGACACACGCAGAGAGGCTCAACATTTGTCTTCGTCTTTCTTGGAAGTGCGTACGGATTAATGGGGTTGAATATTTTTGTTCTGTTGGTAGACGAGTATGCTGACTAGCTTTTCGAAAGAGACAACAGTATCAGCAAATATTTACATATAGAACAGGCCAGATGTTCTCAAGAGGAATAGTTTTCTCGAGACACTCGACTCTACAAGGTTGGTTCTTGGGAAAAGTTGAAAGGTACAGCTAGAGGGCTCACTGCCACGGGTACTTCATACAGTCGGAGAGACGCGACTGGATATGTATCAGTTACGATAACACATTTTGCGATGGTAAGCAGGAAAGGTACCCCTTGGGCAAATCTTCGCGGGTACTCTTCCAAAGGTAAATCAAACAGCTATCCTTTTCTACTCGGCAAAACATCCATGTTTGCGCTATTTTATTGGTTATGTATCAATTTTTATGGACTCACGCGTAGATAGTAGTTGAGTGAACAGGGTAATTAATTGTGTTGATATTATTTTTAGTTTTATGTAAGTAGAAGAACTGCTCTTCACAAGCACTGCCAGTTTCAGAACAAATTATCCCAGAATTAAGTAAGAGATTAATATATCCATTCATTTCCATCCCATTAAACGAGGTATCATATATCGTTAAGAGAAAAAAAGCCCGTTGAACTCCAGAAGATTTTTTTCCGTTTCCATGTCACATCCAATTCGTCCGCTCGCTGATAACCCAAGAATCCCAAAAAAGCACTTTTAATGACTGAAAATGTCGGTTTGTTCGGCACGTTGATTGAATGAACCACTTATCGGAGAGCAAGGTAAGTGGCCTCGGCGTGGGCAGCCTTTCGCTCCTTGGAGTCGTAGGACTTGGGGCTGCCAATGCGGGTCTTGGAGTTAGAGCGGGACAAGACCGGGGTAGATGGCATAGTGCGCTTTCCATTGTCAAGAGAAGTGCGAGGAGTGTGGAAGCGGGAAGAAGCAGCCGAGAAGGCGTTCATGGAGTCGCGCTTCATGTGAGGAAGCTCGAAGGAGGCGTAGTGGATGGCGAAGTCGGTAGCGTTGGAGGCCATTGTGATTGTTTTAAGTTGTTTGGTTGAGGTGGTGTTTGTAGAAGTAGATATGATTAGGTTGTTTGTTGTTGCTGTTGAGTATAGACTCGAGTGGATGGCAAGTAGATCGTTGATTGATTGTTGTCTTGGTGTTGCGTTGTGTGGATGTCTGATTGTTGTGGATGCTGATGATGATGAGAAGGACGAAAACTCGAGGGATGGAGCTCCTTCTTATAGACGTCCCGTCGACCACTTTCGGTGCCTGTAGGAAGTTTCTAGTTACCCGTGGGCCCACGACGGTACCGTGGGCATGGCCGCACAACCCGCCCTGGCCCCCCTCGACCCTTTCGTCGTCGCCATCCGCCAGCGTCTTCTGTCTACTTCTTTTTTGCTTTGTAAATCCTTCCGTGTATAAAACTTAAAAGAGCGGGTCCGATCCCCTGCGGGTCTGTGCCTGGATTAGTCAGGTCGTCTGACTAATGACACCCCGTGACGTCACTTTCCGTCGCTTTTCGTCGACCTCAACTTCGACTTCATTCGCCTTTTGCTGCTTTGCAACCCGCGTGTTGATGTCTACGAATACGGGCCCGCGGCTGCGATGACTCGGCTGAGCGTGCGGTGCTCTGTGTCATCGGCCTCGTACAGTGCGAAAGGCGTCGCGGGAACAGTCAGACCATCGCATCAGACCATGTAAAAATAGCTTCGGGAAACAGAGACTTTTCCACGGCCCCTCCAGCGAAAAATTTTTCCCAAAAATTTTACACGCCTGCCTGGCTCGCAATTCCCGCCGAGGGCTTCTAGACGCGCGAGCGGATCGTTTGGCATAGCCAATGGCATGCAAGAACAGGCATCGGGCCGTCGCGATAAAAAAAGACTGCGCAATTTTTGCAGCCTGACCTGCAGCGTCTGCACCCTGGACGTCATCCACTTCGAATCTTCCCTGCCTCAGCTGGCGCCGGGCGTCTAGGCTGGGATGAACCAGCGCCAGCACCGGCTCAGTGTGCCCTGTGCACAGATGATGGCTGGGCTCACCGGAGCTTCCCGTCCGCCTGCTAAGGTCCTGGCACACATTTGCGCGAAGCCTACAGAGGACGGAGTACCAAGCTTGGTCTCGGAGTACGGCTAGCCATGCACGTGTAGTGCGTAGGGCGCTGAGTGTTATTATTGCTAGGTTTCATTTAGACGTGAGATGTATCGGAGTCCATTATTCCTCGAATTATCCGGATGGGAGGCACCTTGTGCAAGCGATTCCCGTTTCTCTGGGCCAACTATGGAACAGTACCCGAAATACAATTTGAGAATAGATGAAGCGGATGGATCGATATACGCCGTATCCATTCATCTGTCCACGATTCCACGAGGCATGCTCGAATTTTTCGTCCAAGGTAGTTGGAAAAAGTTAACGCGCAATGCTGGATGGATATGATTTTCGGATCTTCAGCCTGGTGGGTGGTGGCCAGACTTCACCTTGCAAGGAAGCGACATGGATTGAGGTTTTCGTTACCTGGTGTGTCCACTCATGCCCGTCTGTGCGTGCATGTTTTTCCATCACCAGGTTCGCAGGTTACAGTTCAACGTCTGGCCTGGCCGAGTTGCCGTTATCCCTGTCAACGATTATTGATACCCAACATCCCAGCCACATTCCTGCTTAAATTTTCACACCACTTTTGCTCTCCTACTGCTTGCTCCTTCGAGGGATGCAGGAACCAAGACGTGCCGTCTTAACCACTTTTCGGTTTTCTAGTGTCGGGAAGGCCCTGCGTCTTCGAAGCTCGGGTTTGAGCTCAAGGGTTACGATCATCGCCACCCGTTAAATCACTTACTAGTCCAGGAATAGGATAATCAAGGAAAACAGGAGATCCACTCTGGCGGGATGAAGAAAAATTCCTGTCTCGCTGCGTGTGTTTACTCAACGTGCCCCTCCAAACACCCCTCCGAGTATAGATACGTAAACAGTGTCAGGATGGATGGTATATACTGCTGACGTTGATCAAGTAGATCATATAAAGCAAGACGATCATATAACTAGCAGTCACCAACCAATATCCATCGGCTGCTCGGCGACTCGGTGAACTTTCCGGTGAGCCTGGATGAGTAGTCTGCCTGTTCGTCGCACATGCATTTGTCTCATCTTGACCTTGAGACGTCTTTATTTGCGTTTCTTTGTGGCATTTTGATTGAGGCTGAGCTGGTGTGGATTCTCGGCATGGACATGGATGTTTCCTAACCAACGACTGTGAATATCCGGCCAATATGCTCCGGGTTGTTTGGCTGGCTTGTGCCTGGACTCTATCACGATCGCATTCTGTTGGCTCATAGGCTCAAGGGCTGGTCGGCAGACGTGTGACAAGAATGGGCGGTGACGAGTTTATCCGGTACAGGTGTCTGGGTCCATTTGCTCTGGATGTCTGTACTCTGAATGGTTCGAGCCTGCCTTCCATGCATCTTCCATCTTGATTGACCGCCCATCAGTCACACCACATCTTGCATCCCTTGACGCGAGAATGCGCGTAATGCCGTCTCATCTGACTGTGGCGGATTCACCTAGATGGATCGACCTTTACTCCCGGAAGGTCCAATTCTGAGTACGGATGATTATTCCAGTGACGAGACTAATATCACACGCGGAACATGTTGTCCAGTGGCCTGGTAAGTTCTATATCAGCTGAGCCAGGAGACTAGCTGACACGATTGATGACACTGACCTGAGATGCAAGGATCGAGGCCTATGAATGAGTCGTTGAAGTTAAACGATGTGTGTATAACCTAAACAACAGGATCATCTAGAATATGTTATTTTCTTCAGATAATTCCATCAAACCGCCTACAAAGACGGGTCGGAGGAAAATAGTACTACCAACCAAGTCCAAATATACTCCGTACATGAAGATACCTTTCAGCTGCGGAACGCCACATATACCAGGCGTAGAACATTTCCTTGATACCTGATATGCATCTAGCTAACCTGTTCAAGCCAATACTTGGGCAGTTTCCTTGGATACCATTTATGGCGGCAGCGCATCATATACCGATCCTTGGCTAAGATAATGCTACAATAATAATGGGTATATGCAGGATGTACTTGATACCACAGGCGAAGCATAATCAACAAACTTTAGCTAGGATCATATCGGAGCTGGTCTATCATATCTGATAGCCAACCTATACGCAAGGCAATATAATTCGCCGCCAGGCTGACAATACGTATAGAAGTGCGCTTGCCCCGAGCTCCCCCCCCTTTCAGAGGCCGTTGTTTCAAACATTTGATTGATTCTGGAGTCCCTCGCAGCCCAGAGTACATTGGTTGAGGAATACGGCAATTTCCCAGCAACCATACTCTAGTTGAATCCACAGTGATTGGGTATTCTGAATTTGTCTGCCTTGAGGCACTGTCGACAAGGAGATGTGCAGCCGTCCAATGATGTGAAAAACACCGTGGTCTGGTTGGGATCCAAATATAGAGTCGTAAGGAGGGAATCAAATTAAACCATGAACCAACTTGTCGCGCCCTGCCATGATATGATTGACGCACATGCTATTCCTAGGGCAAAGCACTCGCTGCATGCATCGGGCGCATACCAACATCCACGTCAAACGAGGAAATCAGGAATGCAAAGTTAAAAAAAAAAAAAGGGAGAGGAAACCCAAAATATTATATTTTTGTCATTGAATATGGATGATTCTTTGTTGGTTGTGCCGGTTTCTATTCCCGTTGTAACATCACCATTACGCCCATGATTCCAAGCAAGACCGTCTTCATCCATGGGTTTTCTGCCAACATGATCGTCACGTATCCAACGGCTGGAATGTATCCTCGCACACTACCTACAATATCGAGTTTGCGGTCAAGGTAGTCTTGGCCCTGTGCGTAGAGTTCGGTGTCATCTGCGATATTGTTGTCGCCTTTTGTGAGCATCTGATGGGAGACGGGTGAGGATAGGCCGGGTCTATACGTGAATCATCAGCAGTTATTCGATAATATGACACGCGTACTTCCTTCAATCGCCGTTCATATGATCTTCAGACCGTAAATATATCCCGTTCAATGTGGTCATCACCTCCCGCTCCAGATATGGTAGATAACTCACCCACTGCGTTTATCCGCCTCCCTCTCCAGCCTTCGTTGGCTCTTCTTCCCTCCATCTCCTGTTCCGAATGCCTTAATAACTCGATGAACGATTGGAATATCCTTCCCCTGCACATTATACACCACGATCTCCCCAACTTCTGCGCGCGGACTATTGTTCCATAGAAACAGTAGGTCGCCGCGCTGGAAGGCTGGCTCCATGCTTCCTGATAACACCACAACAATGGGAGAGGACGAGTTCGTGTATACGGATAGGGCCTTCCATCCCATGAAAGCCGTGGAGAGGACGAGGGCAAAGTTGAGGAGCTGAGCTAGCGTCTGGCGAGGGTTGGAGAGGTAGGGGGCGAGTTCGGCGAACATGATGGCGGCGTCCTCTTGATACGGGTATTAATCAAATGGAATAGCAATTCTTTTAGTCCCAGCTATCAGGCACAGCTCATTGCCATTCGTGGTGCCGAGCTGTCGAGCTGCTTGCTGGTTGACGCTGCGGTTGAAGGATGTTGCGGCTTATCTGTTCAGTTGGAGTGAAGCTCTTGGCTTGGCGTTTGCTTACTTTTGAAAACACTAATCAGTGACATCTACAAAGCGAGGCTACACGCAACTACAAGGAGAAAAGAAGATGAGATGGCCGAATGTCTCAATTTCCAGCTATAGTGGATGAACCACGACAGAATAATGGTAACAGTGGAGGTGTAAACACATAAGATACAGGAGAAAAAAGACCAAAGAAATGGGGGATTTCACGGGAAATTGTCAATCTCATGTATTAGTTTGGATGCGGTGCGCTGCAATTTGGGTAAAGAAATAGCTAAAAGACGAGAATATTTAAACAGAGAGAGAGAGCAGGTCTTGGTCCTATTGTCGAAGGAAGACGCAGTCTGTTCGAACAAAGGGTGAGTCCGGCTCTCTCTTCCTAAGCCAAATCAAGTGCTTGCGGCCAATCTCGAGAGAAGCGAAGTAGTGTTTGGAGTTATTTTCACTGTTTTCAATAGATCAGTCAATCCAAGGAGAAGAGAGCTAGATGAATAAAAAACAAGATAAAAATTTGCTCGGCACGGTACTTCATTCTCCTTCATTATCATGTTGCACAATTTGGTTTAGGGAGGAGTTGGTTCAATTTCTTCTTGCTTCCATTCTTGACCGACCGAGCAGGTCGATACGATGAGTTCGTTTAGTATGCAACCTATAGGCCATTTCAAATGACTTTAGGAGATCGGCTGTTGCTGTTTGTTTGTAAGTAAATAAGCTAGGTGAGTAATTATTAAAGAGATAGAAGGAATCTCATAAAAGCATAAAGCCTGAACTTGATAGTTACGAGAGATGAAAAAAATGGAACAGATTAGCCTTGACAGTCAGGAAATTGGGAAGCGTACCTGAGCTCCACGACATCATCAATGTGGTTGCACATGGCCACGAACAAATCGAAAAACAATTTGCCGCCGCTCTCCATCTCCATCTGCATGGTTCCACTCCTCTTGAAAGTCTTGCGACTTCGGATTATCAGAGCTAGGAAGTGAGCGCGGAGTCGTGACTCGGAGTCTGGCGTATGGTCGTACGTATACCGCGCCGATCGAAGGATAATATCGACTGGGATACCAGCTTGAAGGCCCTGCTTACGCAGTGAAAGGCGCTTCAGCTCATCCAAGCCGTACTTCTCAGCAGCGCAGTAGATGACTGTGTCTCGTAGGAGATAATCATTCACACCAGAGTGGAAGATTGTCGCTTCGCATGACCCGCGGCCACCGGTTTTAGAAAGATCCTGCGCATCTTCGAGTAGCCAGGTGTTGCGACGCTTGTTATGCATCAAGCGTGGGTAGTAGTCCCCCTTGTACAAGAATTCGAGGACGCAGGACAATATCTCGGGTTCTCTGGGCAACACACATTAGGTACATGTGTAAGCAGGTGACTGGCAACATTTACGAGAGACTCACTCATCAGGCAGGGCAATCTGTTTCATATCACCATCGGAAGCTTGCTCCCTAATGGCAGACGAAAAGAAAGGCGAAATAGAAAGGATGTCTTCATGGGCAGCGAACAGGCGACTTTCTCTGCCTACCACCAGCGTGATGATAGGGCTCGTAAGGGTGCTAGCCATAAATCAATGTCGGTTATATGCGCAAACAGTCTGATAAAATGTAGCATGGTGGGGGTTGACTAACCTCCCAATCGGCGGACTATCCAGACTCTCCTGCAGTTTAGTTCTCAAGTTCTCGCGGTATGTCTTCTTCGCAGGCTTAACAGACTTGCCCGCCCGGTCTTTTGAGGAAAAAGATCGTTTGAACATGGCTGTCAGTGGGAATCCTAGCGAAGAACTGGAGTTATCCTAAGGTCACAGGGACAACCAGCGAGTAGCGAGGGTCGAAAAACGAGCGGCCGAAGAACCTCGCGGACATATATAATGAGCGTATTGATGGGAATATAAAGGAAAAGAAGTTTGACGCTTTGCAGTATCACGCACGTCGCATGGGAGCCTTGGAAAGCTGTATCCAAGAACAGCCTTCCTCTGCCGTGTCCCTGAGAAGCCCCGGTGAAGGAGAACGCGAGGACGTCAGCAAAAGAACGCAGATCCTTGAATAGGCTTTGCGCATGAGATGACACGCAAGTGCTGTCTCGATGCGGAATCTTGACCGGTCCTGCGAAGCGTGGTGTAAAGAGAAGAAGAGAAGAAGAGACGAAGAGACGAAGAGACGAAGCGAAGTTGATATCGATTACGACCGGTCATGTGACGCCTTTCTGACTCAGACTGTATAATCACTTACGTAATGACCAATCGCGATGTTTTGATTTTCACAGTCTGGCGAAATCCTTATTCTTCAATAGTAATTAATACCTTGGATCCCAACACATATGGGATTGGAATACTATCACACAAGCTCACGAGGCGTCAGGGCTATCTTGACCGTGTTACATTCATGTTCGATGGGCTGGGATCTTCGGGTCCTTTGCCGCTGGATCACAAACGGAATTAAGTGACATTAACGTGTTAGCGGTTCATGACTCCGGCCACGCCAGCTTTAGATACTTGTTAGTCACTGTGCTCAGAAGGCATGCTTCCCGAGGCGTGTCCGGAAGGCCGAATGCGTGTGACATAAAAACTATTCTACGGGACTTGGTGTACACTGTACCGGGAAACTAAGAAGTTCTTCTATCGGACTCGGACATAGTTACGTACATGCTTACGACTTGCCTTGCGCAAAAGTTGACCGGTTTGATACCCTGTCTACCCCCTGGAACCGGGCAAGTGAGGCATTACCGACACCACCAGTGAATCCCGATCTGCTCAGTGGTAGATGCCGCGTTGCTTCTGAAGACATACAGATCTCCGAAGCTGGAGTTTATCCCTACAATACAGGGAATGGCGCGATTTTATCGGTGCTTTCGATGTCTCATTTTTATATTCCGTATTATTTCTTATTTATTTCCTAGGATGATGGGGCCGCTGGCTTCTTTGCAATCATAAGATACATTGGTGTAAAAAGCCCAGCCCTACCACCAGCAACAAGGTTGTCTGCACCCAATGACAGCTCGTCGGCTGTCTGCGCAGTACCTGATGGCGCAAGCTTGGCAGCTTCGAGGACTCTTAGTAGTGTACTGACCGACGCTCGACCAAATTTGGTCACTCGAAGAGCACTGAATAGATCCCACAAGCTGCGAGCCTGTAGTTCTCCTGCAAGTGGTGCGTACCAGGGGATTATGTCCCCTTTGTCAGCCATATCCTCCTCATGTTCGAGGATGAATCCAGCCGCCTGTATGGCTTCCATGGCATGCTTCCGAGGCATCATGGTGGCGATTCCGTTTCCACGCTCAATCCCTAATTTTATGGCACGGTGCGAAGGATCTGAATCGTCGTACTTGTCCGTCATTACCCATTCATACACGCCAAATGTTCCACCGGGCTTCAGAACGCGGTAGATCTGCTCATATACCCCTTGTAGAGATGGCGCATGAACTGTTGCTTCAATGACGTACACGGCGTCAAAGGAGTCATCTGGGAAATCCATCTCCTTCGTTCCGCAATAGTCAGGAAATGAGGTATATATAGCTGGTGACTGTCACAATAAGACTCACCATGAAGTCACTTTTGACAAAGGAGACGTCTTCACTTCGGCCTTCCTTCTTTGCATGTGCCGTGGCTCGTTGGATCTGATAACCGTTGTTGTTTACACCAACGACCTTGCAGCCGGTGAAGGTAGATATCTCCCTTGCCGGGCCACCAACCCCACACCCCACGTCAAGGACCTTCATGCCTCGTTGAATGCCCATCCGAAACGCAAGATAGTGTTCGTGCCTTGCCAGAGCCTGGAGGAAGGGCTCGCGAATACCAAAGCGACAGAAATGAAATGATTGCGCCCATGCTTCTTCGTAAAAATCAGTTGCGAGGTCGTAGTAGCTATCTTCTCGTTAGCGTCGCAATATCAGAGAGACCATAAGGCTACTTACCTGTTCACTAGTGACATGTAATTATCTTTTCTCTCCCCGCGCTCCTTTTCATCCCAGAAGCCAACATATTTGTCCGTAATCTCGCGATGCGATTCATTGCCTTTCTTCAGCATAGCCAGGAAAGCATTGTGCTCTTCTGCCGACCTCCCATGCATCGGGTCAACCGCAGGGGCAAAGTGGTCAGCCATCTTCTCGGTGGTTTCTGAGATATCTTGTCCGCGGCCAAGGATAGAATCTGGGGGTATCTCAAAATCCTATATATAAATTCATCCCACTATGGGGGACAGGGGACCTTGCCGCTGTGCCAGAGATCAATGCGAGGCCCCAAGCCTCACGTCATGACAAGGCCTGAATTTCCGAGCCCGCCACGCCACTCCAGCGTCTACGTCTCCGAGATCCGTCTAGCGACTAGTCAGCCCGCTGCCGCCAACTAATTTATCGGGGTACGCATCTTGACTAAGGAACGTCGGCCGGCTTTACCTCAGCAACGCTGTTCGAGCAGTTGGTGGTGGCTTCTGGGCAGCCAATCACTAAAAGGCGCGCTTGGTAATCCGCGGAGGAGGATCACGGGATTCACTGGTCGAAACTCTAACTTTCGTTTTCGTATAGTTTCGGCGTCAAAGAGAAACTCCGGGGCCAGAGTACACAAATCATAACACAATTAACACGGCTTCCAAATTATAGGAGCTGACTGCAGGCCGCAGAGTGCGGGATGCATCCTTTCCCACGCGTGATCAGTTTTGCTTGATTCTTCGTTTCCGTAAGCAGACACGATGGGAGCACAAGTCTGGCTGATCGTGGCCGCTTTTGGTACACTCTGTCATTTTCTCCTTGGATATCTCAGTCCAAAGTATGATCCCCGCGAACCGAAGCTGCTCCCGCAGTCGATCCCGCTGGTTGGCCATGTCATCGGTATGGTCCGTCACGGGCTTGGCTACTACACGACTCTCAGGCAAGCAAATCCCTCAATGTTGGGCAAGTATTGAAAAGCGTGACCAGTGTGGTTAGTTGACCGTGGAAATGCAGAGACGTGCCGTCGCCTATCTTCAGCATGAGCATGCTGAACAAGAAGTTATATGTGGTTACTTCTGCTGCTTTGGTCTCAACAATCCAACGTTCTGCAAAGTTTGTCTCATTTGAACCTTTCTTGAATGAAGTCGGAGATTGGCTCGCTGGGGTCAAAGGCGATGGACTGAAGCTCCTCCAGAAACCTATTAAAGGTGGTGGAAGCCTCAGTTCGGCGATGGTGCACGTTATGGCTACCGCTATTTCAGGCAGCGGCCTTGATAAAATGAACGATACCATGATATCGTTCCTCCAAGCATCCATGGAGGAATTGTCGACTGCAACTGAAGATCCCATTGATCTATATGCATGGTGCCGGGATGCAATAACAACTGCTAGTAGCGAGGCGGTTTGGGGAGCTAAAAATCCTTTACGGTCTAAGGAAATGCAGGATACATTTTGGTACTTCCATCAATTGATATATTCGTGGACTGGCTCGATGTAAATGTGTTGACAGATCATATAGGGAGTATGAAACGAACTTGCTCATGTTATATATCAATATTTTGCCTCAATTCACAGCAAAGAAGCCTTTCAAGGCACGAGAAAGACTGGTGAAAGAATTTTTGAAGTTCTACGAAGCAAATGGACAATGGGAGGCCTCGGAGTTATCTCTCGCGAGATGGCAAATTCAGCACGAAGCAGGCGCTACTATTGAAAACATTTCACGCATGGAAGTTACCTTGTGCGTTGGTGTTCTCTCGAATACCGTTCCAACCCTGTTCTGGACCACTTTTGAAATTTTCTCTCGCCCCGAGCTCTTGTTGAAACTTAGGCAAGAGGTCTGGGATAATGCAGTGCATGTTTCTGTGAGTTCGGAGGGCAACACTGTCCATACCCTTGATGTCGCAGACGTACGAAACAAATGTACCCTTCTCCTTGCTACCTTCCAGGAAGTGCTACGTCTACGGTCCAGCAGCGCCACGATTCGTACTGTTCTTGAGGATATTGAGATAAATAACCAGCATCTACTCAAAAAGGGTTCAATGCTACAGCTTCCGGCACCGTTTCTCAACCTTGAGGAATCTACCTGGGGCTCGGATTCAGCAAACTTTAACCCTTACCGATTTATTGATTGTGATAAGGAGAAAGTTGGTCGTCTAAGATCGAAGGGTTACATGTCTTGGGGTACATCTCCTCACATGTGCCCAGGAAGACATTTTGCAAGTGGGGAGATTTTACCTGCGGTTGCTATGTTTTTGGTACGATATGATATTACACCTGTCGAGGGTAACTGGCAACATCCTTCGATAAATAGAGAGGTGATAGCAGCATCGATTCCTCCACCAAAGGAAAAGTTCCTGGCTCGACTCTCCGAGAGGGATAATCGGGATGCATTGAAATGGGAGTTCAGGCCTTCCGCAGAACACGGAAGATTTAAATTAGTTACTGGGTAATGGTATTATAAAATTGTGGGAAGATAAAACTTGATGATAGACACGTTTTACTCAAACTGAGGCTGTAATTACCATTGATCTGCTTCTTGCCTTCACTCCGCTCTGTGCGACAACTTCTACTATTCACACTTTGAACCGCGGCCTTGGCAGGGACATGGGGTTGCTATTCTTGGCATACGTCAATTTTAAGTTCTGTGCCTGTAGCTTATTTAGTGGGTCTCTCTTGTTGTGAATTTCTTCTCTTGACCCAGGATACAGAAAAAAATTTCATTACTCCTTACATTCCTCTCATTTACTTTCTTCTTCTATCTTTCATTCATTTCCTCCTTCCTCCTAGTACTAAGTAGACTCTATTTATATTAAAGCATTCTTGTATTTTTTTTTTCTATTAAATAATTTTGGAGTTTTAAATCAACCATCGCTGTGGTTTGTGAACTTATGAAGTAGACTCATTTACATGCATCGAAGCAAGAATTGAATATTGGCCGCCTGCTCCGGCCCATGAGAACACCTTCTCACGGAGAGAAGGATTGTCAATCTTGGTTGCGACTAGAATGTCGTCCGTGTCAGGGCCTTGACCACATTGGTAAGTTGCGTTGATACCCCACGTATACGCCTTTCCTTCAGAAGTAATAAGAACATTGTGATCAGACCCTGCAGCAGCAAAGGCGCAGTTTGGAATGGGAAGTGGAGTGGGTTCAAGGAGGATACGCGGCTTTCCGCGTTCGGAGATAACAATATGTGGGTCATCAAGGTGGAGTGTGCTGTGGTCAATACCCATTTGAGCGCCGTCCATGCGACCCCAGACAAGACACTGGCCGTCTTGGGTGATACCAATGGAATGGTGACGTCCGCCTTGAATCATCTTCAGCTTTTGACCAATAAGCATGGTTGCCTTCTGTGGTCGAACGATGGTGCTGCCACCCTTTCCAGCTCCCACGTTAACGGCAGTTTGTCCAAAGTTATTCAGGCCCCAAGTCCAGGTATCTCCGTTGGAGTCGATGGCGAAGGAATGATCACTGCCTGCGTGGATGGAGATAATTCTCTTGCTTTTTGGTAAAGCGACGAGGCCAGGAATAAGGCCAATGTCGTTGCGTAATTTGTCGATGGACGCGTTCTTGTTACTGGCAGTCTTGCGTCGATCAACTCTGATATGACGGCCTAGCTGGTCTTGCTCGGGGCGGCCCCAGGAGAATACTCTGCCCCTGTGGTCAAGAGCAAGGCAGAAGTTGTTGCCAGCACTGATTTGAACGATTTTCTCGAGGCCGGGTATCATGACTGGGTCCGATTGCATTTTGATAAGCTCTCCATTCCACCATCCACGTTCTCCCTCGGTAGTCTAGCAGAAAACATGTTAGAAGTAGCTTGACATAACAGGAAGGAAAACGAATGTAACATACCACAAATGAGCCCCATCCATAAACAAATCCATCCTCAGTCAGAGCAAAAGTAGCACTGTCACCTGCAGCTACTTGGCAAAACTTGGTATCGTCTGGGAACTTTTCACGTGGAATGGCTGTAGGAATGGCCTCTCGTGGGTTAAGTTCAACCTCGTCGCTTGCAACAGATTCGTCATCCTCGGCCATATCTTTTAAACCGCCATCCCAGGTAGTCTCGCGTCCAAGGGCACAGTTGTCATTGACACCCCAGGTCAGGATGTGGTTATCGTGTGTCAAAGCAGCTGCATGCATGCCTCCAGCGCCAATATCAACGACTCCAACCTTTTCTGCATCGAGGTTGGTATTCAGACGTGGTCTTTTGACGTCGATTGCATTTTTTGGGCCAAGGCCAAGCTCAGCACTGCTGCCAGAGCCAAAGACGTAAACATTGAGCCTCTGCTTGGGTATGGTGTTGGAAATAGATGACTCGGTTTTCTTTGGGGCCCTGGTCTTTTGGACTGCTCCGCGGCCAGCACGCTTGCGTGGGACACTCTTGGGAGCGGGTTCAGCCTTGTGAGGAGCCATTGTATTAGACAGTTGGTACGGCTGGTGATTTGAGATAGAGTAGAGAAAGTAGAAATTCTAGAAAAGGTGTTCTAGAGTGACTATGTAGTTGAGAAGAAGGTATGCTGCAAGAGAGATAGTAATTTGGCGAACGGCAAATTACTTCGGCATAGTAGTCGGGAGGAAGCCGACTACTATATAGTCTAGCGCTCTTCATTGTTCCTATTGATGGTTTTTGTCTTGTGTTCTTCGATCTGGAGTGTTGTTGCTCTGATACTTGGCACCGACCGAAAGCGGCTTAGTCGCATTTGTCTTGGCGACACTCCCCTCTCCGAAACTTGTCTTCGTCATCAAAACCAACATCAACAACTGAAGGTCAAAGACTAGCAACGTTGGAGGACAAAGGGGACAATAGTACAGGACATATATTTCATCGCTGCCGTCCTCGCAGATTCATTCTAAATACTCCAAGCTATCTTTTTATTGACGAAGGACATGTCCTGATCATCACCGCGCAATCGACTCTATTCACCTCTGTGTTTTGGTTAGATTCAACAATAAATTCACTAGATACCCATACCCATATCCATATCCAATTCTGTTACTATCACCTTCTTGCCCTGCTATTCATATTACCCGCAGGACACCATGGCAATGCAATACATGAAATCGATTAGGAGGAAACCAGTGGCGAAAACAGAGTCGACATCAACGCCAGCAACAGAAACACATGGTCCTGTATTGACGGATGAGGACGAGGCATTCCTACACCATGTTGCAACCTCATCGTCTATATCAGGAAGTGATAGCGGTGACAAACAGCCTGGAGGATCCAAAGATGAACAAGGCAGGGCACTTGTTGATGAGCCGTTGGACGATGACTTGAGACGTTTGGCTGAGGATAGAGGCTCGCAGGAGAAGCTCGACACTCCTGATACTGAGCCTACCGCCGCCACTGCATCGTCTGCCTCCACTGATCAAAAGAAGATGGAGAAAGGACACAAGTCACGCAAGAGCCTGTGGGGGATACTTAAAGATAGAAAGTGGATGGGAGAAACCGAGAAAGTAGACAAGGGGAAGGCTAAAGTGGCTGATGATACCCAGTCAAGCGGCGAAGCGGCCGGTAAAGGAAAAAATGAGGAGAGAAAGGAGGATCAAGATCTATCCAAAGTCCTAGAGCAATTGAACCTGGCAGCTGTCAACAACCGCGTCTTTTCGATTAGTAGCGATACACAGGCGCTTCTTGAACAGTTCAAACAAGTGTTCAAAGACCTGGTCAACGGAGTACCAACGGCGTATCGTGACCTTGAGTCCCTACTCACGAATGGCGACCAGGAGCTACAGAAGAGTTATACCAAGCTACCCAGTTTTCTTCAGAAGCTTGTCGAAAAGTTGCCCAACAAGATGACGGAGAAGTTTGCGCCAGAGATTCTTGCAGCAGCATCGGCTAGAGCGAGCAAGAGTGGTATCAACATGCAGCATGTAGACAAGGCGACCAGCACGGCAAAGAAGATAGGCATTGAAGTACCCAACCTGAAGGAGCTGGCCGGCAAGCCTGCAGCCCTCGCGGGATTGCTCCGGTCTATCATTGCATTTTTACGTGCTAGGTTCCCTGCTTTGATTGGAATGAATGTTCTTTGGTCTCTGGGGCTGTTCAGTATGTGTCAACCTCGGTGAACCTACGCTGCTTTACTGCTTTACTGAACTAACCATGCTAATAATAAAACTAGTTCTACTTATGGTTCTATGGTACTGCCACAAGCGCGGCCGTGAGGAGCGGCTTGCGAGGGAAGCTAGCATGGCCGGAGAAGGTGAGAAAGCAGACGGTGAAGAAGCTAGGGTGATCGATGTCACAGACGAGGCATCGCCGTCGATGACGCCTGCGGCCGTGGGAGCACCAGCAGCAGCCACAGGGACGGTAGCAAACACCGAAAGTGATGCCCAACTCACAAGGCAGGTGGAGGGTCAAGTGCAGGCTGCAACGACGCAGATCGAAGCCCCGACCACTGCCACCTCAGAAGTAGCTGCAACAGACAAGGAACCACGTCAAACGAAGGAAGAGGATAATGTGAAGGTATAGCCTTCCGGGAGCCAATTGAACCATGCAGAGCAAGGAATGGCATTGACAGTGTGGAAGGTGGAAATACCACATCAGGGGATCAGTTTAGAGGTAATAAGTATATTTGCGATATGGAAAGGGTTAGCAAGGTAAATACTATTTTTAACGCATCGGTTGAACACGTCAGGAGAGGAAAGGTTGAAACGTCTTCCCTAGCAAGCGAGGCAAGCTGGAATTATGTATAGCGCACAGCATTCTATATTTTCTGCATGTGCGGAATAATCTCGGCTACCTGCAGCAGGCCTGTACGTGCATACGCTGATTCTGAGACGAGACATGATAGAGATAAGATCGGGTGTGTGCGGTTTTCTCGTTTAGCTCCTTTCGGTTCCAGTCCAGGGTTTTGTCAATTTCTTAGTTAATAATAATGGAGATAGTCGATTCACTGTTGTTAAAACGAATACTGAGTGCCGGTTTATGACGTCTATATGACTTACCCACGTAATCATGACTCCGTCTATTTGCGTGGTGATAGAAACGAGCAATCGCTGCGCTGTCGATGTATGGCTAGCTAGCGCTGTTTATCTCACATCTCAACAGCAAGATCCAGTACATTATGCACATCATTATCGTCATATTGCAGTCACAATCCTTGCCCCATGTTACATACCCTTTGTCTCCCGCAACATACGTTATCATATGCATGGAGCAGATGGAATTGCAATCCCACTTTCAGACCAGGGAGTGAGAATACGGGCGGTTAGAAAGAGTGGAAGTGGAAGAAAAAGGCGGAAAAGGCAGAAAAAGGGCCCCATCTCCAACTCCATCTCCGTATTTATACAGTCATACGGAGTGAGTACAGTGGGACTTAATCACAGTGGATTTGGTAGCCTTCGTCGCTGGTTGGAGTCATGCATGGAAGACGGAAAACAAAGTCTCCTCTTTCTTGCTCCTTTCCTTTTTTCTTCCCTGCAAACGAAAACTGTCATCGACTCATCCGGCTCGTGAAGCTGGGGGGAAGGCTGCACGGAATGTGATGTATGCTGTTCGGAGTGCAGAGTGGGCGAACCTGGCCTGGTCCCGTATGTATTAATCTGGACTAGCGACTGATGCGTGTAAAAAGACCCTGGTACCAGGCGGAACGAGTAACATGTCTCGCGCCAGCTTCCCCAGACAGGATCTGATGCTTGAGGATGCAGGGCCCCTGGTCAGTCTCCTGCAAGATGAAATGCCATCTCGCTGACCGGTCTTCTAAATCAGGAGGAAGTACCCCGTACTCCGTAGTTAAGGGGGACCATCAGAGAGGAGACGACTCTGTAGTAACTATGTAAACCGTCAATCCATCGCCCGTAACAATGTAATTAACTAGTTAACTAGCGCTCCGTCTCGTTCGATGCATGACGTCGAGCTGAATATCAAAAAAAAAAGCCAACGACGGGGCAAAACACGGATCACGTGCAAATAAGTTTTCTGGCAGTAAAAGACGGTGAGGAGCGGCTGACCAATCACCGCGTTCCGAAAGTGGAAACCCACGCCAAGACTCTCCGAGCGGCAGAAAATGCTCCGGGATTACGTTTCTCCGTCGCCGACCGCCTCGTCATGCCGATCTTTGCCAAAAGCGGAATTGAGAGGGTGGTCCCTGCGTTTTGCCTTTCTTTTTTCTTCATCATCGACTTTCTTCTTCTTTTCACCTTTCGACTTCACCAACTTCACGACAAGCCAGAGCAGCGTCGTTCCTCGCAGACAAGCACCCCATCACCAGACACAGAGACCACCACCCGTACCAAATATCGTCGATTGCCCTTTTTCTCTTCTTGCCAGCATGGCGGTCGCTGGGCTCTAAATTCTCCCTGCTGGGGGGGCATCGTACCCTCTAAGGGACCCCCCAGCCCGAGATTAGTCCATCGAGTTCAAACAACAAGAAAAGAAAGAAGAAAGATTCTACCAAATCGACCTCGACGATATTTGAAGATAACTCTTTCGACGACCTCTGCTTCGTGCGTCGGAATTGCCCCCTCTTGATTGCAATTTATTATTATCGTTGTAGACGCAGCTTTTTTTTTTTTTTCCTCGACCGTTTTTCGCCTTCTCTAAGAAAAAAAACCCCTCCACCACCACATTCTACCATTATACTATACCTCCCCTCCGAGCCATTGTCACCTCCCCTACTCTACACGGCCGAATATAGTACCCCAATACTATATATTCCTATCTCCTTTTGGCTGTTTAAACAGGTGTATCGAGGCTCGTTCGACAAGATCAAATTCCCACCTACAACAAACCTTAAAAAAATCTTGAGAGCAAAAAAGGAAAATTTTTCCCTCCCTTCAACATTGATAACGCAAAAGTAAAGGAGGGTGATCAAGGACAAAAGATCGACAATGGGTCGTTCCGGAGTAAAGACATCTCGGCCATCGTCGTCCATGTCTCGTTCAAAACAGCGCCGCCAAACCATTAGCGGAAAATCCCGTTCGTCGCAGCTCAAACTTAGGCTGAAGAAAAACAACAAACGCAGAGCGCCGCCTTCTATCTCAAGTGGTGATTCATCCAGTGAAGATATGAATTCTGGTAACGAAGACGATGACGACGAAGATGGCGGGGACTCGAGTGAAGATGATGATGAAGATTCCACCCCAGCAGCGTTTGCCCCGTCTTATGGTGGCAAGAAACGACTTGGCCATAAGACGGGGCGTACTGGTGGGATTTCTTTGTTGCAGGACAGGAAGCTGAAGGGTGAGCAGGATGCTGCTGCCGACGACGATATTAATGAAGATGCAATCTCGGTTAGCTCTGTTAGCTCTGTTAGCCCCGGTGATATCGACGATTCCGACGACTCTGATGATTATCAGGGTGTTGATGAAGTCAGTGATGGCGAAGACGAAGAGTTGATGCTGGAGAAAATCGAAGAGGAGATCATTCTGGAATCTGAAAATGAAAGGTCTACGTTAAGCAGGCTGGCCGGTAGTGTCAGCGGAGGGGACGAATGGACGGGGTTGGATGACCTTGAGCACCGTCCTTTCTACTCTGCTGGCTCTTTCTTCGATGATGAGCATCTTCTCCTACAGTCCGGAGGACACAGTGACGCCGTTGATGCAGGAATGACCAGCGAGGCGGCTGAGACACCTGTTCAACGACGAGTTCACTTTGAGACGGATGACTCGTCCGACTCAGATAAATCTAGTGATGAAGATGAGCTATTTCCCGACTTTCTACATCAGGATCAACTTGACCCTGATCTACGACGCATGATCGAGACGGATTCCACTCCTGGGCGATCACAAAGTTCCCTTGATCTGTTTGTCAACAGTGACTTCTGTGACTTGCCTGATAACATCTATCATGTGGAGGAGTCCGATAACTCGATGGGAAGCTCGAGTGGTTATGAATGTAGGTTCCTTGTTGCTTCTTCCACGAAGCAGATCAGCTTGTTCTTTTTTGTCGTTTCTTTTTCTAAAATATTTCTTTTTTCTCATATACTGACTATCGCCTGTTCCTCTCTGCAGCTGATGATGGTGAAACCACTGATGAGGAGGATTACCTTCCCCTCGCTACCATCACTCATCCAAGGTCCCTTCTCCGCAGAGAGTCGAGTGCCTCACTCTCCGGGGACGAGGAAAACAAGGCTGACTCTTGTGTTCCTCAGCGAGGACCTCTGAGAGGAACCTTCATTGCTGATCCACACAAACCAGTTGCTGTCGTTGCTCCCAACGGCAGACAGCTAATTCTTATACCTCCATATGCATCTTCCCGCCATGAGTGGCTCGAATCAGCTGCCGGTAGCCTGGTTAACACCGCCAACAACTCGCCTCGTACTAGTACGATGCACAATGTCGACGACAGTGATACCGATGCACTGGTATCTCCTCGTCACACCGACATGAGCCCTATGTTAAGCTCCAATGCCAACCTTATGATGAGTGCACTGGGAAATGACTCGGTAGGCCAGGTCACGGGCCCTCCGGAGGCATTCTATCCTACCAACGGCTACTTGATGGATGCTAGTTTCGATGAAGACGAAGATGACAGCGAAGCCATGCTTAACGTCGATGACTTCATCAACTTCAGCGACGATTCGTCTGACGATGAAAGGGATGACTCGGATGAACCAACTTCCCCAGCTGCTACATCTACTATTGGCTGTCAAACACCAACACCTAGACGCCCTTCTGGTACTGCAACAGACAACGACGAGACCCCTACACAGGCCAGCAGTGCTGAACGACTTCTCAACCACCTTGATCGCGGCATTGTCACTGCCTTCCGCCGCAATCATAATAGATACCAGGCACTGATCCGTCTCCCCCATCACAGGGAGTTTTTACCTGCAAACTCTCCATCTCAGCCTGCAAGCGCCTTCAAACGCTCGAATCCTCGCACGCCCACCAGAAAGAGACAGGCAAGCACATACCTTGGCAGCGAGGCTGTCCGGAGAAAGCTGGTAGACTCACACCGCAGCAGAAGAAACACTGTTGCTTACTGAAAGTATATCATATGTATCCGGAATGACACAATCGAAGTTGGTCTACAAGAAAAACCGATAAACACGGCAATGGATCACCAAACTCTCCCCTCTTGCCCGCTATATTACTAGCTACACAAGCGCAGGCGCAGGCACACGCACACACACACACACACACACACACACACACACACAGGCGCCACAGTAGGGCCGCACAATACGTGTCTTACTCATCTATCTATCCGATGTGCTGTCAGTGTCAGAATTGATGTTTTCGATGTTCAGTTGAATAACTATATTTTTTAATTGGCTCCCTCCAACCTCTGCTTCAATTCTTTTCAGTCATATTATATCACATTACACGATCATTGACGATCTTCTCCCAAAAAAAATAAATAAGCTCCCCGTCCCTTGTTTACTGTTCGCATCGTGATCGATATACCTGTCTGAATACTGTGGATGAACTAAAGCACATATCAAAGGTATAAACGAACACAATAACGATATTGCCACCCTCTGTTTTCCCTTTCTGTTGCCTTCGAACTATATGATTATGTCTCGATTGTTCATACTCGCATGTGCTATTGTGTTACGTACGTATACTCCATTGACGAGTATTGCCTGCCTAGTGTTTTGTGATAAGCGTCTATGCGTCGAGCGCCTTGAGTGTCGCCGACTAATTGAACAATATAGGAAAGAAAACAATGAATGAAGAAAAAAAAAAATGAAAATAAAAATAAAAAATAAAAAATGAAATGAAAAAGGGCAATCGGATATGCGTTACGAAGGAGCCGACTGGAAGGAAACCATATGCCATTCTGGCCTCCCAAAAAGAAGTATATTGTAACTTGATTTACTGTTTTTGATCATGACAAAAGTTATATGACGTCAAAATTCTTGCTTACCGTTCGTCTCGCTTCTCTTCTTTGACCTTCAGTTGCTTGATCCTGTTTGAGGACTTCATCTCATTTGTTGTCGTATAATTATTCCAATAGCCACGCATCTCTTATCCAGGCTCGTGGCTTTCCGTAGTTTGCCTTGCTTGCCTCATTTCTTGTTCCCATTATTCCGGCTCCGCGCGGCTGATATCATGTCATAGTGCTTAACATGCGCGAGCTTTGATTGCTGAGCCAGAGGATCCTGCCAACTTCCCTGTCATTCTGTCCATAGTTCGTAGAAGGTGTCCCTGGTTTCGAGAACCCCCATATCACGATCTCGTTCCGCATCTCCTTTTGTCCTTCCCATGTCCTGCTAGCTAAGCATCTTCCCGTAACAACCCACAGACGGTCAGAACTCGGATATAGCAGGAAAAGAAACAGGAAGAGCAGAACAGCCTGACTTGGCCTCTTGGTCTCGCCAACGTCCTCGCTATCCAAGCTTATGCCCAGCCGGCACATGTGCTCTTGATCAGAACATATCGTGATCGAAAACACACCCCCGGCCCTTTTGACCGAAGCGCGAGTTCAGACAAGATACTTCGTCATGAGAGGGCACGGCTTGTTTGACCCCCCTTCACCTCCCCGGTGTGAAGCCATCGCCGCATATGGAGTACTCCGTGGGCAAGCAGAGAGGGGGTTGACTTTCGCTAGACAGCCAACCAGTTAACTAGCTAACGAGTTAGCCAGTGCTCCGTACGGAGTAGAGCAATGTTTCTTCGGCTCCTCGAACGCCTAATTAGCCCGTGTGTCCATGTTTTGTCTTTTGGGGCTATCGTTTGGACCAGGAGGTGATCAGATATGCAGGTCGTATATGTAGAATAGCCTTCCATGATGCGATTTGAGTTAACAGGGGGAGTCTGTCATTGGATCTGAATCTGGAGAAGTATGCATGCGACTCCCTGCAATCTAGTAGCAACTTTGTGTTTGTGTAGCTGCTGGCTAGCTCGGCTAGTCAGGGGCAAGCTACTGTCTGGAATCCGTGGATCGTTCCATCGCCGTGGAAAGCTAGGACGGTTGTTTCTGCGGAACGAAGACAGCCCTGCCCTTGTACTGATCACGGTTCAAAACTCCGGCGAGGGAGGCCACAAGGTCGGGAGAAACGCTTGGTATGGTATCTTAGGAATTCTTGATATTGTGGATTGTGGGCTAAGAAGGTAGTTCTGCGCAACTACTCCATACAATCCCTAGCAATTAAACCGCTGGCAAGAAAGGGGAATCAGATATCCCCTCGCCCCAACGGCCTTGACGGCATCATCTACCCAGTCCTGACAAGCATATCGGGGCTCGTTGGAGTCAATCTTTACCGTACCATCATACTGCCTTTTCGGAAGAAGGTGTAGAAGCGCACACGTCCTTGAAGCCAAGTAACCCAGTATTCCAGGGAGCTCTTTTTACCCTGGGACGAAACAATCTCATCTGGCTTTTTCTCCTTCTCCCTGGTCTCGAATGAAAGCTCGTTGAGAGAGTTCCGTAGACATGTCTTTTTTAGGCTCGGCAAGTGGCTGGATTGATTTCAAAAAAGCGGACGTGGTGGTTGCATGAGTCGTAAGCAACTCGGTTATACCCTGTAGGGTGGCTTCATGGGACTTGATCTATCGTTGTTAGCCAGGTGAGGGGCGAGAAGGTGAAGAATATAGAGTTTTATATACGAGATATCCTGTACCGATTTGCGGCCTGGGTAGAAAACCTGGGGAGTACACAAGGCCTTGCGTTTGCTAGTGGATTGTACGTAGCCGACGTAAAAGTATGGACAGGAAGTTGTCCTCGCCCTGGCGAGTGTTATCCCTGAGTGAGTCGATATTCCCGCTAGTTCCTGCAATCATCTGAAAATGGCGTAGCAAAACTGCAGCATACAGTTTTACTAGATAGTTATTGGACAAGGATATCTCTTTGATACGGCTGCCCCCGGCTATGCTTGTATATAGGTGGTCTGTATACATAGTTTGGCGGCTTCATTGGAGACAGCGATGGTTAGGTTATTGCTAGTTATCATATTCAGAAGAGGCGGGTTTGATCAATTTAAATATCGTGGTGGATGCTACTTTGAACCCTTCCTATACAACCAGGGGCCTGGGAAACGTTGATTTCTCGAAGATGGAATGAGGTAATCCCAAGTTCTCTCTATGTCTTCCGAGTCTTCCTGTTGATCAGGGGTATGTCCTTCTACGCCATCGATGCTGGGAAATAGCTGGTCAAACAAGAATAGTGGCCTTTTTTTTTCAGGAAGAATATAGATGTCCAATTGACTGATGCATGTATGGACCTCAAAATTTCATTGATTTTCTATGGTCTTCAATAGAGCCACAGAAGAATGCTGATTTGGACACGGAGATACACTGTTCATGCAGTTAGCTGCCGCCTCTGTATGTTAAATATAGAAGGTTAGTAACCTTCTTACGCCCGTAGTATACTCTAGCCAACGTGTCAATTGTATATAGCTTGACTGAATAGAAGTAAAAAGATCGTGATATTTTGTTTGAGGCGTATACAACTCAGTAAATGTATTGAGTGGGAAATGATCTGGCGGCCACTTGCTTGGGAATATAACCAACCCAACATATCACTTAAATAATAAGTTGCTAGATGGCTAACTACGATATTTGCTTGCCCAGGTAGCGGTGAAATGTAGTATCTGTCAGGATATCTTTCGTATCAAGTAACAATGGAAAGCTGGCACTTGAATGAACCACGCGGTCTTTCATGGCGTGGCTGTTGATATCAATCAAGTTGGTCAGAGTTCGTCAAAGCTCAGCCTTGCAATGCGGCTCTTTCAACGGACATCGCGTGGAGGATTGTCACTCGATGACTATCAGACACAATAACTGTCTTTAATACCGCGATATCTAATAGCCAATCTAGAGCTAGTTCAGAATGCGAGATATCTGATCGGCCTATATTGGTGGAGACTCTTGTTGATATTCCATATACGGCCCCAGATCTCCCTGGCCCTCTTCCTACCCAAGGTCAGATCTATAATGCACCCCTTCTTTCACAGCGCGCAGATACAAAAATAGTCCAAATAGATGATAAACATGCGGTTAAATATGGCCTGGCTGTGCAGTCTCCTTTTCCAGGGGGCCAGAATACCATCTTCCTGAGGGCAGTCACCAATATCCAGGTTCCTAAGCTATGCTCTGTACACCATGCATGACGCTGAAATTGAGGACTTTGACTCTAGAGTTGAAATGAATTATATGGGCATGGAATTAATCGACGGTCAAACACTAGAGGCATGCTGGGACACCCTCATCATCGACGAAAAAGAGGACATCGTGGCAACGCCCATGGACTAACTACTTCATAGAACTACGCTCTTACCATATCCAAGATACTACAGCTTTCTCGGACGTTAGCCTTTCTGGGACCATGATGTTCGGCAGCGTGGAGCCAATTCCGGCGATCAACGGACTGGTCGAGATCGAAGAGGACTTGAATGAGGCAATGATTCTCAGTTACACCGCTCGCAGGCCGAAAGAGAGAGCTGCATTCATGAGACAAGTCTGCATTCACATAAGCAGATCTACAATGCAAGAATATCATTGTCAAGGAGAAGGAAGTTCATAACCCAAGCAGGAAAGACTGGAAATATGAGGTTACTCCGATTGACTGGGAAGAGGCTGGATGGTACCCTGGCTACCAGGAATATACTCTCGCCGCACATGCATCCGGCTGGTAGACTGACTGGCCAAACCGGCTACCGAAGCTGATGGACCCATATGTAATGACCTTTGAGTTTGCGTGGATTGACAGAATATGTACATGTCGTATTAGTTAACTACGGCGGCCTCTTAAGAGAGCTGTCAAGTTCCTCTCTTCTCGCTCCTCTCCATGACCCCAATCATATAATTACTCCTGTTCTTTCGAAGGGTTGGGGTCTCCAGGAATAACAACGATACTAAGTGCTCGCAAAAGCACATTATTACGTGTCTCGAGGACTCCGTAAGACCTCGCGTTGCCTCGTCTCACCCTGAACAGCCGGGACTCCATAGCGGTCTGGCCTGATTGGTAGCTTCACCATTCGCTAGAGGAGACCATGACATCAAGGAAGCTGTTATGTTGGAAGGTGCCGAAAGCCGAACAGTTCCAAGACTGCGAGGGAGGGTGTCTTGCAAGAATGTCCACTCTGAAGCCCCTTTATTTAACTGATGCTACCTGTTTCAACTCTTCGGAGAATTTTCTGTTTGGTGAGAAAAGAATTTTTTTTCCTACCTGCTTGTTATGGGGGGTAGCTAAGTACATGGCAGAAGAAATGGCGAAGTTGAACAGCGGAAAGCCGAACCCCTTTTAAAGGCCGATTGGAAGACGCCGCTGCGACATTGACTGCAATCCCTGGACCTTCTACTACACTAGGGGTTAAGTCTGCCAGCCGTTGTGTACGGAGCGTGCACTCGTTATGCATGACCTGGCTGTGGATCACATGTGTGAATGCATCTACGTTTTTAAGTAGTTACACCGGGAGTCCATGGGGCTGGACCATAATAATTTACAGCAGATGCAGTAGCGTTTGGAAGAAGCAGGGCATTATGAAATCCATCCATTCATTCGATGGAATAGGTATGACAGACCGTCTATTTATATGCGGGTATAAGAGAAATGTAATAAGTAATAAATCGGTCGTCGGTCAAGTATAAGGGGCTATTTTTGCACTATAGGAATGGCGGGTCTGCTGGTGAGACCTATTCCAGGGGAGCTCGGGGACTCCGGAAAGCAAGAAACCCAGGCAATACTGCATATTTATGGAAGATGTGTGCTGGAGTATAGTCCACACTTCGAAGAGCGAGAAACGCGCCCTTTCTCGACCTTGAGACCCAACAAGATATTATTTCAGAATACAAAGAGACGCTGAAGTAGGATGTCTTTCGGCTTGGGTCAAAAAGAGAGTTACCGTTCGACAGCCAAGGTACCAAATCAACGCAACTCTTCGTTACCCCTGCCAAGTAAACGTTGCGGGTAAAGTCTCCTGTGCGACCTTTTCTGCCAGGCACCAAAGGCTCCTCCACACGAAGATGGACCGGGTCAACAGAAGGGGAGGTATAAACTGTATGGATATACCCTGGCCAGACAGGGGTGTATTTGGCTCAAGCATCCGGAATGCTACAACCTGCAGGCCCCGGTTTGAACAGACTATCTCGGAATACCCCGTACTTGAATCAATATTTACGCCAGAAGACCGGTCTCTTCACTGGTAAAAGCTATCCATCCGACTCGCGTACTTCTGACAGCTAGAGTAGAGCGAAGATATCTTCATGACCATTGTTGGGTGGCTGTGTACTTAGTTGAAACGTGCTTTTCCAGCACGGGGAAACTCCGCCCGAAGAGGGGTGCAGGTAGTAACAGGGCTACACTGCTTGGTACCTGTCCTAGGAGTTTTCGGAAGATGGGAAAGTCTTTTTCTGGTAGTCTGGTGTGTTGAAGGTTTCTGCTGAGAACCACCGCTGGGCCGGGGGGTCCATTGATCTACCCAGAGTTAACGACTAGAGAGAAAGAAGTTTCAGGAACGAACTAATAGGGGCGCCCTCTCTTTCCCCTCAGGCATTCCAAGGCCCAGAGATTTTCCTCCCTGCTGTGGCTCAAACGCCGAGCTGGGAACCTTGGAAAATCCACTCTTCCGGCAGGGTTTATTGAGCACAAGAAAAGGTGTTTTCCGCAGCGGTGGAGAGGATGTGAGCTCTTGTCAGGATACGAGATCCTAACGACCGATCGCAAGGTGTGGCGAGTATTCTCCGTGAGCTAGCCATGTCGGTACGACATCAGTGCTCCCTTCTGCCATTCGTCCCTGTTTTTTCTCAGTCACCCTTCAGACAAAAGCCCATTTCCGGGACGTCATCGTTAGCAGTAGTTATTATCCGCAGGTAGAATATGGATGATTTAGACAGGTGTCGTAGGCGTTGCGCTGACAGGCAGCATACGAAGAGCAAGCCGTCGTACAGCGTGGCAATGGAGTATGTATGCCAACATTCCCTTCTCCTGCTCTCCCCTCTTCGCAGTTTCACATTGAGACCTGCTAAGAATCAAGCTTTGCTTGGGTGGAGAAGCGATGGCCGGCGCTAACTAACAAGAGGCGGCCATGCAGAATGGAGCACTGTTGCCCGTGAGATTCCGCGAGAGCACAGTGGCAACCATATTCACGCCCGCCAGCCAGCCGTGGAAGTAAGTAACTAAGTGCAGTCAATTTGACCTGTACCGGCCCCCAGTTCCAGTTGCAGTTCCAGCTCCAGCTCAGAGCCAATACCAGGTGCCAGCTGGAGCAAACCTGGGCAAAAAATAGAAACCGAGTGCGGAGCGGGCAGTCGACCTGTGCGCCTGTGATGTGCGCCAGACATCTCCTAGCCGCTGGATCGCCCGTCTGCAGCGCGCGTTCGACGGCCGACACGCCCCGTGTAACTGGCCCAGCGTCCAGCTGCGTCGTGGATGAGCGGCTAGCGGTGACTTTGATATACTCGAGGCTGCGCGGCGAGTTTGCGGGCGGCGGAAGTCGCTGGAGGTACCTGCTGAGTCAGCATCCCCTTTTGGGGAACTTCCAACGTCTTCTCTTCGACAGCAACACAACAGCAACAGCAACACAATAACAATAACAACAACAACAGCTACTACTCTATGCTCCGTACTTGCAGACGGTACGGAGGACGCAGAGACAGGACCGGCGGGAGGTTGCAGGGGCCGACAGCATGACGCTGCAGACAGGGTGCGTCGCAGATGCGTTGGGCGAAGGTCGGGGCTGGCGGTTTCGAAAACGGCCTCTGCAGAGCTCGGGGGGCCTCGCATTGCCGGTTGAGCCAGTAGCATAACTCGCGGCGGCATTTAGCCTCGGTGACTTGCCTGGTGGATGTGCAAATATGCTAAATTTAGCCGGACGAGGAGCTCTGGAAGCAGAAAAAAAAAGGGGGGGCGTGAGAGGGGAAAGAAGATTGCCCCTAGCCAGCCCTGCGCATTAGCCATATGCAATGAAATGGACGCTGATGCATGCAACAATAATCCACTCTCTCAAACCAGCAGAAATCGCCCCCTTGCTTCTAGATTGTATGGCCGCTGGCGGTTATTGAGATACTATGGCGAGCTCGCTGCTCTGCTTGGAGGATGGCTTGCTCTTTGCTTTTGCCGTGAGTCTGCTTGGCAATGGCCCAAAACACCCCGGCGCTTCACCCCGTTATGGGATAGGGCAAGGTCATGCCATAGTGACTCCATCCACACACTGTATTTGCAATCCGGACTGATGCAAGCTCCTCGCTTCCCCTGTCAGTTCAGCCCACCCTGGCGCGAACTTTAGGCTCCAGCGCTACTCAGTGCAGCGCTCCATACCAACTATACCCATGATGATACTCATACTACACTTACTCTCAGCCGGGCAGCGCGAAACAAACCATTGACCGAGAGGAAGCACCTGTGGAGAAAACTTGCGTTCCCTTTTTTCCTTAGCCGTGGCAACCCCCGTCAGCGCAGGCACCCCCATAGGCGGGCGGCGCTCTTCCAACGCAAAACGGAAGGGCGGGAAAATATCATGTCTTCACGCTTGGTATACCCGGACTGGTGGGATATTAAATGACCCTCAAAGCCCCCCTCAATTCTCCCTGATCTTTTGGTCCTTCTCTCCATCATCTTTTTTCCTCTTTCCCCCTCCCCCTCCCCTTTCTCCTTTTATACTCTTCGTTCTCTACCCTCGTTTATTTAAGGCTCTTTATCTCTTTACTCAAGAGATAATAGCTACTTACTACTCTAATCTTAATATCGCTGGCTCGAATTACGTCAGTGCCGCCCCTCGTTTAACCGTTTCCCATACGGACACAATCTTTTACTACATCTGGTTCACACAGTCGCTACTCAATTCACTCGCCTTTCAATATGAAGGCTTCTATCGGAGCCTTGGCGCTCCTGTTGGCCCAGCAGGCCAGCGCTGCCTACATCCCTACTGGCAGTACCAAGGGAAGCCCCTTAGTCCGCCGTCAATGGGATGGTTTCAACGGAGGAGGTGAAACCGTTGACCCCGGGTACAATGAACCACCACCCTGCCCCGAGTGTGAATCTCAGTGCCCTGGTGAAAACTGCGGAGGAGGATATGAACCACAACCTCCGTGCCCCGGTGGAAACTGCGGAGGAAACGGTGACGGAGGCGTTGGAGGTGGCATCGGTGGAGGAATCGGCGGTGGCATTGGAGGAGGCATTGGAGGAGGCATTGGAGGAGGCGGCGACGTAAGTCCATCATCCAGAAGGCATTAACCTAGCAGATAACTAACATTGTTAATAGTGCTGGGGTGGAGATGGTGGACAACCTCCTGCCTGCTTCCCTGTTCCAGGCAACACACCTCCAGATTGTACACCCGAACAGCATGATGGCTTTGATTTTATTGGCCTCATTGAAGGTGCTATTGATTTCTTCGGCGGTTGCGACTTCTCTGGCTTCACCTGCGTGGATGGGATTGTCAAGGGGGCTTTGCAACTCGGTGGGAAGGCTATCACTGCTTTGCTCGGAGCAGGTGGAGACAACGTTCCCACCATCTCTAAGCCCGGCGGTGGATTGACCATTACTTCTATCGTGATGCATGCTGAGGTTACAGTCCAGGTTATCCTCGAGTTTACCATGAAGGATGGTTCTATATGCCGACAGTTTGCAACCTGCTCACCTAATGGTGAAACCATCCTTAACGAACAGTGTGCTGGTGCTGTTAGCGTGAGTTTCCGTCTCTCAGTCACGAGCAAGGTCAGTGTCTGCGCGGTTGCTATCACGAAGATTAATTTCGGCTGCGAGCCGCCAACCATCCCAACCTGGCCATTCCCACCACTTCCATCCCCAACTACCAGCCTCCCGCCACCAGAGACGTCAGGTGGATACACAACCATTCCAGGTACCAGCGAGAGCGGTGGTTGGTCTTCAATGCCATCTTCATACAGCATGCCAACTTCCGGATACACGACCGTTCCAGGCACCAGCTTACCCTACACTACCCCCAGCGGCGGTTTCCCAACTAGCAGTGGAGGTATCCCCGGTCAAACTACTGTCCCAAGTTCTCCTGCTCCTACCACCTGGACCTCTCAGTCCATTTCCACCATTTACACTACTTCTACCATGACCGTCACCAGCTGCCCGCCAGAAGTTCCCGACTGCCCAACTGGCTCCACTTCAGTTATTACGATTCCTGTCACCACAACTGTCTGCCCTGTCACCATGACCTCCGCAATTCCTGGACAGCCCGGACAGCCAGGTCAACCAGGTCAGCCCGGACAGCCAGGTCAACCCGGACAGCCAGGTCAGCCAGGTCAACCCGGACAGCCAGGCCAGCCAGGTCAGCCAGGCCAGCCAGGTCAGCCAGGCCAGCCAGGTCAGCCAGGTCAACCAGGTCAGCCCGGACAGCCAGGTCAGCCCGGACAGCCAGGTCAGCCCGGACAGCCAGGTCAACCAGGTCAGCCAGGCCAGCCAGGTCAACCAGGCCAGCCAGGTCAACCAGGTCAGCCAGGCCAGCCAGGTCAACCAGGCCAGCCAGGTCAACCCGGACAGCCAGGTCAACCCGGACAGCCAGGCCAGCCAGGTCAGCCAGGTCAACCAGGTCAGCCAGGCCAGCCAGGTCAGCCAGGCCAGCCAGGTCAGCCAGGTCAACCAGGTCAGCCCGGACAGCCAGGTCAGCCCGGACAGCCAGGTCAACCAGGTCAGCCAGGCCAGCCAGGTCAGCCAGGTCAGCCCGGTGCTCCCGCTCCTTATCCACCAGTCGTTCCCAGATGTATGGTGACCTGGTTCACCATCCCCAAGTGCGATTCCAACAGCCATATCGATTGTCTCTGCCCGTCTAAGGAATTCGCCCTGAAGGTGGTCGCCTGTATCCGCTCTTGGTCAAAAGATGAGGAGGAGACCCAGGCCGCACTTTCCTTCTTCCTGGGTATCTGCGCCACTTACATTCATCAGAACCCTGGTCTCGTCGACCACCTCCCACCAGGCATGCCCATTGCCCCAACTTTCCCTCCAAATGGCCCAGCTCCTCCAGCGGTCACCCTTACAATCACACCTACTATGACTGGAAACCACACTGCTCCCCCCACGACGATCGTCGTTCCCACGATTAGCTTCGCCACCCCTACATCCGGTGCTCCCAACCATGCCCCTTACCCTGTTCCTGCCGTTCCCACATCGGAAGGTGGTTCGGCCCCAACTCCGGCTCCTGGTGGTTCTCCTGGCGGCGTTCCTGCTCCTGCCCCACCATACGGCAGCACTGGCTTCATGACCGTCTCTCCTACAGGTGGTGTTCCACACCCAACATCTACCACCGAGCCCTACATTGGTGCTGCTTCTAGCGTTGAGGCCTTCCTGTCTCAATGGGTCATGATGGGCATTACTGCTATGGTCGGTCTGATCCAGTTCGCTCTCTAGATTACCTAAAATTTAGAGGTGAATAATTGCCTGGCAAAGCTCGCCAATCTCTTATATGTTTATTATTTATCTCATGTCTTTGTCGATGTCTTGTTTTCTTTTTAGGTCTAGCTAGACCGTTAATAGTTCTCCCGTCCTACTAGACATCTCAAAATAACATTCCTTTTATATTTCTTTTTTGTGTCTTTAGTATTCTTTGGTTTTTGACTATATTATTTTGAAGAATTTTTCTATAGGGGAATGGGTGGTTTCAAATATCTCTAGTCTTATTAATGTGCTTTTATTGAGGTTTGTGTTATGGACAACATAGTAATGCAGTTTGAGTTGACCATATATCTATCGCATCTCACCAGATGCCTGCAGTATTGATTTGACTACAAGCACTGATCCATTTATCCATTATTATATCCTGCAAATACGTTATTATCCCAGTAAGTTCACATTAATAATGCTGTAAACCGGAGCAGTTGATGCCACTAGTGTAATGCTAACCGTTTCTCGTTCTAGGTATTTATCGACCGATATCTCCCAACACAAAGATGCAATCTTCTGTTGATGTTGATGTTGATTGATAGATCGATCAAGAAGCTTTTTATATCATGCAGCTTAGTCAAAGTTAACTTTATTCAGCTTAGTCATACTAAGTTAATATGTTACCACGTGACACGACCGCCGCGATCTTGACCGACGTCAACGCAGGAAGACAAGCAGAATTATAGGCTCATATTCAAAACAGCATACAAAGACTACGTTGACAAGCAAGAAGGTAGATGTGTGGTTTGGCCGCAGGGAAGAAGCGCCTAGCCGAAGACAAACACTCGAGTCTCAATGCTCTCACGGGGCTTTGCGCCAGCCGGGGTCCGGGGGTCGGCAAAGGAAGCATGGGCTGTCCGCCTGGCGACTGCGTCCTCCTTACTGTCCATGATCATGAAGGCTAGCCTGTCCTCGTTGGTCATGCCAGACCAATAGTACCATTTGTGGGCTGGACTGTACTTCAGCATCTGCGTCTCGCTCTTATGCTGGGGATACCGCAGCTCGATGCGCACCAGGTCGTCATCCGGGACCGAAGATGGCATAGCGACGGCGAGTGGGTATGACTGAACCGTACCGTTTATCGGTCTCCAGATGTTGAGCACCCGGTATCGATCCTTGAGAAGCTCTGCTACTTCCTCGGGCGGGAAGAAGAGGCCTATCGCTTCCTTCGTTGATGTGAGGGTTTGATCGATGTGAGCGCTGATTAGCGGGGAGTGTTCAGCGCCAGGCTGAGAACGGCGGACAATGTGGTTGAAGATAAATATGCGTTTGGCCTCGGGGAATAGTTCGCCGACGAATTTCTCGACTTCTGGATACCAGACTGACTTGATGTTTTCCTCGTCACAGAACGACGGGTCCGCGGCCGAGGGCACGTTCGATACGCCCTGGAAGCCATGTTTTGCAAGCGAGTATTCAGACTCCTTGCCGCGGATGTCGGTTATGGAGATGGTGTGTGTGCTTAGAGGGTAGTTGGGCTGGGTTCCGCCCTTGAGATGGCCCTCCATGAGGTTGTATGGCTCCGACCCGTCTTCAGGATACTCGAAAAACTGCATCGGGGCTTCTACGTCGCCTCGGGGTATGTGGTTAACATCGTTTTCGAGGACGACATGGGGGTCGGATGTGGTCGTGGTAGCAGTAGCCGACATGATCAATTGCCTAGATGAGCAGCGGTTAAGGCAGTGCGAGGAATGGCCTGATGTACTATCGATTGCAGAGGAAACTCGAAAGGGGTGAGTGTGTGCAAGGGAGGGCGATATATGCCCTACATACATATATATATAGGTGTTTGTCCTCTTGCTACCCCCCGTACACTTACTTCCCCATGCAGGCCACCTTGCAAGCTGCATTCAGAAGCATCCATACGCCTCGCATGCGCATATGCCAAGGAGCGACTTAACACAAGCGAGCCGTCATTCGAAGGCGAAGGATATATTAAAGAAGCATTCCGAGCTAGTCATAGTGACCGCTAGAGAATCGACGCCGCTTGGGGTTTGTGCCTCAACCACGGCCCCTTCTGGCTAGCGGAACCAAGAGCTAGAGTCAAACTGCACAATATATATCGAGCCTGATACCCTGTAGCCGGGGCCGGCAAATGTATCATCCCTGGGCCTTAGGTGTTGCTGATAACTACTACCTGCCCCGCGCCGGGTACAGAGGCCGGCGTACAGAGTGCGCAGGAAACTCGCTCGCTCGCTAGCTAGCTCTACCAGGGTTCGTGCAGAACCAGAGTATCAATATCCTCATGGTGGACGTGGGAACGAGGAAGAGAAAGAAGAAGAATCGGAAGAAGGAATGGACCCGAGAAACAACAAAGAATGTGCTTGATTAATTTCATGCAGGGTATTACGTCGAAAGGTATACAAAGCCCCATCGCTTAAACAAAAGGCTCGCGCAACGCCAGCTCTGGAACGGCTAAAGCCACAGCGATCGGTTCCATATTCAACGACAAACAATCGCCCATTGTGTGATCTTCCTCCTGTGTCGCATGGCATGGCATCCACCCCATGTACAGCATGCAGATGTAGCCAATGATCTACCCAACTGCGCCCTTGTGTATGCCCATAATCGAAGGCAAAAAAAGAAAAAAAAGTGAGCAAAGGCGACAGAAGTCGAAATGGAGAATAAAAAAAACAAGGAGATTTCCGCCTGTAGTGAGATTTGTATGTGCAACGCCTATAACACTTGAGTTTTGCCCGCCGGCCCATAAAGAAAGAGAGAAAGAGAAAAAGGTGGTGGGTGGCGGGAGGGAGAACAAAGAAAGGAAGAAAGAAAGCTCCCTGGTATATCCCCGCCATATTCGATCGTGAAGTACTCCGTTAGCCATGGGAAAAAAAACAAAATATCACGATTTCCGAGGATTTGCCCGGACTAGATGAACGTCCATGGTTGGAGGGAAATCGGGGTGCAAAGAGCCAACCTTCGGGGGATTGTTGTTGTTGCGAGCGGGAGGCTGCTCGTCATCCGAGCCCATGAGAGTGGTCAATAGGCTATTGACCAAACGAGTATCTATCCACCCCGGTGGCTTTGTGTTCCTCAGTCGTTCGATACGAGCAAGGTCGTCTTCAATCTCCTCCGGCATCAGAGCGGGCGGAGTTGGCGCGCTTGATGACCCATTTGGTCGCTGGTGATAGCTACCCAGGATGTAGTAGGGAAGATTTGTGCGAGTAGAGTTCTTTTCCGTTAATTCTCCGAGAAGGTTCAAGGCACCTGTGCCATTAGTGCGGGTGGAACGAGTTGCGTGGACGTTCTGGCTGGCCGAGCGCTCCATATCGGCTGCTCCAGGCGTAGCGTCTTCCTGGCTGCTTGCATCGCCGGAACCAGATGCCTCGTCCTTGTCTACAGACTGTCCGTTTGCGTTCTGGTTCGCTTGTTTGGCACGCTTGGAAGCAGAAAGGAAGTGGACCGCAGCGACGTGGGCGGCATTGCTGTGCATGGCCAATTCTTTCTCGGTGAACAAAGATAGGATATTGTACGCCGGGGCATTCTGCTGCTGGGACATTCTCGACTTGGCTCGGTCTGCGGGGGTCGACAGGCCATCATGGTTTGGAGACGCGCTGAACTCTTCGTCTATCGCCTTGCGCTTGCGTTTATTGATTGGTTCGCTCATGATGCCGCTTCCGATGTCGTCGGCGTCAAGTCTATGTCGCGTGTGTCTTGTTTTTCGATTGCCCTGGATCCCACCAGGACTGCCGGGGTTGGCTATGCTGAACTGATTAGGGTGGAGAAGCAACGCGTTGGTGTCAGCAACATCCAGCTGTTCTTTCTCTCGCATAAGCCGATTTTTTCGGTGGGAGACTGATTGGACAAGTCGTTCACGGATGGTCTCTGTGAGCCGCTTGTACTCTTCGGCAGCGAGCTGGATCCGGAAATCCCGTTCTTGTTTGATGCGGTTCAAAGAGTCACGGTGTCGGTTCTATAAGAGGGGGGAGAAAAACATTGAAAGTGACATCAGAAAATGGAACCTCCTTTATAAAACATCCAGTCAAAGAAAGGAAAAGGAAAAGAACTTTCCAGTCACAAAAAGTGACGGAACTTACCATCATAACAGCCAATTCTGCATCTCTCTCCTCCTTGCTTCGATTTATCTCCTGAACGAAGTTCGAATACCATCTCCCGGAGATTGGGGTGTCTGAAGTTATCTGCCCACTGGCAGCTAACTGTGTCAATTGCTTTGCAACATCTTCGGGGGAGTCACTGATGGGCCAGTCCTCATAGACCTGTGCGTTTGAGATCAACGCCATCTCATTCTGAAGCTCATGCACTCGCTGCCGGAAATGATAGTCTCTGTTATTCCCGAAGGCCTCCTTCAGCTCGTTCACTCTGTCTTGGAGGGCATTGCGTCGCTTATCTCGCTTGGAAAGTGGAAATTGGCCTGGAGGTGGGGTGTCGGTGTAACGAGCTGTCGAAGGCCCAGCAGCTGCCGAGGGAGATGCTGGAGCAGCTGCAGGGTATGCCATTTCGCGGAAGTTGCCTGGTATTCCGCCAGATGAGTAGAGCGCTTGTTCTCAGAGCGGGTTGAGTCAGTCGTCAACGTCACGGAGGTGAGAAGGCTCGGCTATTGGGACAACTTTGAATATTAGCACCCATCCTCAACCGAAATCGAGCACAGCTAGCACGGTATAGAAAGAAAACAGCAGAACAGAATATCTGGGCGAAAGGAAAAGGGGAAAAGAGAACCACACCTGTTTAGATCGATCCAGTCAACACTGGAAGTAAAAGAGAGAGAAAAAAAATTCTTTTCGAGGTAGCGAGAATAGTCAAAGGTAGCAAGGACGGAGGAATATCGCTCTCTTGCTAGGACTGCCTGTATTCTCGGGTTTCCAACTAGCTATCTGATCTCGTTGCGAGGAGATGCTATATTGCTAGTTTGCAGGTCTGCGGCAGATGGTGTAGAGTGTAAGCGCTGCGGCTGGCAGACCCCCTCTGGAGGTCCGTATCTTTGCAATATAGCAACAGCTGCGGGTAATGCAAGTATAGAAGGATGTACTGCCAGGATATCAACGCTGGGAGGAGGACGTAGGGATTTGCGAAGCCAGGAGGCCGAATGGAGGGCGGAAGCAGAGAGAGGCGCAAACCGGGGGTGTTTTTTGGCTTGGGGCTTCGGCCGGCAGGAATAGGAATGCAGTCGAAACTGGAGGCAGTGAATCAGAAGCCGCAGGAGGTGACGGCGGACTCTGTAGGGCAGGATTCCGGGCTCGGTGAAGTGCGGCACATCGTCTGGCGCTGGCGGCTTGCTGTCGTCGTCGGCGTCAGGACAAGCAAAGTCGGAGTCGCTTTTTCTTCCTCTTGCGCTGATGTCACGGGGCCCGGATAAAAGTGGTGCCATTAGCCGCCGTCACGTGGACCGGCTCCCAATAGATGATGTAAGGTCCATTCCTTCCAATACATCCATTATTCCAATAACTACATGCACAGGAAGACAATATAGAAGGGCTGAAACGGCGGAGGCGCTGGTGTTGATGCAGGCTGTTGGCCCATAAGTGTGGAAGATACATATATTTGACTACATTCCATGAATGGCTAGATGGTACGCTTTAACAGAGAGAGATTATCTAAGTTAGCTAGTCCAGAAGTTCCAGCATTCGTAGCCCATGAGGGTACTCCATAAGACGCAAAGGAGCACCGAGCAGTGAGGACGCTGGATTATCGTCTTTATCAGCCAGCCAGTCGAGCAAATGTCATGCGGCTTTGCGAGGGCTAGACTTGACACGTGACTAACGCAGCTACTCGTCACATGACCTGTTTATTCCCGTCTGCGTGTCCAAATCCACAAACGGAAACAAAACACTGCGATTGTCTGGCCGCAAAGCAGGAAACGCGGACGTTGACCGAGGCACTGTGGTAGAGTGGTTAATACGTTGCACTGCTACCGCTATACAGTTCTCTGCATACATAGCCATGCAATTCCTTCGGGAGCCAGGGTTCGAATCCCTGCGGTGTCGCTTCTTTTTTTCTCCTCCGCTTGCCCAGAGGAAACGCGTTTTTTAGGATGTCGAACACACATGATACCTACCCTCTGGCTGTAGACGGATATATCACATAACCAGTATGGAGCAACATATGTGTGGCAGCTCTCGTCTGTTGGGCTCTTTGTTCTGGGCCTTCGAGACTGTTACAAGTGACTGCGGACAGACACTCGCTGCAGGCGTGCTCATGTCTCTCCGTAGGACGGCCGTCCTCTGCTCCGTGGAGTTCAATAGGGCAGAGCCTGCCTATGCTCAATATACATACCTGGACCAAGTTCCGTCCCTGTGTTTCAGGGAGAACTACGGAGTACCACGAGAGTAGTTCAAACCTGATGTGATCCCTGAGGACGCCTTTCTCAGACCGAGAATCACACATGCATAGCCATTTTGGAAATATCCAACTGCAGCTGCAGCTCTTTTCACCACCTGCCAATTGAACGGAGACAAGTTTTATTATCCCACATGTACGTGTAACTTCGTCTGTGTCACATTTGGAAAGCTCTTTGCCGTCTCTCCTACATCGTGCACATCACTTTGGTAAGCATGCGAACATCATGATTCCAAGCCCAACCAAGGCTTGACATATACACAGTATACGACCATTTCTTGCCACGGAGGCTCCCTGTATAGCTTTCTCGTCAGCACCTACTCAACTGTGTCCATTCTCGAGCAACATGCGACTTACCCTCGACGATAAATACGCCGGACACTTTCTCAGTATAAACCCCAGATACCCAGTTTAGTGTAACCCAGAGGTTATCGCTATCATACCTAGACTAACATGCGGTAAGGCATGGCTCGCCCGAGTCTAAAGTGCTCATTGAGGCGCCTTTTCAGGGTATCGAGTCAAATAATGTTGGGAAGCGGCGGGTATAAGGAACGTGCACCGCCAGGCTGATAGGCTCAAGCTTGGGTGTCGTATGGGTGAAATGATCGACCAACATTTCCCTTCGAGAAGAATGAACGAATGCGACAGGATAAGTAGCATTGGCAGCTTCATTTATTAACTCGCAACTGTTATTCTTTTCGAAGCCCTATATGGCATGGGTGGGAGCATTCAAGCCGGCCGAAAAGGCTGACTTCTTTCTCGAAAATGATGCGTTGGGCATCAAGTTACCCACCCAGACGCCGTTTGGAACAAATATGCTCAATCTCACCAGGTAGAAAGGAAAGGTTTGCGGAGAATTAAGGCGGTGGACGTCATTTTCTAACTGATATACGTAGCAGTCCTGAAACGAGGCCAAGTGGTAAAGTTACGGCTGAGGCGAGGAGGCGGGAACTCCATACTAAACAAGCCAGCTCCTTTTAGTGCAAAATCGTTGAACTAAGGGATAAGCTTGTTTTTTTTTTTTTTTTGTCGCTGGTCATTCTACGTCAATCAAGCCCTGAAAAAGGCTGATGACGGAAGTGATGCCAAGTAGGAGTGGGATTCGTAGGCACGCACACGTAAGAGCAATATTAAACGAGATCCATATGTATTATTCTAAACATGGAATTAAATAGGTAGGGGGTATTCGGTGAAAAGAGTAAGGGGAAAAAAACAGGCATATAGGGCACTCAAAGGGGTGGGTTGTGAGATGAAACAGAATGAGAAGAAAAAGAGTAAAGAAAAAGGGGGACGCCATCATGGGATGTTAGGAAAGCGGACATACATAAGGAAGATAAGAGATGAGGGATGAAAGGAAAGAGAAAGTAATTGAGAAGACATTCCTGGAAATCGAAAACTGGAAAGAGATAGAAGGTTTTCCATAAAACGCCCCCTTATCCAAGCCCGTGTTTTTTTACCTACCTGTACCTCGTTACAAATGAAAAGGGGATGGGAGGGGGAAAAGGAAGTAGAGAACCTGCATGTATGCCGGGGTAAGGGAAAGGAGATACAGTAGATATGGTGATAAGGGAAGAGAGAAAATGATGTAGATGTAGAAAAACTCCTGGTATCCTGGCAAGCTGACTCCGTATTTTTTTCATGTTGCGTTGCGCTGTTCAACCCCGTTTTTGTGCATGTTAGAAAGACCTAACCGGATCAGACCCGAACCTGGTATAAACCGAATCGAAGACCTTAGAACTCCTCCTCTGGAAAATGTGAAATTCGTTCTGCCAATGCCGTTGTGCTTGTTTGCTAGTAATTTGTAGGTGAATCATGTAGATGGCTGTGATAGGGAGCGCCGGATGACGAAGATGCCGACTTCCACGCCTTCTCGCTCAGCGTCGTCCATGGGCTCGGTTACTGCTCGCTTGCGGATGCCATCGACGACATCTCGAAGGACCATGGCACTAGTGACTTCTCTGTCCATACCCATACCTTTGCTGGCGGTGTGGTGGCGGGTGCGGTGGTCGTTGCGCCAGTAGTCGTCAAGTATCTCACGGGCACGAGGGGATTCCTGGGCAATGTACCATTCTGTCCAGAGGTCGCGGGAGAGCGGGATGCAACCGGGAGAGGCATACGAAAGAGTAAACGTGGTTCGGTCGCGATATGTCAGAGAGGAGCAAAGCTGAGAGACTTTCGAGTGCATTGTCTCGAAGGGGTCCATATGTTTGAGCGCAGGCGTGGAGCTAAGTGCCGTACCGATGTCGGAAGGCAGGGAGTGTAGACCGACAAGGTTGCGTAGTAAAGGGTCCAGGATAGGGTTGAGATAGTGTTGTTTGAAGCATTGGGCGCCACGCAGAGTGGGGTATACAAGAAGTAAGGTACCGTCACGCGGCGAAAGTTCTCGAAGACGGTCTAGAAGTACTGACGGCCCGCTGGTGGTGAACAGGTTTTGGTATTCACATGTTGAGGTTGGTGGGAGGTAGCGCTCGACGGCAGCGATGTTGACGCTGTATGGGGGAACAATCGGCGTGGGCACGTATGGTGCTTGTGACTGCGCTCCGCCAGATAAGGATGACGAGGAAGAGGCGCTGATGAACGGGTAGTGAGGTGCAGCCGTAGCGTTAGAGAAGACGGTCATGTTAAAATAGTCGTCTCCGGGAAAGAGACGATTGGGTGTACTTGGTGGAGAAGTTGGTAGGCTGGAGAGGGAGAACTTTGGCGGCACTGCATGGGTGATGTTGATATAGGGCGATTGGTCTGGTTGGAGGCGGGACTGGATCGTCTGAACAATGGGGCTAAAGACGCAGGCAGGCGAGAGAGAGCTCGAGTTGGGGAGATTATTGGACGGAGGACACGGGAGAGTTTGGGAGACCAGCTGGACAACCTTTGCAGGATCCTTGGATATAGCGAGGAATGATACTACAATCAAGTCAGCAACAAGTTTGCATCAGTATGAAGAGGGGGGTGGTGAGAGAGTGGGAAAAGAAGTGTCATATGGTCGTACCAGCAGTTACAATTCCCTTCTGCAGAAAGAGAAGTCTATCGTTCCCGTCCTGCAGCGGTATACCACTCGGTATTGGCAGCGGGTGGGAATCATCTGCACTGTCCGGGTTGTTCTGGTCCGGTTGTTGTTGTGTGGATTGCTTGGGAGTGCAGCTATCCTGGGGCTGTTCCTCCTTCATGGTCACCTCTGCAACGCCGGAAGATTCCTCCTCTGCAGGGACTGTGGCTTCGGACGAGTCATTGTTGGGAGCGCCGGTGGCGGCAGGATTCCATTGGACATGATCATCCGATTCAGGCGGCGTGATGGGTAGTGGAGATGGATATGAGACGTCCATCCGCGAGTTGGGAGAGTCAGCAAAGGGAGACGAGGACTTTGACGGCGAGGCTGCTGGTATGGCGCCGTCGATGAACGAGCCAGAGGGCGAGGTAGACGGCCGCTGGTCTCTCTCCTGATGGGCTGCTGCTCTGGGCATGTTGTTGGGTGATGGCGTGGCTATCCCCAGCTCTTCGAAGGATGGCAGCTGGAGCTGTCGGTTCTGCTTGGGCAGGAACTGCATGGCCAACGAGGATGAGGACGAGGACGAGGACGAGAAATGCCGGTCTAGATCGTGGCGTAGGCCGTCCGACGATATGCTCCTCCGAATCCGTTTGGGGAACAGCGGAAAAGCGTTCGACGCTGCCTTGTCCGAGCCGTTGTTCTGGCCGAGGGCGTAGCGTGACCTTGGCCCTGGGGAATTTTGACGGACAGAGAGGCGATGATGCTGCTCTGCTTGCTCTTGAGGCTGCTGCTGCTGCTGCTGCTGCTGCTGCTGTTGTTGGCGAAGATGGAGGCTGCTGTCTGTCAAGGTTCGCTCACATGATACGCTACGACGGCTCTGGCTAGGTTGCTGCTGACGACAACCGGCGAAAGGGAAGGGGAAGACGAGACAGGAAGACGGTCCTCCGGTATCGATGTGTATCTTGTCGTGGCCGCAGGTTCTCATGTTCATATTACCATCGGTGTGGAGGGCCGCCCGAAGCAGAGGGTCATTCTTCTGCTGGAGCATTCACGACAGTCGAGATGGCTGTTGATGCAGGCGTGTTTTTTTCGTCTTGCTCGCAGGCTCTGCCACAGAGAAACGGAGTCGACCAGCGTATGGGTTATGTGATGAAGAGGAAGAAAGAAAGTAAGGAAACAGAGGGAGGGCGGGCGGAAGAGAGAGAGAAAGAAAGGCGGGCTTCTTGGGTCGACAGAGAGATTGGCAATTCAGCTGGAGCTAGGCAGCGTTGTGTATCTCATTGGCGGCCCGGTAATGGCTTGAAGGCCTTGAAGACGGCGTCGAATCAGTCAGCCCTGAGCCGTGATCAGGAGGGAGTAGGGCACAGTCTTTCCTCACGGGGGGAGGGGGGGGGAGGAGGCAGCCTGAAGCCGTGGAGATGCAGAGCAGGAAGAAGCGGCCCTGGCGGCGAGATATCAAGGATGTCTGCGGCGAGCAAGACGCAGCAGAGAGAGGAGAGTAGGGGAGAAGCGGAGGGGGGCGTCCACGTCCGCCCTCGAGGCCCGCGAGAGAGACGCAAGGAGGCAGGGAGTCCAACCAAAAGCGCAGCAAAAGCACTGGCCGTACCGGAAATACGACAGCTGCGGCCCCGGTTTGCCCGCGTCCATGCGTAACTTTGCGTAACTTTGGTATGCAGATTACCGGGCGCTCGAACCAAAGGTCTAGACCGGGCCAAGAGAGGCTCGGCGGCTGAAGTGTTATTCTCGGGAGTTTAAAAAGCTGAGTGTTATTCAACATCAAAGACTGAGGAGGACGAGGAAGACGACGACGACGGGGTCGAGGGCAACGAGGCCGCAGACGACGGTGCTGGCGGCAGGACGGGGGTCGTCGGCGTTGGCTGGGAACGAAGGGGGAAAAGAGTCGACGTTGGGTCGGGGTGCGGTCGAGGGGTTTAGTAGACGGCCGGGTGTGAGTCGAGGGTGATAGATCAGACATGGACTCGTCTCGCCACTTAGTTAACTCCAGGCAGCGAGGTTGCTTTTTCCTCTGGCCCTGGAGTTTCTGGCCACCAGCCTCGTGGGCACGCAGACGAGCAGCAGACAAGAGACAGTCTCACGGTCTCACAGTCATATGGAGCTTGCTGGCAAGCAAGCCTCGAGTTCCTCCCACAGGCGAGCTGGCTGCCGTTCGGTCCGCCTCACATCGCTTGTTTCGGGCCCTCTTGCCTGCCCGTCTGCCCCTGGTCCCCTCCTGTCTCGCTCGCGTTGCCTGGCTGCTCCGTTCCGGGTCTGGCGTGACCGGCGCCCGGTAGCATGTACTTATGCTCGTAAGTATCATGTATGTACGTACGCCGTACGTCTCAGGATATGCGTCTGTGCAATGCCACTAGTGGTGTGCAGCCGTGGGCCATGGTGGATGCAGATCCAAGTCGGTCACCCCAAGCTTGCTCCACGTCACACAGCTGCCCTTCTTCTTTGATCTCCCCCCCCCCCGTCGTCTGAAGGCTGGCTGGCCGCTCCGTCAGGCAATAATGAGTAAGGAGAGCTCAAGCGAGGACTGTCACTGTCGAGTGCAAGTTAAAGCGTAGGATGTAAGTGTAAGCGTAGGCACACACATCACCTACTCCGTACTCCTCCTTTTTTTTTTCGTGAGTTAACGAACATGGGGCCGGGACCGGGCCCTGACGTCTGTCAGACGGTCCAGCTTGCTGTTGGACATTCGATAGCGAGTTCAAAGTTCGTCCAGAGCCAGGTTCTCGATCCCACCCCCTCCCCCTCCTCCTCCTCCTCCTTCTCCTTCTCCTCCTCTCCCCACCCTCTTCCGTTACTCTCTCACTCCCTATTCCCTCTCTGCTTCTGGGCCTCCTTTTCCTCTCCAATCCACCCAATCGAGAGGCAATTAAAGATGGGCGATGGCGAACCGCCAGCCAAGGAACGCCAACGTCTAGGCCGCTCCTTTTACTATATATGGGTTCTCCAGGGGGAACATTGGATCAACTGACTCCTCCTGTCTCTGCTGGTAGGCTAGTTAACAGCCGGCAGCATCCTATCATCCCCCATCATCCTCTCGTCCTTATCTCGTCCATACGGACAGATTCGCGGTCATGGTACTCCGTATGCAGTGTTGCATTCTCCGTAGTTCCATCACCACCCTCTTCTTCATCTATCTTAATACAGATAAAGAGATAGTCCATACCGAGTACTGTGACGCAATTAGCACGCCCAACTAAAATAGACGATGATCCCAATCGATCACTTACATCGATTCGTGAGGGTCCATCGTCTGCCACCCAGCCATGGGGGACCCGTCTCGCCAAATTCAACCTAGCTTCTACTATGGCCAGCCATTTTATCCAGGACATGCTCCATATCAGATAACAAGCTACACGCTTTCTTCTCCGCAAATAACATGTCTTGCCCTCGCGTCAGGGGGAAGAGACGCCGTCAAGCCTTGATAAACTGAACCCACAGCTCAAAAGAAAAGCACGGAGGAGTGGATGCCGGGAATATACACGAGAGTGTGGAGAACATCACTAGTATGTCAATTATCCCCTAGACTGTGGCTAGAGGCCTGTCGGACCCTACGCTGGGACATTGTTAGCGGCCGCGGTAGGCGTAATTAATTCTACCCAAAACCACATAGTTATACTCACTGATCTTGCTGCGTTATCCTTCCTCATACAAAAGATTTATGGTTATATACCCCCTAACGAGGGAACGAGCACCTTGCCAGCCAACCCTCCCGCAATACGTAGTTACGGAGTACCGCACCATGTACCATGTACTTCCAGCCCAGGAGCTCGGATACATCGTGTCTGTCCGTCCTCTAGCTCCCTTTTTTTCCCTTTCTTTTCTCATGTCCCAGTCCAGCTGTACGTGTAATGTGATCCGCAAAGTGCGGCACCATGGCCGCGAGCTGAGACCCCCAAACCCCATGATTCAAATCCATCAGCCCAAGTCTGCGCGTATCCCATGCAAAGACGTTACCATTGGGGCCAGCCACGCATGCTCGCGCTCATCCCGTCGGTACGAAGACCCCCTCCCCCCCTGAAGTTGGCGATGGCGATGGCGATGGCGTTTCGCTGTAGGCGAGCGAGACGTGAGGTACCGTAACCAGATTTGATGGCCGGTGGAGACAAAAAGACATGCGACGGAGAGCCGTCTGGGCCGTTCTCGAGGACAAGAAGCGAGTTAAGCTTCCTCTATTGAGTTCTTCGCTGAGTAGCTTATCTTCTTTTCGCTGCCTGTGCTTCGCCGGTGGCGGCTGTGCCTTGATCTTGCCCTGGTGTTTGTTGATGTGATGTTGGCTGGTTTGGAGACGTCACCTTTTTGTCCCTTGCTGCGTCCACAGCCACAGCCACCACTCCTCAATTCACACTGGCCAGTCATCCAAGCCGTATTGGAGGAGAAGTCGATGCAGTCTCAAGCCACTGAGGCATCCTGATGAGGGCCCTGTTCGAGTTCCGGCCGCATTTTCACAGCCACATTGTTTGCCTGGATATACCCTCTCTTTGAACACAATCCATCATCCCACGAGAGGGATGCCTGGCTATCCCGTTTACCATGCAGATACAGCCATCGATTTGCCCTCGGAACTGCGTCCCGTTAGCCATGGCGTCCCAATTTTGAACTTGAGCTCCTTTGATCAAACCGGGGAGGGTGGCTTGTCCGACTTTGGTGAATCACTGCACGTCTCCAGCCCGTTGACTGGCTCTGCATGCCTTTTGAAACAAGAATGCGGAAGAAGCCCTTCCTGTCTTATGAACAATGTCCATGGAAGGAGTTGAAATTGGGTTTGGATAATATCCTGGCTCACTCCGGCGGGTCAATTCAGACTCCTCAGCATGAACATGAATGTGCCAATATTTATCAAAGACCAACTGCAAGTTGATCTCATATTACTGCCTTGGCAGTAATTGATGCATTCAACTAGTGTGCTGCCTTACAAGAAATTATATCAGTTGATAACCCATTTTATATCGTTGGCTCAGAATGGCAAATTCCTCAAACCCATATCTCAGTCACTGTTTCATATGCCAGGGCTTGGTACGGTCTACCAGTGAAAAGGGGTAAGGATGAGAGTTTCTTTCTTGAAGATGATATTCAAATGTCATCATGACGGAATAAATACCGTTTACTCTCCCTATAGTTTTCGGGGAATACCACAACCGACATACCAGGTGCTATCAACACCTATTAGTCGTTTATGATCAGGGCTTTGGTTCAACAGATTGAAAGGACGAAGATTGGTAGAGCAGGAGGAACCAAAACGTTGTTCTCCCCTGCTTTGAAGTGATACTCGTATATGATCTCGACGCATATACGGTTAAAGGGGATGAAGTTGGTCGTGAGATGCATTGATAATCCGCGCGCCCTACGAACTGACTGACGGGGATGAGACTTTTTGACGCCTTTCCGTCGTCTTCTAGAATCAGGGCGATGACTGCTATTGTTTTCTATCGCCACCTAGTAAATATAGGTAGGATTGTTTGATCCATGATAGCTATTTGACACGAAGCTGAAGTTAGATATGCGGTATACCCATCCGGGGACATACACATAATCCACATGCCGTTTGTTGGATCAGGGGTACTTAAACGATGGTAAACGCCCAAGAAACAGGGTAGTTAAGTGAGGTTCACATATATGGCAGGTCAGGCAAGCAATGACAGAAATGAATTTCTGATAATTTATACTACACGAAACATCACTGTACGGTTCCAAAGAACGAGCCTGGTCATACATCCATACCTTAACGCCCGGCCATAACCCAGAGCAATAAACATAGCCTCTCTTCTAACTTACACTGCAACAGCTGTGCTTCTACTGTGCTTTCGAGGGGTAAACCCTTGGCCTCCAGTGCGAGGCAGTAGTTGAGAGCGAGATCTATTCTTCTTCGCCATCAAAACAAGTTCCTCCCATTTCTCATGCTCAATATTCTCCTTGGGCATGAACAAAGGCTGTGGGGTATCTTCAATATGGATCCTAGGCCTGCCATCTGCAGTAACGCCTAGGTCATAGTCCAGCGGCCGATGAGGGATCTTATAGCCAGCATCACGAATCTCGAAGCACTGATAGACAAGCTTTCTGGTACTCAGATCCATGTATACGGATCGGTCATAGGTCTCCATCCAGTAATCATAGCCCCAGAAATAGTCATTAATGACTGCCTTCGCAAGGGACTGCATCCAAAAGTTGAAATTTGGTAGCTTCATGGACGGCTCCATCAGTCCAACATGGGACATCCAGTTGGACACTCGACAGGCAACAGATACTATGCGTATCAGGGGTTCAGAGTGGAAGATGTGAAGGACGACGCAGGCTGGGCAGCCGTTGGTCATGCACCAGTCAGGCTCGTCGGTAATAATAGAGCGAAGCCATGTAAACGCGTTGCGTGCTTCACCGTGGAAAGCCAGCTCTGGGTCTGATACAAGATAATCTGGGAGCGAACGGGATGCTATGTCGGTTGCGTGGATGATGAGTTGCTTCAAGGGCATGAATACAGCATGAAGGATGTCTCGGTGTAACTCGAAGACTTTCTTTTCATCCGCAGAAACGCTGGGTTCATGGGCAGGACAGAACCTAGGGGACGATCAATCAGCCCAGGAGAGCTTCACCAGGAAACAAGCCTATCATGACACTCACCTGAGCATTATGTTTTCACCCAGCTGCTT